TATTCAATATGCAGAAGGAGGCTGGGATGAGTATATCTTTAAGATAGCACATTATTGGCCAAGCGGTAATCCCAACAAAAAGAACCTTAAAGTGCACTGACTTCCGACATTTACCAGCGATGTCAAAAATTATAGAACTATGCTTATGAAATGACCAACAATTTTTTGGGTAAATATTTTAGATCATATTTTTCGTAACTAGAAGAAGTCGTTTTCAACTTCAATGGCTGATAAAAGCATATAGCACAAAGTAGATTTGTGGAAATGCCGATTGAGTTACCTTCAGACTTCGACGCATGTCATGAGCGTATCATGTTCACATAAATCATTATCAGGATCATACACCAGGGACAAAGGATGGCAAGGCCTGTCGTAGACCGGATGTCCAGTGACACAGCTTATGAAGTGATGACAGTTCCATGGGTTTCTGTAGTTACCAGTTGGCCTTTTGTTGCAAAACGTGGCTGAAATGAAAAGTACCCTTCTATTTAGCTGGGTGTTATTCACTGACGACCAGTCTTGAATATCTAGATGGGTAAATGATTCTTGCAAATGCAAACAGAAATCGATACTTTATTGTTTAAAGTAATGTAGACACTTAGTTCAAGCAGGCAATTTTTATAGCCAAGAAACTTACTTCTGTCAGCAGGAACAACTGCTCGGCATGCCATGGCATCTGGAGCGAAAATCTGTTTAGATGGGCAAAAGTGCAAGATTTCTTGGCCTGCTTTACATTCCAAATACTTGAACACATCAGCAAGAATGTAAAGGCCGTCGGCCTTGCCTGTACAGCGATTCTTTGTGGCTATAAGAGAATCAGAATAAATATACGTGATTGAGATTTTTTCTGATCGGCTGATCACTCCAACGGAACCGTGATTCGAACTTAATTGATTCTGGTGATAACCAATGCATTGATATGTAATCAATAGCTGTATTATCAACTTCAGTGATCTCATTAATGGTTGTCAGTTGTGGTTCAATGATTGACCAGTAAAATCAATTGGTTAGAGCATAGTCAATAGAAAAAAAACTCTTTTGATATGTTTTTATGTTTCTTTTTTGACAGTAGTGATTCAATGATTGATCAGTAAAATCAACTGGTTAAAGCACAGTCAACAGAAAAATTTCGAGCTTTTCTATTGACTATGGTTAAAGCCTTCATAACTTTCAAAGTCTTACTTCATCAAAAGAAACACAAGTTAAAGATTAACCGATTGTATCTCTTGCTTTGAATGAATTCTAGAGAAGTTAATACTTTAAATACTCACGTGTCGGTGATGTAAGATTTTTGCAAGGAAACAAATGGGCATGTTCGCATCTGTCAGTGTTTGGATCATAAACTAGAGATGGTGGATGGCAAGGCCTATCATACGGTGCCGGGTGACCAATAACACATGTTATGAAATTGTGGCAATTCCAAGGATTGCGATAGTTGCCGCTTTGTCGAGCATCGCAAAACCTGTCTAAAATTAAATATGCAGTTACATTAGGTAAGCTGTATTGAATATGCCATTTAATTTTGTAGTCATTTGTCGGATGCTGAGGAGCAAGAAAGACAAAACAGGGTACCGACAAATGATTCAAATGCCCCCAATGTACACGACAAACAGTAATTCTTCTTGAATGGCGATCCTTTTTACATTGACTGATGAGCTAGAAATTTATTAAGGAAACCAATTTTTTGGAAACCGATGCCTCCGCAGCCATTTCCCCTTCTTTCCTGGTCCCTAGCATAACCCAAAATCCATTTTAGTCAGTGCTTTTTGAATTCAGAATATTGCCATTACCAATGCTGAGAAGTAAGGACAAAAACTTTGTTCTCGATCTAGAACAAAATATTTTTGTTTAAACCCTCACCTTCAGCGGATGTCGTTACTTTGCTGCATGCCATTTTCTTTGCCACAAATATTTCGTTAGCGGGACAGTTATGGACGATTTCGGAACCAGATTTGCACTCCAAATAAGAGAAGACATCGGGTATGACATACAAACCATCCGACTTCCCAGTGCATCGATTTGCTTGGACAGAGAGCACTGCACAAAAAAGAAAACATCAGTTTTCAATACACATTTTGAAGGTGTAGCATCAAAACACAACAGTCTTAAATACATTCATACAAACACTGAAAAGGACACTTACCATTTGCGCTTAAAGAAATACAGAAGATGTGGAGTAGATAATACCCCACTCTATCCATGACGGCTTGTGTACAAGTTTCAAAATGGCTTGTATATAAGTATCGTATGCCTACGCTGAGCGTCTTGTTGCTTTTGATTCCATTCTGAAGTGTGCCCTACTTATACCCGACCCGCGCAACGTAAAATTCAATGCGGCAATATTGATTTTCCGCTAATTACCAGTCGAAAGGTGGGTGTTTTTCAATTTTCATAACATCATCAATACTAAATAGCAATATTTACCAAGCTGTGTAAAATTTTTGTTCGACTGATATAACTGAAATTGCGCACTTTACTTCCCTGTGTATACACTTTGCTTGTTCACGGCCATGAGCTCGTGTCTCAAATTGTCAACTCACATTTCAGTTCCAGACGGACTACTAAGCAATAAATTTATTCATTTTTTGATAGTTTTGCAGTCTTTTGTACATCCTGTGCTTTTATGAAGCAGCAGTCTTCAAACATTTGGGTGTTCAATTTTAGCTTTTCAAAGCTAAATTTTACTTAATATTTGCATCTTATTTCAGTAGATAAATGATATGGTTTTGTTTATAACACCATTAAAGGTACTTGTTGTCACCAATTTTGAGCCAGTTTCAATCTATATAAGAAATAGTTTTTATAAGGCTTTCTTTATTTATTCAGCTCAGTTTCCTGCTGGTTTTTAGTTAATTCATTTTCCGTCAAAAGGCATAAAATCTTACAGCCTGTTATAATTCGAATCAAACTTTACTGGAAGAGGATATTTTCCTATCATAATCTGTTCTGTTTGGGCAAATGTCTATAGTATGAATTTCAAATAGGCTTTGGTTCTCCTTGAAATTTCTAGTTACTGAATAGACGGGGGCTTCAAACGCATGAATATTGCAAAGATGACGTATCTACACCACGCATGTACGTGAGACAAGGCGTTGGCAAAAAGCATGCATATGCGCAACTTTTCTGGTTAAAGAGTGCGGACATTACAGTACGTGCTTACAAAACCTGCTCATTTCAATGGTGATTATTTCTTGTTCTATTAATCGGAGAAAAGATCATTATTTTCCTAATATGGTAGACTCCTTCGCAGTTGCACGGTGGATTCAGAAAACATCAGTTGTTGACCAAGAATGCAAAATGGTAGTTAGCTGAGGTATGTTTATTTTGAAAAGTGCGCGCCGGTAAATGCGCAAAGTTAGCAAAGTGTTCCTTGCATTTTGGTACTTTGTGGCACAGGTTCAAAGTTTCCATAAGCAGTTTTTGAAATCATGTAGGAACAAGATAATTTCGAAAGATTCTCTTAATAAATTTCCTGAGAATTGTTTGTTTATTCAGGCAAATCCCGAAAAACTGATTAAGCACTAAAAATAAAAAAGACTAACTTTTAGTAGAACTTTTCACTGTCAAGCAAGGAAAATCTCGTGGGTAAACACATCTATCTAGCTGAGGGTGGAAAACCAGTTCACGAAGCGGTGGCTTTTGACAATTGAACGTAAAAATCTGGCCAACGAAGCACTTGAAAAACTTATGGCAGTCCCATGGATCTCTGTAGTCACCACTTGGTAGTCCTTCACATAATGTAGCTGCAATACAAAAGCTTTCAGATTTGCAATTTCCTTTGCTGAACGAGAACTGAATCAACGCAGATACCACGGTAAGAGTAACGATGGTATGACGGATAACAACGGAGACTGCATCTTTATAGTGGCCTGTGCCCAATTCCATACCACAAATGTTCCCACCTTCATGTCACATAAAGTTGCATTTAGTCATTTATGTCACTAGCAGTCCCGTCGCTAGCTATGGTGCTCAAGGGGGTTTTCAGGTTCAATTCCCAACAAAGTGGAAGAGCCAGCCTTAAGTTGCCGACAAGTTTGAAAGTTTGCCGTCTAAGCACCCCTAAGATGGCAAAAAAACTCACGCCTCCCCCCCCCCCCCTTTAGCGGCGGTCTTGGATAATATTTACGGTGGCTGCAATGCTTTGATATGCTAGGTTGCATAAAATACCTATATATAAGCTTTACGTTATTTCCGTTGTGAGCCCTGAAGTATGGGAACCGAGGATCTCAAGGTCAAATTTTTGCTGACAATTGTAATTCGTAATTTGCCCATTCCCAACCCCCTGACTTCCGAGGTGACCATAAACTGACCTTGGTCTGCTGCAGTGACTGCTCTGCATCGCCTTTCCCTGTGGATGTAGACCTGATTCGTGCCACAGCTTTCGAATAATCAGAGTGCCGTAAAACTTTCTTTGGCATTCATGACCAAACAGTACTACTCTATCTCACTCGACTCAAGTTTGGTCTCTCCAAATTAGATTTTCACAAATTCAAGCACAATTTTCGGAATACCATGTATGCCCTACAAAAATTGGTATCGATGATACAGAACACTTTTTGCTGTTATCCCATTCCCTCACAGTACCACGTAGAGATCCTCTTGCTTGAGTTTTTGCCTTATTGCGACCAATTGGATATACAAATCTTCAAAATCATGTTCGAAGGTAGAATTTATTTTATGGTGATAAAAATTTCCCGACGAACTAACTAAAATATGCTCCTGCTCACTCCACAAATCTGGTTGATTTGATAAGAAAATTTAATACTCCGTTATAAACCAAATTCGACCACCATGTCTTATTTAACTAAAGGTGGCTTACTTTTCTATGCCTTTGTTTTGTTTTCTTTTAGTCGTATGTTTAATGTCAAGAGTTTTGATTTTAATCTCTATTTTCAAATGACCCCCGAGTAGACACAGCCTTCTGCGCCTCGGGGTATCTCCCCAGGAGTATCGTAAAGTTGTATAGTAATTTGAAAAGTAGCATAGCTTATACATTTTTTTATAAGCTTTTACTGCATATAAAGAATCTGTAATGTATCTTTCGAATGCAAAAAGCTGCATCAAGCTACAAAGGCACCTTTTCGGCAATACACACTCACTATCAATTAGTGAAGAATTATGCACTTGTCCAGAAGCGGAATAACTAGAAATAGCTTCATTATTAAAATATTTTCATTAGAGAGAGTTTACTCTCATGAATTTCTGTATTTTCAGCCCTATGAAATATTTCCAACTACTTGATAAAAATTGAATTAAAGATGATGTTTCTCTTTCTATCTAGAGTGCAAATTATATTAAAATAATTCATGGATAAATTGAATATGCAGTGATATTGCATAATTTTTGCTGTTTTACAGAACATCACAATTCAATGGTGCATGAAACGAGCGGAGCTTATTCTCAAGTGTGTCAAAGGTAGGGAAGTTCTCGTATTGAAGTTTTGAAGTTTTGAGATCCTGTTAAAAAGATGGAAATCTGTTTGTTTCTTATTTCTAGTTGTGTCCATTTGTCGTTTCTCGTCTTCGATATGATATGCATGTGCTGGTGTACATCTGTTTGGCTCTTTGATAAAGGGATTTGGTTGCTGGTTGCCTTTTGAGCTCTTACCTTGCATTTTAAGCCTATTAAAAGTCGTTTATCAATTATAGATTGAATATAGAGCTCATGATCGCATGATCTTTAATTAAAGCCGAATTAGTAAAGGATTTTCCTATCTAATAGGCCACCGCTAGTTGTTTGTTGCTCCGAGCATTTTTAATTTGAAACATTAAAAATTGGGAATTCCACAGGAAAAATTTGGAATTCCAAATTGAAAAATGGGAATTTGTGATGCTTAGGGGCCCAGGTGGAAATTACCTCTCCAAACCGATGTCAGTTGTGCTATCAAAGTATCACTTCAAACAATGATTTGTAGTAGACCAGAATAACCAAAGCTAATTGGCAAAAGGTATATACAATACCTGCCAAAAGTACTTGGAACACCCACCAATTTACGCTACATTTGATATCTTTCATTCCTTTCATGAAAAAAATTTGCTACTTCCGCCCCCTTCCCCCTCAAACAATGTTGAAGATTTAGAGAAATATCATAAAAGAAGCGCAAAAGAAAGTGCTTCCTAAAATCCTAATCTGTTTGATAGTAAACCAACATTGTTCCGTGGGGGAGAGGGGGATGATTGGTTTTGACCTTGGAAATTGATGTCAGTGTTCCAAGACTTTTGGCAGGCATTGTAGCTATCTTAAAAGCTATTGAAGTTGATCAAGCTTTTGGGAGCTTTCACTAGCTGCGTCAATGCTGGCATGAAACTTTTTTTGTGTAAGAAATATTTTTCACGACATTTATCAGCATTGAAAGCCTCACAGGAATGCTGTCACCATTGGTCTTTGTGAGTTGCATTGAGCAAGTGACATTGACCAAGCATGACGCGTTTTTCAATTTTGTTGATGATTTTACAGCAATACCATTTTAGAAGACGAATGAACAGTGGTGCATTGTGTGTCTTTGTGTGTTTGTATGTCAGCGCAGTAGTTTGTCTGTTTGTGCAGTACAAAGGCCCGTCTTGATAATCTTTTTGCTTAGAAAACCTCTTTCGCAAATTACTCGAGAGACTTATAGCATGATTGCCATTTTGTGAATCTGATACAGGCTCCTATCTGCTGCTTTATTGATGCTGTATCTGTAAGAAAATCCTGTAAACACATTCTAGGGTATTTTGCACATTGTATCTTTCGAAAATTGCATTCTCTGCCATGGGAGCTCTACGAGAAACCTTTTCAGAACCTTTGTTCTCATTATCCATTGTCACTTTTTATTGTAGTCATAATTCAGCATCCCAGGAAACCGCTTGTTTCGAAGCAACTTTGTTGAGCCGAAGAAACTAGAAAACTCTGGTTACCCCCATCCAGGGAACACATTTTATACAATTTCAGAATTCACGGTGTATAGTTCACGGTGAATAGTTAAAGGGAATATTTAGGGATTTCTGTGACCAGTAACGCTTTTCTACTCTTTATCAACGCTTTTCTACTCTTTCTACTTTGCAAACAGTGATGTTAAAGGCTGTCAGGCTTCCCGTTAGTATTGAAGCAAATTTCGGTCTTTGCTTTATAACGTATTGCATGTTATTCTTCGAGGCTTCATGATGGAAGGGCTCTGCTGGGACGGAGACGATTCAAGAACAATTCAATTCATCGTGCCAGAGGTACTTTAAATTGTATTGAGCAACCATTATTCGCGTGATTGTTGTCGTTTTTGTGTTGAGTTACCTATTTTGCATCGGATATTATCAATGAATTTGAGAAATACATCCAAAGCAATGAACCATGAATTGGAAACTATGAAAGAAACAAATGTGGATCTTGCAGAAACATCAAAAAATTTATTAGTAAACAGTGAAATTTTGTTACTTGTCTATCAATGAAAGGAGATTGAAGCTTGGCTGCCCAAAATCCATTAACATTATGATTTGGAGTATCTGTTTTCTGTTTGCGATTTAAAGGGTTCTTTTTCTGTGTATGATTAATCGATTCGCTGTTCGTCACTTAAAGGACCTGCTTTCTGTGTGTGATTTGAAAAATTAAATTTTTGCAAAGGGGTTAAAAGATCGACTTGGTGTTGATGATCGTAAGAATATGCTTTCTGTGTGTGATTTTAAGGCATCCATTTTCTTTTTATGTTTTTCAAAGATTGGTTTTCTGTTACAGATTCTACTGACTCATATACTGTTGAAAAGAATTTGATTCCTTTTTTAAAGCCAGATCCATTTTATAGGGAATTTCAGAAGATCTGTTCTCCTCTTTTACAAACATGCTGCCGAATGTCTTCCGGGTGTCTACTCCATTGGATCTCTCTGGTATAGCACGTGATTGATCATCCTACCTTGCCTGAATTTATGCAAAATGTGAAGCATTCTCCAAACGACAGACCTTAAATGGATTTTTACGGTTGATTTTGTTTTAAAAATAGTCATGTGCTTGGGTATTTTCAACTAGTATGGTTCATAAGCACTTTTTCAAAATCAAAATCAGGCATATTTATCGAATGTTAAGATGATAGACTCCTTAATAATTTTCAAAAATGTAATGATAATGTCCAATAAGTTTTGAAAAGTATGATACTTCGAATGTTAAAAGTCTTTAAATAGTTTGAAAAAATTATTTTTAATTAGAGCTTCGAAGCGAAAGTAGAATGTTGATTTCGCATATAAAATTTGTGTTTGCGTGATCTCTTTTCGGAGGTTTTGCTATTGATCGAACTGCAAGCTACAATTTTGAATTCAGCAGTTCATGTTTATGTTATGTGTTTATTTTACGTGTTTATGTTACATGTTTATTTGTTTGTTTCTTTGTTTATTGATTGATTGATTGATTGATTGGTTGATTGATTGATTGATTAATTGATTGATTGATTGATTGATTGATTAATTGATTGATTGATTGATTGATTGATTGATTGATTGATTGATTGATCGATCTAGGCGATTGTTTGCTTGATTGATTGTGAAAAGGTAGCCTGGGGACAAAATGATTAAACATTCGTTTAAGACATACTCATTATTATGAAATTCTTCTCAAGAAGAGGAAAGTTAAGAATATTAATTTGAATCACGTGTGTCCATCACTCATTTTGTGTTCTTTTTTATGTTCCTCCTCTTTGAAAATTAATTAGTTTAGAGAAGAGAAATGATTTTGTTGAAGTTAATTTCAACGTTTTACATTCATTCATGCCATGGCTTTTTTAGTAATAATTCTTTTCTTCAGTTGAGACATGATGATAATTTATGAAAAATAGATTTTAAATAGAATATAAATTTTCTTTTGATGATCGAAAAAAACACGACAATGTATGATATCCGTACAGGGAGGTAAAGAGCTCATTTTTCAACCCTAAAAGCATGTTTCACACAAATTAATACAAACACGTTTTCTACCGAATTCACAAGCATATTCAAAGCGTGAAACATAAAGAAATTCACTCACAGCAAACAAGCTATCCAAAAAAGTAAAAAAAAAACTAAGATTACAATAATTTTTAAAGCAATTGCGAAAGTTTAATTGAATTGTTCAATGGGTCTTGAATTTATCTATGGTGTTAAGGTTCTTGGGACATCTGACGCTTGAAAGTCCTACAAAAAAAACATGTCCATTGTAAAAGGTTCGCTACAAGAAGAACTTTTATTTTCAGCCATTTTGTTTAAACGCAATTTAATGAGTATTTTGCAATTTAAAAACGATAATCCTAGCCGTGTCACAGAAATGAGGCATTACGTTATCATCCACCTAAATAAAAAGTTTTCCTGCCTTCCCCCAAAGTATCAGAATGCCAAGCATGGTTCTAAAAGATGAATTTTGGCATGTTGCCAAAAACATGGATATCAGGATTAGAACGAGGCTCGAAGTGTTTTATGTTCTCTCATTTTGCAAACGTAGCGTCGTTAACTTAGGAGAAACTCAATTTGGAATTTATCTTTAAATACCTACCTGACGCTATTATCGTAATATCACAATTGAATCATTTTTTACTATGGAACATATTCAATATGCAGAAGGAGGCTGGGATGAGTATATCTTTAAGATAGCACATTATTGGCCAAGCGGTAATCCCAACAAAAAGAACCTTAAAGTGCACTGACTTCCGACATTTACCAGCGATGTCAAAAATTATAGAACTATGCTTATGAAATGACCAACAATTTTTTGGGTAAATATTTTAGATCATATTTTTCGTAACTAGAAGAAGTCGTTTTCAACTTCAATGGCTGATAAAAGCATATAGCACAAAGTAGATTTGTGGAAATGCCGATTGAGTTACCTTCAGACTTCGACGCATGTCATGAGCGTATCATGTTCACATAAATCATTATCAGGATCATACACCAGGGACAAAGGATGGCAAGGCCTGTCGTAGACCGGATGTCCAGTGACACAGCTTATGAAGTGATGACAGTTCCATGGATTTCTGTAGTTACCAGTTGGCCTTTTGTTGCAAAACGTGGCTGAAATGAAAAGTACCCTTCTATTTAGCTGGGTGTTATTCACTGACGACCAGTCTTGAATATCTAGATGGGTAAATGATTCTTGCAAATGCAAACAGAAATCGATACTTTATTGTTTAAAGTAATGTAGACACTTAGTTCAAGCAGGCAATTTTTATAGCCAAGAAACTTACTTCTGTCAGCAGGAACAACTGCTCGGCATGCCATGGCATCTGGAGCGAAAATCTGTTTAGATGGGCAAAAGTGCAAGATTTCTTGGCCTGCTTTACATTCCAAATACTTGAACACATCAGCAAGAATGTAAAGGCCGTCGGCCTTGCCTGTACAGCGATTCTTTGTGGCTATAAGAGAATCAGAATAAATATACGTGATCGAGATTTTTTCTGATCGGCTGATCACTCCAACGGAACCGTGATTCGAACTTAATTGATTCTGGTGATAACCAATGCATTGATATGTAATCAATAGCTGTATTATCAACTTCAGTGATCTCATTAATGGTTGTCAGTTGTGGTTCAATGATTGACCAGTAAAATCAATTGGTTAGAGCATAGTCAATAGAAAAAAAACTCTTTTGATATGTTTTTATGTTTCTTTTTTGACAGTAGTGATTCAATGATTGATCAGTAAAATCAACTGGTTAAAGCACAGTCAACAGAAAAATTTCGAGCTTTTCTATTGACTATGGTTAAAGCCTTCATAACTTTCAAAGTCTTACTTCATCAAAAGAAACACAAGTTAAAGATTAACCGATTGTATCTCTTGCTTTGAATGAATTCTAGAGAAGTTAATACTTTAAATACTCACGTGTCGGTGATGTAAGATTTTTGCAAGGAAACAAATGGGCATGTTCGCATCTGTCAGTGTTTGGATCATAAACTAGAGATGGTGGATGGCAAGGCCTATCATACGGTGCCGGGTGACCAATAACACATGTTATGAAATTGTGGCAATTCCAAGGATTGCGATAGTTGCCGCTTTGTCGAGCATCGCAAAACCTGTCTAAAATTAAATATGCAGTTACATTAGGTAGCTGTATTGAATATGCCATTTAATTTTGTAGTCATTTGTCGGATGCTGAGGAGCAAGAAAGACAAAACAGGGTACCGACAAATGATTCAAATGCCCCCAATGTACACGACAAACAGTAATTCTTCTTGAATGGCGATCCTTTTTACATTGACTGATGACCTAGAAATTTATTAAGGAAACCAATTTTTTGGAAACCGATGCCTCCGCAGCCATTTCCCCTCCTTTCCTGGTCCCTAGCATAACCCAAAATCCATTTTAGTCAGTGCTCTTTGAATTCAGAATATTGCCATTACCAATGCTGAGAATTGAGGACAAAAACTTTGTTCTCGATCTAGAACAAAATATTTTTGTTTAAACCCTCACCTTCAGCGGATGTCGTTACTTTGCTGCATGCCATTTTCTTTGCCACAAATATTTCGTTAGCGGGACAGTTATGGACGATTTCGGAACCAGATTTGCACTCCAAATAAGAGAAGACATCGGGTATGACATACAAACCATCCGACTTCCCAGTGCATCGATTTGCTTGGACAGAGAGCACTGCACAAAAAAGAAAACATCAGTTTTCAATACACATTTTGAAGGTGTAGCATCAAAACACAACAGTCTTAAATACATTCATACAAACACTGAAAAGGACACTTACCATTTGCGCTTAAAGAAATACAGAAGATGTGGAGTAGATAATACCCCACTCTATCCATGACGGCTTGTGTACAAGTTTCAAAATGGCTTGTATATAAGTATCGTATGCCTACGCTGAGCGTCTTGTTGCTTTTGATTCCATTCTGAAGTGTGCCCTACTTATACCCGACCCGCGCAACGTAAAATTCAATGCGACAATATTGATTTTCCGCTAATTACCAGTCGAAAGGTGGGTGTTTTTCAATTTTCATAACATCATCAATACTAAATAGCAATATTTACCAAGCTGTGTAAAATTTTTGTTCGACTGATATAACTGAAATTGCGCACTTTACTTCCCTGTGTATACACTTTGCTTGTTCACGGCCATGAGCTCGTGTCTCAAATTGTCAACTCACATTTCAGTTCCAGACGGACTACTAAGCAATAAATTTATTCATTTTTTGATAGTTTTGCAGTCTTTTGTACATCCTGTGCTTTTATGAAGCAGCAGTCTTCAAACATTTGGGTGTTCAATTTTAGCTTTTCAAAGCTAATTTTTACTTAATATTTGCATCTTATTTCAGTAGATAAATGATATGGTTTTGTTTATAACACCATTAAAGGTACTTGTTGTCACCAATTTCGAGCCATGTTCAATCTATATAAGAAATAGTTTTTATAAGGCTTTCTTTATTTATTCAGCTCAGTTTCCTGCTGGTTTTTAGTTAATTCATTTTCCGTCAAAAGGCATAAAATCTTACAGCCTGTTATAATTCGAATCAAACTTTACTGGAAGAGGATATTTTCCTATCATAATCTGTTCTGTTTGGGCAAATGTCTATAGTATGAATTTCAAATAGGCTTTGGTTCTCCTTGAAATTTCTAGTTACTGAATAGACGGGGGCTTCAAACGCATGAATATTGCAAAGATGACGTATCTACACCACGCATGTACGTGAGACAAGGCGTTGGCAAAAAGCATGCATATGCGCAACTTTTCTGGTTAAAGAGTGCGGACATTACAGTACGTGCTTACAAAACCTGCTCATTTCAATGGTGATTATTTCTTGTTCTATTAATCGGAGAAAAGATCATTATTTTCCTAATATGGTAGACTCCTTCGCAGTTGCACGGTGGATTCAGAAAACATCAGTTGTTGACCAAGAATGCAAAATGGTAGTTAGCTGAGGTATGTTTATTTTGAAAAGTGCGCGCCGGTAAATGCGCAAAGTTAGCAAAGTGTTCCTTGCATTTTGGTACTTTGTGGCACAGGTTCAAAGTTTCCATAAGCAGTTTTTGAAATCATGTAGGAACAAGATAATTTCGAAAGATTCTCTTAATAAATTTCCTGAGAATTGTTTGTTTATTCAGGCAAATCCCGAAAAACTGATTAAGCACTAAAAATAAAAAAGACTAACTTTTAGTAGAACTTTTCACTGTCAAGCAAGGAAAATCTCGTGGGTAAACACATCTATCTAGCTGAGGGTGGAAAACCAGTTCACGAAGCGGTGGCTTTTGACAATTGAACGTAAAAATCTGGCCAACGAAGCACTTGAAAAACTTATGGCAGTCCCATGGATCTCTGTAGTCACCACTTGGTAGTCCTTCACATAATGTAGCTGCAATACAAAAGCTTTCAGATTTGCAATTTCCTTTGCTGAACGAGAACTGAATCAACGCAGATACCACGGTAAGAGTAACGATGGTATGACGGATAACAACGGAGACTGCATCTTTATAGTGGCCTGTGCCCAATTCCATACCACAAATGTTCCCACCTTCATGTCACATAAAGTGGCAACTAGTCATTTATGTCACTAGCAGTCCCGTCGCTAGCTATGGTGCTCAAGGGGGTTTTCAGGTTCAATTCCCAACAAAGTGGAAGAGCCAGCCTTAAGTTGCCGACAAGTTTGAAAGTTTGCCGTCTAAGCACCCCTAAGATGGCAAAAAAACTCACGCCTCCCCCCCCCCCCTTTAGCGGCGGTCTTGGATAATATTTACGGTGGCTGCAATGCTTTGATATGCTAGGTTGCATAAAATACCTATATATAAGCTTTACGTTATTTCCGTTGTGAGCCCTGAAGTATGGGAACCGAGGATCTCAAGGTCAAATTTTTGCTGACAATTGTAATTCGTAATTTGCCCATTCCCAACCCCCTGACTTCCGAGGTGACCATAAACTGACCTTGGTCTGCTGCAGTGACTGCTCTGCATCGCCTTTCCCTGTGGATGTAAACCTGATTCGTGCCACAGCTTTCGATTGTTCCGACGTGATTTGTGCATTTCAGGTATTTGAAGGTGTCTGGCATTGGGTAGGAGCCGTCCTCCTTCGAAGCACATGCGGCGTCGCCAATTTCAGCCACAACTAGGATAACGAGACATGAATATTCAAAAACTGCTTTTGCCGTTCACTGACCCTTTGAAACTTTCTCAAGTAAAAAAAGTCGTTTTTATAAAATTATGCATGAACTTTTTTACCTAGAAAAGGTGTTCTTAGTTCTTGAACGAAAAATTATACCAACACATACAAAGCAACGTAGTATGATAAGTTTTCTAGGACCTTAGGATCAAAACTTCAAAACGACAAACTTTGCCTACGTTGATTGCCACTTTTCACCACGGTGCATGGATATTCTTCGGTGTAAACGCATTGATCTTTCTCGGGGTTGAACACCAAACTTGGAAGCTGGCAGTTGAAAGGATATGTGACACCAGAAAAACATTTGTAAAACATGTGACAGTTCCATGGATATCTGTAATCACCGTTTGGAAGTCCTTCGCAGAATGTATCTACGATGATATTAGATAGATTAGTTGAAGAGGTTTTTTACGATAGTTGTTTTGCAAACAAAACCTCGTAACTAGTTTCTAACAATTGAACTTTAGAAAAGACATTCGATGTGTATGTTAAAAACACACTGTCTGCTCAAAAGAGTCTCCTTTACCTTACAAGAAAAGAGCTCTTCAAAACAAACAGAAGGGACCGGAGCAATGCACCGTATCTGGTCGGTTCCCTAAAAGTTGTATTCGGATAATAGGTCGAAGAAAATAAACGATGTGGAGATCCGGTTTAAAATGCTAACCATTAAGCGATACCTTGCCTTTATTGATATGTTCATAGGCAATGTGTTAAAGCCTCACGATTTACAAAGGGTGGAACATTTTACCGACTTCTTGCACGTTCTGTAGGCGTGGGTATGTTTTCGGTATATTTTTAATCGATAAACAGATTTTAGGGCTTTGAGGTACATTTTAAAAAAATTCAAGACATTGGTAACTATGGTGGAAATATACGAGGATTCTTAATGGGCAATTTAAATAAGTCGTTTAAGTCAATTGCTTTCTTTTACGTCAATAATCAAATTTCAAGTAAGCAAGAAAAATTTGAAATATTGCAATTTACTTGAATGACTAAAAAGGGTTGTCCTATTGGCTGAATCAAATCATGCCACATACGCCAAGTATGAGACATTTAGCCAGACATTTTGGCCACATGGTACATGTATTTCCGTTACAGAATGTTATTCGAGTCCAATGGTTCGAGTCCAATTCGAAAACTTGACTGCCTAATACTAATAAGAGTAACAAAAATACCTCTAAATACAGATATAAATTGGTCTTGGATCTAAACGCTTTGAACCAAGCTTAAGATACAGTATCCATGAACTTACTTTGAATATTTCATTGCCTTGGCTCGCCGAATATTTGTGCATATTTCACTTTGTTTGCAGTTTCAGGGGTAGCTCATAGTGTTCCTTAAGGTTTAGTGGTCAAAAGTAAAAATCCTAACAAAATTAATATTATGACGTCACATTTTAAATTTCTATAGCTGAGTGATTTGCAACATAACGAGCGAAAACTTACTCTGATCTCCAAGTGTGACTGCCCGACATCTTTGTTCTCTGTGGATATAAACCTGGTTTGCAGGGCAGTTAACCACATGGCCTACTTGGCTAGTGCATTGCAAATATGTGAAGGTATCGCTGCGTGGATACTTTCCGTCTGGCCTTCCGCTGCACGCAATGTCTAACACCACTAGATAAACAGAAATATGTCATTTCTATATTATTCAATATTCAGAATGGCAATTATTATTAAAGAAAACATAAAGCGCCATCTCTGATGACAAAACAGGCCGTGAATGCAACATCACATAACAGTGAGTTTGTATTTGAGAACCAGATGTTGTTTTAAGTAATGTTTACACTATGAAGTCTAACCTAGGTAGGGCTATCACGAGGCAAGCCTTGTTTGGGGGAGGGGGAGGGTGTGGACTACGATTTTACATGATTAACTGAAATTCTTTAGTTGCTGACCCAACCCTTTGTGATACATTGTGTCAGCCAGGCGCGGATCTAGGGCATCTAGAACGGTTGCACAGGTTTCTTTCTCTGTGAATCTTGAATTTCTACCTAAAACTTCAACTGCAACAATTGCTGCATTTCTCTCTGAATGACAACAGTTCTTCTGTCTACATTCTGAATTGAACCCCCACACAAGTTCTAAATTTCGTAAAGACAGCCCTCCCTTGTTGCAAAATATCCAACAGAGTTTCCAACTTCCCAAATCATCTTTTATTCCATATTTTCCGAGGAATTCAAAGTCGAGGGAATCAGTCGTCACACGAAGTGACAATTTGGAGTATGCTATCCAATATTGAAACCGGTGGCTATTTTTCTGAAAACCTGTGATAGCCTGTGAAAACCTGTGAAAACCTGTGAAAACCTGTGAAAACCTGTGAAAACCTGTGAAAACCTGTGAAAACCTGTGAAAACCTGTGAAAACCTGTGCCCATATGTTTCCCATATGCGAAAAAAACCGATAGCTAAAAAGCATATTGGATATCGATATGCAAATGAGAACATGAGTTCTTGTATTTAGAATTTCTTTTTCGGAAAATATCATGAAAATTAGAATCGAAGTTGCAAGGATCAAAGGCCATGCTAAACGGAATAAAGTTTTTACATTTTAGAAAAAAAGGGGGGATACTTAAGAAATCTTTGCTGGCCATGCCTTTAAAATGCACTCTTTTAAGTAAATTTTTACATTTTATGCGGTTATCAAATTAATCACAATTTGATAACCTCATAAATTTCCACATTCAGCAGTATTTATGTACCATTAACATACGGGGCCATAACACACGGGGTGATAACACACGGGGTGATAACGGGGTAAAGAACCCCGAAGCCGGTCAACATTTTGGCTAGATCCGCGCTTGCAACCTAACTATATGGCATAAATTCGAAACTTCCATCAGTGGCGGAAATTACGGGGATATGAGAGGCTCAGACCCCCCCCCCAACCCCCCCTACCCTCCCCAATCAGAGATCTCTTCGGAAAATTTGGGCTTTCGTCGCACAATTTACAAAGTTTTAACGTGCCAAAATGACTGCAAGAAATCGTTCTGAAATGTATTTTAAGCAAATCTAAGGGGCGTGTTTGTCAAATTTTCTGCTCGCTTCGCTCGCAGGTGATTTGCGTTTTCTTTTTCTACCCCAGGGATCTCTATAATCTCCTTGTGCCCTTAAACATACCTGATACAATAATAAACACACCAGTACTAAATAATCAAAAACAAACAATATATGACAAAAATCAAAATTGCATTCAAATTGTATATCTAATTTCAATTCCGTAAAGATTAGCCGGACTTTCCATCGGATTCTTCCAAACAAAAGTTGTTTTCAAACGTATTTTCCACAGAAAAACACAAGATAAAATGCAGAAAATAAAGGTTACAATTACTTGTCAAAAATGTTATCGGTCGACCTCTTGCATCATCAATTGCGTTAGATGAGATACCGATCGTGATATCAAAAATAATTAACGGATTGTTCTTATGGATTGGGCGTGGCCAGCAAAGATTTCTTAAGGGTCCCGCCCCATAACCACCTATTTTCATCAAAATGTGCATTGATAAAGTTTCCTTAAAATTAGGTATGATCCAAGATGTTATCTTGTCGGAAAATCGTAGGCCTGAGCCCCCGCCCCCAAATGAAAGCGTGAATTTCCGCCACTGACTTCCATTGCTGTGATAATAAGGACTTTCCTTTAATAAGACTCTTGTCGTATCTGTATATCAGGACGGACAAAGGATGTATTCACTACCGGAGGGGGCACCATTGTTGCTGCCAAAGGAGCAGAAAATTCTCGAACTTTGATGCTTCTAGTTCCCTGGAAAATGCACTCTTTTCAGCAAATTTTACTAAAGCAATCCTCTTTTTCCTATTGAAAATTCATTTATTTTTGCAATCGGACTGAACAGCAGATAAAAATAACTGGTACAATTTTGCAGTAGTCTTGAAAATACCCATGTTCTTGCGTTACTTCCAAAGCCAGGTAACAAGCAGGCACTAGTTGTCAATTTTGTGTCCCCCTTTCCATCTTGGCATTACTTTAGAATGTAAAAAAGATCTGGAGCTCATTGTGAATTGCAGTTGACATATCTACCAAGAAATTTTAGGGAAAATGGACACAAGGCACACTTGTACCTGAGTAGGACCTCGTTTTTAGGATTGAGTACCAGCAAGAAATCTGGAAGTCATTTACTCTAAATTTTTTTACTTGCATTCATATCAAGGAATCATATTTAATCAAAGGGGAAAATCGTGAAAGGTGCTCCAATATGACAAAGTTGTGAATCAAATTTTTTATGATATTTGCATAAATTGTGATAAATGACGTGAAACGTGACTTACCGTCATTACCGCTTGTGACAACAGTGCAAGTATACTGATAAGAATAAACACATTGGTCTTTCTCGGGGTCGAACACTAATTCAGAAAGCTGACAGTTGAACGGGTAAGTGATCCCTGAGTAGCATTTGATAAACATGTGACAATTCCAAGGGTCTCGGTAGTCATCATTAGGAAGTCCCTCGCAGAAGGTTGCTGAAATGACACCGTAAAAAATCAAGCTTGCACATCGCTGAAATTGAGTTAAAATCAATGTTCTTTGAGCATCACATTTTCAATCAAGCTGGCACAATCTCGCCAACAAAAAATGCCTTAAAACGTATGACGGCAGGTTACGGCAAGTGACGGCTATAATAAATTTCATGCTTTTGGAATGCCTGCCTTGCTGGTCTTGCAAAAAGTTGTATCAAATCAGTATCCTCTTGGCTCACCATCCAAACAAATTTGTTTTCGATACTAAGTTTTTTATATAAGGATACCCCTCTTCAATTTTCACTAGCAGAATATTCGTTTCTTCAGAGTAAAGGAGGCAAACCGCTACAAAATTAAATTCTTCTTCTATATCACGAATGGAGATGAAATCGCTTATATAGATTTCAGACGACAAACTATTATACTATAGGTGCTAAAGATGGTAAGTGTTTACTCAACGTGCGCCTTTCATTTATATTTGGGTTAAGAAAATACATTAAGTGGATTCTAAGATCCTAAAAAAGGTTTGTTCTGAACTAACTGCGTATATTTTGTGTATCTATTCATGAGTTAAAGAGTATACATGTAAGGCAAAAAATATATGTTTTTAGGTAGCCAAAAGCAAAAGCATTTATGACTAACCTTGATCTGCGATCGTCACAGCACGGCATCTTCGTTCTCTGTGAATATAGACTTGGTTTGTTGGGCAATTGACAACATGTCCATATCCATTTGAGCAACGCAAGTATGTAAAAGTGTCCCTTCGAGGGTACATTCCATCTTGCTTACCACTGCAAGCGATGTCTCCGGCAACTACAGAAGATAAGAGAAGTTTACATGCATATCACCAAAGTACTCTTCATTTAGAAATAAAACACATACATGATTCTGATATTTTAGTCAGTTGTTGACCTACGTGCAGTGGCGGATCTAGACTTTGAGTGGGTTCCTATATGGGCGTGGTCCCATATTTTTCTGGCAACGCCCATTTTCGCTTTTTGATAAGATTCACAATTGTAAGATTTAATTTTAGGATTTATTATTTCATCATAATTCCAAGACAAGTAAGAAAAATAAATCTGCAAACCAAACCAGGAATTGTCATCATGAATTCTAAAAAAATGGTTTCGACTTCTTGCCAAAAAGAGGACCTTAATAAACTCTTTTAGCTGGTTACAGCTGGACGTAAGCTAACTGAGTGTTGCAAGATTTGAGTGAAATTCTTGTTACAAATATACCAAATAAGACAATTTTACAAATAATTGTCAATAATGTATAACGATGTATACCAAGTATAATGTATACCAAGATTGTCAATAATGGATAACGATGGACGAAGCCTCTCATCATATTTAGCAAACAAACCCAATTATTAAAAAGTGCAAATTATTACCTATGAAATCATCTTAATCCAATCTCTAAAGTCTTTCATTTTATCGTGGTAAAATTCTTACTCTTTAGATAAATATATTGTGTATACGTCTTCAAGAGTTCTATAAACTTTGCATTTCAAAGAGAAAATGTCTTCGACATTCCTGAGCTTCCTGCCAAGAATTCTCTCCTGCTTATTGCAATATCTCGTGAATGTCACTTTACAACTATCTGAAATGGATTTTTCGCTTGATCCATGGGCAAAAAGCCGGTGATCTGTCGTCTCCGGGTTAGCTAGGCCAGTCAAGAAAAATGAGCAAATAGTTGGCGAGGCATGTTTGAAAGCTTTTCGGAAAATTCATAGCACTCGTCCATACGATCCTTAAATTTCATTGATCTTCAGGTGCTGGTCTCTTCCCGTCTGAGGGCTTAAAACAAGCTTTCGTCATCGTGCAGTCAAAGCCTTCACTCGCAGCTTTACGTCGCCATTATGACAAAGATACTGTTTTTGCTTTCATTTAAACTTTGGTTTGATATTTCAGAAGAAACAATCTTTTGATGGCACAAAAATTAGAAATGGATTTGGAAAATGTTGCTATTGATTATGGCTTTGAATAAGGATAGGTAACATGTTTTGAGGGATGTCATTTTGGCAGGAGTGCATTTGCTGACCCTAGACGATCAATGGTTCGCCAATTCAGTGAAAAATCCAACCAAAGTTTAATCGGAGATTAATCCGATTTTATTTACCCACATTCACTGGCTCAACCTTCTTACCTTGATTAGTAGCAGTATTCTCCCGACATTTTTGTTCCTTAGCATCGTAAACATGATTTCGTGGGCATGGAATTAGTATCGCTTCCCCGCCTAGACATTTCAGGTACATTAAAGGGTCTTTTAGAGGATACTTTCCATCTTGCTTCTTGTCACAAAGAGGGTCTGCAAAGACTACAAGAAAACGTAAAGGAATCATAATTAGACTTGACTAAACCCAAGCCTTGTTTAAAATATCTTCATTCAGTGTATAAGATACTCAGTATATAGGATAAGATATTTGAAAGTATTAAAAATGTATTGTTGAGAACTGACTACAACTTTAGACTCTAATAGAGCACCGCGCCGATAACGTACTTGTCAGGTGAAAATCCTACGTTAACTGACAAAGACAATGATACCTAATCAGATTATGCATCTGCACCCATAGGCTTAAATAAAATTGCATGAGAATAATTAAAAAAGCGTTAAAATTTGCTAGCAATCTCGGTGACTCGTATAGCTTTTCATCTCAGAGTTCAGTGACAATATGTGACAGTGACAGAGAACAGTATAAACGTGTGTTCCGTTTAAGTGACGATACAAATATACAACGGTTTTACACGAAGTAACATTGAGAATAACACCATCAAAGTCCTAACTATAGTAATCACTACATCAAGAGGTGATTTCTTAAAATGTTTCAGAGTTAAGGAAGTCAGCATTAGGACGAAACAGAAAGCACGATTTATCATGAGCCACTGTTACCCTCAAAGACACTTTTCGAAAAGGTGACAAAGTTAAGAGAATTTACGATTGGTGTGCACCCCAGGTCAAGATTTTTGCTAATAAAACATATCGGACAAGGAAAGATTTACGAAAACAAGATCATTACAGAGTTTTTTTCGTGCTTACAACCCCCCATCCCCCCAAAAAAAATTAACAATAGAACCTTTAACAGGGGGCTCGACCCCCTACCCCTAAGTAAAATCACAACTGGGTACATCATTAATATATCATGGAGATGGTATGTGCAGAAAGCGTTAGCAAGCCTAAGGCACCTTTGTGAAAAGGGCACCTTTGTGAAAAGGGCACCTTTGTGAAAAGGGCACCTTTGTGAAAAGGGCACCTTTGTGAAAAGGGCACCTTTGTGAATAGGGCACCTTTGTGAAAAGGGCACCTTTGTGAATAGGGCACCTTTGTGAAAAGGGCACCTTTGTGAATAGGACCAGTGGCGTACCCAAGGAGGGAATGGGGGGTCCAGACCCCCCCCCCCACATTTCTAAAATATGGTCCTCGAGATTTGTCCAAAAACTATGTAAAACTCATTGGGGCTATAGTATACTGTATGCTTGTGTCAATAACAATTGCAAAATGTTTGCTTTTTACCGTAGCTAACATGAATAAAAACTTTACCATCCCCTTGATTGACATCTAACAGTAACTAGATTCAGGGTCGGATTTAGCTATGCTAGTTGAGTTATGAGGTCCCTCACTTAGGCCCTGACGGAGCGGAGATATGCAGTATACATACACAGACATACATACACAGACATCCCATCATATATTCACAGAAAATTTAGAATTAGTCAAAACATTACATTATCATTATATTCTTGCTCTGTAGAAATGCTTAAAGAAGCGACAGGTTCTCGAGACGATACTCAAATTTCAACTAACTATTTAATAACTAACAGGTGGCTAATAAGCAGTCATAGGGTGTCCACATGGCAATATAACAATTATCCCTTAAAAATGTCAATATCTTCAATTCAAGCAAATTTTTAAAATAACATTCCCTCATCACAGGAAGCAACGTTGGGCCATTGGTGCATCAGCACAAGTTGCTTCACCTAAACCCATACAAAATGCTAACCTTTAACACTTTCGTGCAAAAGCCCAAACTACAGAAATCCTTCTTCTTTATTATTCCCAATGGCATCAAAGAAGCACATAAGGACTTGATACCAAACTGAAGCATGACAATTGACAAACAAATGAGAATAATACAAATTAGCTAAAATAAGAACCCCTAGCAAAATCAAATTCTACGACATCCTTCGTGAAATTAACTCTGATAAAATTTCATTTGATCAGCATTTATCAGCTTTTAAATTGTTTGTATCCGAAAAGTTCAAGCATACCAACCTCATTTCGGGTCATTAAAGAAACATGCTTTAATGCATTTCTAGGCTTTCGGTTCGAAACAAATTTTCTGCATTGTTCCAAATTTTGGTGCTGGCCTGCCCGGAACCTACATTCGCAAGCCTGGACAAAGCAGAGCAGCGGAAAAATATGCCTGTATTTAATTGAAAAGCAAATTTTTTTTCGGCGTGTGAAACGTTCGGACACAAAACGGTCTGAAAATATAATTGTCCGAAACTTTGTCGTATAGAAAGGATTGTTGAAACATGTACATTTGGGTGTGCACGTGCAATAGGAAAGTGCCAGGAACTGTAGCGCTGCATTAAAAACATTGAATTTCTCCACTTTCTTTCAAGCTTTTAGATAAACACCCATTTTCATAAGAATCAATAAAGTTCAGTCTGGCTGTTCTCAATATTTTCGTAAATTATTGGGTTGTAAGCAGTGAAATTGCTAGGTTTTGTGCTCAAGGGGAGTCTTTAGACCCCATTTGCCAACAAGTGAACCATTTTTTATTTGCCAATAAATTTAAAAATTCACTGACAAAGCACCCTTACAGGGCCGTCAGAAGCGGAAGGCTGAGGGGTGGAGCCCCCCAATATTCGTCAAACTGTACTATATGTCCTTTATAACAGTGTAATCACGGAATATTTCTATTCTGTGGTGTATGAATGGGAACAATACAATGGGCAATCCCCCTATTTTCAATTTCATTCCGATGGCACTGCCCCTATATGGAATTTTAAGGGGTTTCACAACTTTTTAAAAGATGCATTATACAATACCTCAGCTTTAGCTTGTTCTTAATTTGTTCTTAACTGTTAACCAATTTTAATGCTAGCGTTCCTATGAGATTGTTCTTTAAAAAAAATAGAAGACAAGAAAGCAGTGATCTGATAACAGCATTAAAAAAATAAATCTAACAAATAAAAATCAACAACTTGATAACAGAAGTAGTAAGGAAGAAGTAACAAAACGATGCACGTATTTTTTACAAGAAACTATGGTCCGGTGCTGGTAGGCACTTTCGTAAATTTTCTGGCCATTTTGCTATCAAAGTTTTGTACATGTTTTCTTAAATTTCTTATAGGTGTTGAATTTTATAAACGTGCTTCCAGGGTAAAGTAAATAGTTCACTTACATTCAGAGATAAACTATTGTAATGTGTTAAATCGAAGAATGATAAACGAAAACAAGTATTAAGTGTGCAATTGAGTGTGCAATTTACTGAGAATGAATGCAAACTGCATGTCAAGTGTAGCGTTGCAATATAATACAGTGATGTTAAATGTCAAGACTGTTTCGAGTGTCAACTCGGATAATGTCAAGACTGTTTCGAGTGTCAACTCGAAAAATTAAATCTACAAACTATAAAAGTTTCTTAGCTGTTTTCAATTTGGGTAGGGTTGTTTCTTAACTCTCGAAAAATTGAGCCTACCGTTTCTTATAACCTATTTCTTATTAAAAATGCGTGTAATTGAATACACAAACGCACAGTACAGTCACACTTTAAGAAGACAGTGGACAGAACTTGAATATCGTTCTGAAATTGATTACATTTGAAATTAAAGTAATTTGAGGCCAAAAGCTTATAAGGTGGTTTATCAATATTAGGAATATCTTCCACCTTCTTGAAGATGAAACTTGGGTTTTCATCAGCAGACAAATTATTGTATAAATTTCTGTTGAAATATTCTTTATGAATGCTTAGGCCATGTCAAAAATTCTCAGACCTTAAAAAAATCGAGACGAGCAATTCCTAGGTCCTGTGCAAACAGTAGACGCATTAAAGGCTTTCTGCCAGAAGCTAAGGATGTGCTGCAAGATTCGATCACACTTCGGCGATCTTTGTTAAAATCCTTTGACAATCTACCTTCAGGGGTAATCCGTTAGCAGGCAGTCTTGATAATCCAAAAAGCTTCTCGACTGAAACATTAAAAAGCCACTGCAATATTTGTATTAGAATAAAAATATTCCATATGCATATTTCGACCAGAACAGAACATAAAAATGAATTTGATTTGCAAATGTGATCAGAGCAATGAGGCATTCCACATGATCCCTGTATATAAACTTCAGGTCTTCACTGACTTAAAAGATGGTGCTTCAAACTTACCCCCAAAGACAGCAATTAAAGACAGGGTACAACCAAACCAGAACTTCATCTTCGTCTGTCTTCTTTGCAGTGTGCTTGAATGTGAAATAAAAGGACTAACTGCAGATCTTTTATACCAACAGGGAAATTTTGCGGAAGTTCAATCCCTCATCATGTGATATTACGCAATATGATGTTTGTGAGGCAACCTATTTACCTTTGACAAAGAACAGAGAAGGGGATTTCCAGGTTTTCAATTGTCTGAAGTGTGAATTGTCTACCTGGATAATTTCTTATCACGGTGTTGTGATAAAGGTAACAACGGTCTTTAACGAACAGTGTATGGAGTATATTTCTTTCTTATCGACTATTTTCTCTATTTTGTTAGTAAAAGTTCCAAACAAAGTGTACTCAATTCTTCGTACACAAAAAGGGTCACGAGCAAACGAAAAATATTATTCAACAAAGATGCAAAAGTGAATAATTTTTTGGGATTTACTTACGTCAATTTCACATCAAAAATTACTTCGTGGCTAACTTTTAAAGACGTTATTGATGCATCAAGGAAAATCGTACGATTTAGACATCATTTCCAAGAAATCATGTGATTTCGATGGCTCCTACCAAAATTGCAATTTCTTGGAAAGGAAGTGATGACGTCAATCCTCGTAATAGCGCAACGTCCAACCACTTATTCTGTGGTCCCACGTCTTTTGACTGCAGTCCAGGGCCGCTAAGGTATGACATCGTGATATGCAATTTGTTATAATTCATGTGATTTTATCAAAGTGACGGAACACAATGCTTTTCAAATTAGAAATTGCTAAATAATAGCTCAACTTATCGCAAAATTGCTTTATCTTTTCTTCGTTCATATGTAGTTAGTCCTTTTGTTACTAAATTTGTCAAACCATGTTTCACTTACTGCTCTTCATTTATTTTTCAGTTCATCATTCAAGATAAAATAATTTGGATTAATGCTAAGCCAAAAAACTTTCTTCCAAATTTTACCCTGGGTATAAGGGCCTCATAGAAATAGGACGTCGAACAGTCACTTCACCCAGGGGAGGGGGTCACTTAAACTTTTTATATACAAGGGGGTCCATCCGATAATTATGGGTAAGATTTTCCGTGTGGTGTGATATTTTTGCCTACTTGACTTAGCAATAGACCTTTCGGATGGGTTCAACTCACACAACAATATAAGAAAAATGAATAAAAGAAAAAATGGGTTAAGACTGATAAAATTACTATGACCAGTGGTCTCTCAGTGGCGGAAATTCATTTTTCAGGTGGGGGGGGGGGGACAATCAAATTTTGTAGACAAATGACATAATTTACGGACAAAAGCTTGTCTTAATCGACAATTTAGCAAAATTTTGGGGCACTTGACACCTCCTCGCACACCCAACTCCCACCACTGTGGTCTCTTATGTGCTAAACATCAAGATTTTGTGTTCTGACATTTGTGGGTCTTATCGACACACTTTTTAGCTCATAATTATGGGTCTTCTAAATTTGTTTTTGATTCTTTTAGTTGAATTGGTAACTGTGGATGGTGTCTCAAGCCAAACACGAATTCCGAAGATCGTACGATAGTTCACAGTTCACTTTCACTTAAAGCTTAGGGCATATAAAGTTGTCAAGTGATGGCGTCACAAAAATCTATTTTTAGAATTTTTGAATTTTTTCCCATAACCTGAAAGAGCATCAAATACCTCTAAATCTGCAAAATCAGTTAAAGTTATTACGAATTGGCTGAGATATGACCAGGCGGGCACAAGCTCTGGCCCAATCAAAACTCTGTAATTTGGTCTCAGTTCATAACTTTTTGAACTGAGCTTAAATAACAGTAATCCATTAGCAAACTTCAAATCTTCTATTGTCCATAGCTCACCCGGTCTTTTTGACAAATTTAACTGATTTTGCATATATGGGAGTATTTTATGGTGTTCTTTCATGCTATGTGGTCAAAATTCGAAAATTCTAATCATAGTTTTTTTGTGACGTCACACTTTAGAATTCCATTTAGGAGAATATTACGCACAATAACTAACAGATGAGATATACAAGGACTGGACCGCGGAGCAAATTACAGTTTTAGGGGGCTAAAACGGGGGGGAGCTAAAAAGGGGGGGCTTTTGTATGCTTTTAAGTACATTCTGGAAATAATTGGGAGGGAGTCCTGAAGGGTCTTACGATGTAAGCTGAAAATCTTCCATATTTTTCCTCCGTATTCTTTAGTATGTTTGTTTTAAACAATTTACAATATATCGTTTGCCCCATATCAAGATAAAATAAGATAACTTAGTTATCTTTCTTGGCCATATTCGAATCCATGAGAACGTGTTCGCTAATCGACGAGTTTTTTGGCCAGTTGTCAATTAATTCTTTATAGTTCTGTATATTCCGACAAAACATTGAAATTTTGAACCTGGCAGACATTTACTTTGTAAATATTACGAGAATTTGTTTTGATCATTATCATCATTATAGCTATTTTGTGTTGCCCACGATGCATACATACCAACCGCATTGTGTATCCTATGGCAAGCTGTAGTGGACAAAATGTGATTGAAAAGGAAATCATGCGTTGACATTTATATCATCGAAATATTTCGGACAATACAAATTCGAAAAAACTCGGCCAAAACAAACTCGAAAAAAATTGGACACCACGATTTGAAACTCAAGGCTACTAGAAGAGAGCAGAAGCAACGATTTTTGAATCTCAAGTATCCAAGGGAAACTGATCACTAACAATCGAGATTTTATCCACAGTTCAAAAAATTATGCTTCAATTGTCCGAGATTTTTCGAATTTGTCTTGTCCGAGATTTTTCGAATTTGTTGTCGATCACCCAAAAAATTAGTCGATAAGACAAAGAAGTGTGCTAGACCAGGTAAAGGTGTTCTAGTACCTGGGCGTCACTCTGACAGAAAACATGACAAGCGAAATGGAGGTCAAGAGAATTGGAAATGTGCAAGGGCTTTGGCTAGACTTGCCAACATCTGGAGAGCATGGAAATTAAACATCAGGAGTAAGATGAGATTAATAAATGCGATGGTAACAAGCATCCTTCTTAATGGTTGTGAAAGTTTGACAGTCACGAACAAGATCTGGAGAAAGGTGGAAGCATTGGAGATAAAGTGCTATAGAAAAATACTTGACATCACATGGATGGAGCGCACAGCGAATGAATTAGTCTGGGGACTGGTTGAGACTGTCTTTGCTGGGCTACGACCGGAGAGATTGATGCAATGGTGCAAATGAGGATCCTCACCTTTGGATACCAATCAATACCAGCTGGATGGAAAAGGAAGCATATCCAGGGAAAGTGTGACGGTAGCAGGTACGAAGGAAGACCAATGCGCGTCTGACAGGACAACATCACTGAATGGACAGGACCGGCGGACAGGCATGCTAACACAGGCACCGCGGAGCAGGGGGGGGGGCTAGGGGGCCTTAGCTCCCCCACTTTTTCCAAAAATGCCAAATATTAAGTATCAAACTACCAGAAAAGCCTCTTTTTATACGGTTTTAGCCCCCCCAACGTTTTTAGACCCCCACTTTTTTCAACCTTCCGCGGTGCCTGTACCACCCACTAATCAGTGGTACCCCCTCACAGCAGACAGGGAGCGGTGGCGAGCGAGCGTCAGGCGATGCGTGCACCAACGGCCTAGCTAGCAGGCTATTTAACATTGTAGGATATCTAAATTTAATTCAGCTCATAGTTGCATTGGAAACGCAAGAATAAGTACATCAAAAAAGATGAATTTTTTAGCTAATCACAAGACTCGTTTATGTATGAAAATATGCGCTATTTGGGTACGTTCGCAAAGAAAAGAACAATTTTTGAATTTTGATGCTTCAAGTTCGCTAGAGAATCCACTCTTTGAAACAAATTATTGCAAACTGTGTTGCACGAGACTGTTTTAATCGACTTTCTTGTGTTGTTGTTGTTGTATTTTTAGCTCAGTTCAAGTAGTCGGGACAATGCCTTGATGTCAGGACAGTTCCGAAGAAGTCGAGAAGGTTGAGAGTTGTGTGATTAGGTTTTTTTCACGGCGATTTCAGGGTCGACCTTTGCAAAACCAATGCTATTGACGAGGTCCTTTCCGCCGAAATCGAAATCGTCTAGTAGATCCCCAGACATGGTAATGCGAAGGTGGTTTTTTCATTATCCCTATCGTAAACAGCAGCACTAGTTGTCAATTGATCCCTCTTCATTGCAGCTGACTCTTCTTCCGAAAAAACTGTTGATAAATTTTTCAAATAAATAAAGGCGGCCTTTTTGAGGTTCAGTGCAAATAAGAAATCTTTAAATCATTACTAAAGCTTAGTTTTCTTGTCTTCTTGCAAGGGAATATCATGTTAAAGCAACTTGAAGCAACTCAATTGCCAGGGCCGCCGAGAGGTTTTGGAGGCCCTTGAGCAACAGCGAGAGATGAGTAATTTGTAAAGTAATTTGTCAGAGCGAAGGCGATTGACTGACTTTCTGCTATCATCTGGAAGTATAGCCAAGGCTTTTCCTTTTTAAAGAGTATTTCCTTTTCACTTTCTTCAAGTTGGCAACATACAATGCTAGCTGTATTAAAGCTAATTAAAACCAGGGACGAAAACAAGTTGCTAATTTTGGGGGGGGCGTGGAAGTATGAAAATTCCAACTTCAAGTGATAAATTTTTCATTCGACCAGTATATCTGTTGTACCTACCAAATTGATATTTGTAAATAGCCCGAGCACCATAGTTCTATTTTCTTTATAATTACCAAATCTTTACTCAATAATTAGCCTAAAGCATAAAAGCCTAAATCTCTAAATTTTGATTAACATGAAACAAACATTAAACATACTGTAAGAAGTAAAGCAACATTTAAGCAAAACCAGTATTAGATATACTTAATGATTAGTAGTATTCTTTCAGATCAATTAATCAATTTTATCTAAAATACATTTTTTCACGATATAGAAGCACCAAGAATTTGGGCCTTTTATTTTCGTTCTTGATCGAAGAAAACTACCATTAAACTTTTCAGAGGGCCAAATGCCTTTTCATTCTTTACAATTGAAATGATGATTTGAGAACAAACTTGTGCATATGCCTGATTCGAAAGATGAAATACTCTTCTTTGATCAAATACTTCTACTGCAGTTTTTGCAATGTGTTCTTGCTCCACAGCAGTTTTGTCATAGGAATTTATGATAAGGACTCAAGGACATTAACAAATAACAGGGGGAGTTTAGCATAAACTCGTTTTTTATAAGAAGCGTTGAGAATTTTTAGTACTGAAAGATTCTTAATCTTTTATTGAATTAACTACTCGTAGTCTGTAAAAAAATTCCCACTCTAATATTTTCTGATCAATGCGGGTATTATTATTCCAAACTGTAAGTTTCAAGTTTCTTATCCGTAAGTTCACCTTGCCTGTTCGTAATTTGATTCAACTCCCGTCAGAAAGAAAGAAAAAGGAAAAGGGGAAAGTGTGCAATTTGGATCCAGTGGAGACGGGATTCACAATAGAAAACGATTAGTGGATGGGTCAACTTCAGCCTGTGAATTTTAATGTTTAGAATTTTTATATTTAAAATAAAAAAACTTCTTAAAATATAAAATTCACAAGTTTGGTCTTAAGAAAAAATTCCAAGTCAACCGTTACGTTTTCCAACTGTAACTGGATTTTCCAAACTTTGGGGGGGCGTTACGCCCCCCACGCCCCCCTATTATTTACGTGCCTGATTAAAACCAACAATATATATATATGTATAAACAAAAACCGAATTCAACAACAGTAACAGTAATAAATGGATAACTAATAAAATACAGAAGTGCACAGTAAGTTCCCTGTCTTTTGTCCTATAACTGGTTTGAAATGTGGCATGAGCAAGAATTCGCTGATATTATTTTGTCACTTGCTTTTAAGATGTTTATAGTTGAACTTGGAGTGATTTCTGCAGGGGTGCAGTGGGAGTTAACTTTTTTTTGGAGGCAGGGGGGGGGCAAAGCTGAAAACTTTCCGATAAAACTATGATTTTTCCGACAAATTTTTTCTCAATACATTCCTTGAAAACTCCCCTTGCTGCATATACTGCAACACTTGATACTACGATATCACGAATGGATCTGGAAATCGTTAACGAATGGATCGTTCGTTATCAGGGGCGGATCCAGGATTTTTGGTGACTATAGCTCAAATCTTTTGGGATCGGAACCACGCCCTCCTTGCTTGCGGGACACGCCCACTATATGGGCAAATGATATACCATGTGTGTTTATAGTTGCTTCGTATTCATAAATATTCCTTCAAACATCCTTTTTCTATTTCCAGGGACGCCAGAGAAGGGGGTGTGGGGGTACAACCGCCCCTGTTGCCCTTTGGCAGAAGGGGCAAGGGTTGTTTTTAATAAAGTTCCCTTGAAACTGGCCAATTGTAATAATCAGAGAGATTTGTATGAAATTCTGAACTTCTCAAAACATGTAAAATAATTCCTTGTGCCGAAAGTTAGCCAGTGTTGAAGATACCTACAGATAATAAAATTGCAGTTACGTATGAATTTGTAGAAGCTGAGAATTATCTTTCAAAAGCCTTTTTACTCAAGCCTGCCCCCCCCTTGCCGCTTGGTCGTTCCGCCGTCCCTGTCTATTCCCTAGTAGGTCCTTGCCTTTGAAGCTACATTACAGGGGACCCAGGATGTGAAAACGAGCTATAGTCTACTGTTGCTTTACAGGGGACAGAGAGCGGAGAAATACTGTGGATACTCATATTCTATTGGTTAAAAAGCCATTTTCAAACCTGACTATAGCTTGACTATAGCTCGCGCCAAAATTATAGTACGGGTTTCATTGTCTTTGATGCCTTTTCCAGAGCAAATCCCCAGACGGACTATAGCTCGGAATTTCCACTGTAGCTCAATTCTGGTTGGTTACTGTCAACAAAGAACGAAACTTCTGATTCGTCTAAGTTTTAATATTAGACCATTCTGCGCTCAGTGTTTTATATCTTATCTGGAGAGGCATTGTGATGACACATTGCCAGCAGTGCATGTTTGTTAATCGCATTTGATAACCTATACCGCTGCTTTCAAATGTGAATTCCGAAAATCAAACACTGAGATTTTGACTATAGCTCAAGTAAAAAATCACTTTCGACGTTGATTGTTATCAGAGAGGAAAGGCGGTCTTGTTCCATTGTTGACCGTAGCCGATTTTTTACAATCCACAGCTTTGAAAAAGCTCTTTCATAGTTTGTTGAACCTATAGGCAAAGTGACGAGAATCTTTCTCAAAAAGTAAAGAAAAGTAAAGTAAAGTAAAGTAAAGTAAAGTAAAGTAAAGTAAAGTAAAGTAAAGTAAAGTAAAGTAAAGTAAAGTAAAGTAAAGTAAAGTAAAGTAAAGTAAAGTAAAGTTAAGTAAAGTAAAGTAAAGTAAAGTAAAGTAAAGTAAAGTAAAGTAAAGTAAAGTAAAGTAAAGTAAAGTAAAGTAAAGTAAAGTAAAGTAAAGTAAAGTAAAAGTAAAGTAAAAGAAAAGTAAAAGAAAAGTAAAGTAAAGTAAAGTAAAGTAAAGTAAAGTAAAGTAAAGTAAAGTAAAGTAAAGTAAAGTAAAGTACGATTAAGTAAAAGTAATAAGTAGAAAGTAAGTAAAGTAAAGATATAAAGTAAGTAAAGGTAAAGTAAAGATAAGTAAAGTAAAGTAAAGGTTAAAGTTACAAAAACGTAAAAATCAAGTAAAGTATAAAAGTAAAGTAAAGAAGTAAAAGTAAGTATAAAGTAAAGTAAAGTAAAGTAAAGTAAAGTAAAGTAAAGTAAAGTAAAGTAAAGTAAAGTAAAGTAAAGTAAAGTAAAGTAAAGTAAAGTAAAGTAAAGTAAAAGTAAAGTAAAGTAAAGTAAAGTAAAGTAAAAGTAAAGTAAAGAAGGACCAGCTGTGGAAAGGCACTTTGCAGGTTGTACTTATCATCAACTGAAGAACTGAGTGGAAGTTTTCTCTTTTTAAATCAAGACTTTCTCCTGCAGCCAGCTGAGGGCTGCTCTTCTCTCTAACTTTCCTAAATTTACGGTAATTATTGACGAAAGAGCTGTACTCTTTTTTTAATTTTTCGTCATCCAGGCCGTAATTTTTGAATGACACTGCATAAAACTGCCTTTCAATTGTTTTTTGAAAACATTCAGGGTTGAACAAGGCAAAATGTGTCAAAATTGCCTTATGGGATGTGAATCTTGTATTCATTGGGCTGATAGCTGTATCTACTATCACGATAATATACGGATTCCCTATTTCCTTCTAATTCATCCATGCAATTTTCCCCTGGCATCTTTTTCTGCGTATTGCGTCTTCTACAACCCCAACGAATTCATTTCGAAATGAACTGAGTTGAACTTTAGCTGTCGGAAATGGGAGTTTATAAAATAAATTAGGGCGCTCTAGAATTATGGTGCTAACTTGCTAAGCAACCCCCTGTCGTCCGAAAAACTTTATAAAGTTTAGGTTGACAATCCAGTGTTGAAGCCCTAGCTATATTTTCTAGCAATATTTTATAAATATGATTTGGCATTTTCTAGAAACGCTACAAGCTTGCGGTTAAACTTGGCATTATTATTATAATTAGGCGGTAAAGGGCATTATTTTTATATTTTGCATTTATTATTGAAATTAGGTGGAGACCGTCGAAATGCTGTTGTTGCTTCAATGCTGTTGCTGTTGCCTTAAAGCGCGTTTTGGTCACATGCTAGTTGTTTTGGCGATGTTACCCACGAAGTTCCTGGAGAAAAGGGTGTTAAATTACCTGAAGCCCCGTCTTATTGCTCCGTTAGCGAGCAGTGCTCCTAGCAGAAGTATGAGCGTAAGTAGCAATATGTGAAAGCTTGAAAGCATTTGTATTGTTAATCCTTATCGAAGAAAATTGGTGATCTAGTAGTCTTAACGTGTGGCAAATCTACAAATCGCATACGAACTTTCGTATGTATTGCAAGTTGGGATGAGGTGAATAAGAAGGGTGGGTATATTGTCGAGAAGACTCGCAGAGTGGTTTCAAGACCTAAAAAACCGAAGACTGTTAGCTTGAGTCAATTTATTCGCCCCAATTACATCAAAACGTCGGATTAGCTATGAATCGGCCTATATGCACGACAGGAAAACCACAAAATCAAATAGAATTGTAACTTTTTTGTTAGGGCTTAGGGACGGATTAAGCGGGGTGGAGGTGTAGGGGGCTCGACATCCCCCCAATATTTCTGTGTCCTTCGGTAAACTTTGTTTCATTCGATAAAAATAATTTGTAGGCAGTTTGTAGTAGCAAAGTAACGCCAAGGTTTTTTATTAAAATTTTATCTCATCACAATGGATTCTGTCATCCTCTTGCCTTTGTTCCTGACTCTGTTTCTTGAAAAATACCTCAAATCCCAATAAATGAGGGGTCTGTAATAAACTGGGTTGGTGGAAATTTTCCTCAAATAATAAACAGAGTGAAACAGAAGAAATACAAACAAGACACTAGTTTCTTAAAATTGAGAGAAAAGGATTCTTGGCTCTAAATGATGTTTTTCTCCTTTTTTTGTTCTTGGTGCACTTCCTTACATTGCAGGGAGCTTTGTTGTTTACACCTTGCAGTTTTTTAATACACCAGACACAAAAGCAACAAATAGGGGTCTGAAATAAAATGGATTTTTGTTGAAAACTAGTTAGCATGATGAGATGCATATTCCCAATTTGAAAGTATACTTCTACTATTCATATTATTTGCTGAAAAGTGATTGTAGCCAACACACCAAACATCCAGAGTTTTCAATCTCATCAAAGTGAACTGTTGGTAGCAAAATACGCGTACATGTTTTCATTCTGAATTCAGTCATAAAATCGTAATATTTCATTCTCTAAAGAGACAAGATTTTATCAGCTTCATGATTTTGAGAGGAAATTTCCAATTTTTTCACAAACAATTTCTGAGTAAAAAATTAACAAAAAGAAAACTGTTATTTGTTGGCTGTTGAAAATATTCATATATTGTTGTCAACCATGGGTTAAGAACTGGTGGGCTTAGGGTTGAGGGGGCTAAGATCCTTCTGTTGAAGTGAATATGCAAAGGTAAACGCTGTCATTTGGCAAGCAGGCAAATTTCTCAGTATGGGTCAAGCAAATATTATTGATAAAGATAATTATGAAGTTCTAATTACACTGCTAATATTTGAATTTTATTCCCAAAGCATCTTCAAGTCCACCAGAACACATACCCATATAATAATTTTTGTTTAGACTGCTGAAAAATTAACAACAGGCAAAATGGAAGGAAAAGAAATTAATATACTGTGAATCCTCATATTAGCCCCCTCGGGGCTTATCCATTTTGATAATTTTGGATGGGGGCTTATTTGAGAGAGGGGCTTATACGTGTGGGGGGGGCTTATAAAATTATTGTAGACATTAAGAAGACATTATTAAAAGAGGTCGTTTATTTTAGTAGGAATTTCCATATGAGCATTTAGTTAAAGGACAAGTGACACGCTTTTGGCGCCAAATTTTTTTCTTCTTTTAACTTAAAGTAAAATGCTGTATGAGAGTGTTGTTGAAATATTTTTCCTTTCTGATTTCATTTTCCTACTTAAAAACCCTTTTCAAATTATGGCGGGAAATGAGTCACGTGACACCGTGACGTAGATTGTGATAATTTGTTAGTGTTGCTACTGGTATACAGTGCAACATTAACGTTTACAACACAGTTCTAAACGAATTCAGTTGGTCTGGACCTGTCGCGTCGTGTTTCGTAAATTCTCTATTAATGACAGGAAAATTCCGAGTTATCACAATGTACATCATCGGGTCACTTGATAAAAAGCAAAATCGTGCCCTCTGTGCCCCCTGATTAGAATTTTTTGTTCTAAACCAGATAAAACTTACTTCTAAATGATGATCTATTAGTTAATTAAAAGAAAAGATAGGGTGAAAAGTGTGTCACTTGTCCTTTAATTATTACCAAAAGTATAAATTTGTGTATAATTAAATAAAACGCCAAACGCAACCTCAGGTGGCAAAAAACATCAAATTGAGGGGTCCAATTTGATATTTTACGGTAGCAGTGGGGGCTTATTTGAGGGGGGCTTATTGACAATTTGTAGCTCTGGTGTAATAAACCAAATATTGAGACGTAAAATGACTTCAAAATATATTTATCTTCATCATAATCGCACATACAAAAAACTGACTTACAACACGTGCTAACTGGAATAGAGGCTAGATATGATTTATGCACATATTTTAATACTATTGTTCACAGGGGATAACACTATCCCCCTCCCCATCTCTCTTCCTATGTTAGTGAATGTGAACGAGTTCTGTTTGGTAGTATGTTTGCAATGTCTACTCTGCACCAATTTCTGTTGATCATGTTGTTATTATCTTCTGGTTGTTCTCCGTGGTTCAAGTCCCCTGTATTCCCTCCTCCTCTTGCACCCTCAACGTGTACTCTATCATCAATGAGATTTGTTGTCTTGTTATTGGTTAGGTCAGCAAAAATGTCACAGACTTTTTTCTTAGGAGGTCCCTTTGCAGGTAGGGGGTCAGTTGCTTTTTTGAGTAAGTGGATTGATCTTGGAGGTATATACTTCAGTTGATTGACATGAATAGTAGGACTGGCTTTGCCACTGGCGTCAACAAGCTTACAATTCAGATCTCCTATCAAGTGGGTGATTGTCCAAGGCCCCGACCACTTTGGTTGAAAACAACGTGAAATACCCCTTTTCTGAGGTGGGTTCCATAACATGACAGTATCATTGATCTTATAATGATGTTGGGTAGTTTTCTTATCGTACTGTTGTTTCATTCTTTCTCTGCTCTGGTTGAGGATACTGCGAACATTGGGAAAGGAGTTTTTAAGGCGCGTACCGATGTCATTGGCAAAAGCTTGAGCCTGTTTCACATGGTGTGGAGCAGACTGTTGAATCTGTTGCTGTGGTGATTTATTAAACAGCAACGCAGTTGGTAAAGAAAGTTTAGCACCAAGAATAAGTTCAGCAGGTGTAACTTTAGTGCTATTATTAACACTTGAACGAATGGCGTAGACAGCTGATTGCAAGAACGTGTCCCAGTTACGGCCATGTTGATCGATTTGTTTCTGCACACAGGACTTAACTAGTTTTACCATTGCCTCGGAAAGGCCATCACCTTGTGGGTGGAGACGCGAAGACTTGGATTTACCTATACCCAAGATTTTGGCCACTTCCCGCATAACATTGCCATGAACATTTGAGGCACCATCACTGTGCAAACGTTGCATAATCCCATACCGACAGATCCATTGGTCGTGAATCGCTCTAGCAATAGTAGGTGCCGATATCTCTTTGAGGGGAACAACTTCAGGCCATTTTGTAAAATGGTCGACCAGGATAAGAGCATACTTGAAACCATCTTGAGACGCAGGCAGAAAAGGTCCGGCTAGGTCGTAGCAAACAAGTTCGAATCGTTCAGTAGACTGTATTGGCTGTAACTGATCTTTGTGGTATCCTTGAGGGGGTGGATTAAAAGAAGCACAAATCTTGCAACTTTTCACCCAGTTGATCACATCCTGTTTGGCATTGGGCCAGAAATAGTGTTCACAAAGGCGAGACCAAGTTCTGTCAACAGCAAAATGACCAGAGGATGGGTGGTCATGGCAAAGTTTCAGGACGGTTCCACGTAAATCGTCAGGTACTACAGTTCAGTTGTGCCAATGCAAAATGCCATCCTCAGATACAGAAAGTTTATTGCGATATGGTTTTAAGGAACCTAGACGGCAGACATCAAAGTTTCGTTTATCAGAAGACATGTACTCGATTGCTGCTTGGATGTGTTGATCTTTTGTTTGGAAATCTCTGATTGCAGCCACTGTAATATTAGGTTGTAATTCTTCCAGTGAGTTGACACTGTGCATGCGACTGAGACAGTCGCTTATGGCGTTGTTTTTGGATGGAATGTGTTCTATTTTATAATTGAACTCTGAAAGTTGCAAAGCCCAATTCAGCAATTTTCTACTCTTAGGGTTGCATTTGAATTGCAGGAATGAAGTTACGCGATTATCAGTACGCAAGAGAAAGGGTTTACCAAGAAGGTAGTGACGAAATTTTTCGGTAGCAAAAATTATAGCATGCGCCTCTTTCTCTACAATGTTCCACCTTGATTCAGTTTCATTGAACTTTCTGCTGGCGTAGGCGACGATGTATGTTTTGCCATCACTTGTGTTATGGGCTTTAAGACATGCACCTTCACCTCTGTCTGATGCATCGACTTCTAGGATGAAAGAGTCGGTACTTGTAGGAGCTCGTAAAACTGGTGCGGAAGAGAGAAGCTGCTTTAGTGCTTCAAAGGCTGCTTGAGCTTCAGGTGTCCAGACAAACGTTGAAGTCGGTTTTGCAAGTTCGTGTAGAGGAGCAGCAACAACAGAGAAGTGGGGAACAAATCGATCACAAAATTGTGCCATGCCTAAAAATTCCTTCAAGGATTTGGCATTGGCTGGCACTGGAAAATCGGTGATGGACTGAATGCGAGCTGGGTCAAGGCGAATGTGTCCCTTGTCAATGAAATGGCCTAAATACGGCAAACTTGTCTGGAAAAATTTGCATTTCAAGGCGTTTAAAGTGAGACCAGACTGTCGAATTCTTGCTAAAACTCTGCGAACATTGGAGAGATGATCTGTGAAATCTAATCCTTTAATAACCACATCATCGTAGAAGGGTGGTAGAATACAGTCGCTTAAATCAGAAAATGTTTGTTCCATGGTTCGTTGGAACAAAGAAGAGGCCGGTTTGATACCTTGAGGCATAACGTTCCAGGTCCATTGACCAAAACCGTAACCAGGAGAAAAGGCAATGATCGGTTTGATTCTATCAGCACAAGGAATTTGGTGGTAGGCACTGTTGAAGTCGATTGAGCTGACATATTGAGAGCCGCGAACAGAGTCAAGACATTGTTGAAGAGATGGAGAAGGCCAACCTGAATCTTTGATGGCAGGGTTGAGAAAACGATAGTCAACTACAAGTCGAAAACGATCGGTAACATCACAGCTATTTGAAACATTCTTCTTGGCAACAAGGACTGTAGCAGCACGATAAGGTGAATCAATATGTTCAATTAGGCCATGAGCTTTATAGTGCTGTAAAAGTTCCTTGACAATGGATTGTTGATGAAGTGGCACTCTGCGTAAAGGCATTGAAATGGGTGTCGAATGAGCCAAATCAAAGTCAAATTCTGTCACGTTGGTTTTGCCAATTTTGGTGTTTGATAAAGAGAAGACATCAGAAAATTCCATCAGTAAATTCTTGGCTTGTTGAAACTGCGAGGGAGACAAGTGGGTCAACTGTGAAGTGAGAATCGTAATAGGATCGGAGGTTTGAGTAGAATTATCTGTGTCCTGAGTAGAGAGAAGATTAATTGTGTCTTTAGGAAGAACAATGAATTCTTCAAAGTCATACGTCCCTAGAGCAACCTTGGTGCCCTTTTTGATGGTCTTTGCGACGGCAGAAGTATTAACAAGGACGGTGGGAACACATGAGTGTTGATGAGAAACCTTGTGTAAGTACGGAACAACCTTTACATGCAGACGTTCTTCAAAGGGTGCATGTCCATCAATCAGTGCAATCGGTTCTGAAACTGGGCGGAATGCATGAAGGGAGGCCCCATTAGCAACTGTCTTAATAGTCAATGATTGTCCGGGTAGTATTGTGTACTTGTTCGGTGTTATGAAAGCAATGTTATCTTGAAGAGAAGGCTGAGAAGATACCAATACCATGGTTTGATCTAGATGAAGGAGTTTCTTGGAGTTGTCAATGCCCCATTTGGTAAATTTATTTAGAAAACTCAAACCGAGAATGCAAGAATAAGGCAATGCATCAATAATCATAAATTCAACAATGTGAGATACAGCAGGATGCCCTACTACAAGAGGGGCTTTAATTACACCAAAGGGTTTCATTATTTGTCCATTTGCATCAAGCAAACCTGGGCCAGTATAACCCTGTAATGGTAGGTTTTGCAAGTAAGGACTGCCAGTGAAACATCTTTTGGCAAGACAGCATACGGTGGCACCAGAATCAAGCATCATTGGAATTTGCTGTCCATGTAATGTTCCTGTTAGCCAAAGCAAATTAGGTTCTCTCTGTAGAAAAGATTGTGATTCTTCTTTTTGGGGGGTCAATGAAGCATTGTCGGCTTTCCCAGTATGACCCTTTACTGGGGGCCCCAAAAGTTTCCCGACTGTTGAGGAAGATTAGCTTGCTGCTTGTAAGCTAGGCAATCACGTTGGATATGATTTAAGCCGTGGCAAAAATAGCACTGAATAGGTTGCCGTCCATCTGGCCTTGCGTTTCGAGGCTGAAAATCCCTGCCAAAATTGCGTTGAAAACCATTGCGTGATTGCCTACGGTTGCTCTGCGGGGCAGGAAAAACAGGGGCACCATGCTGATGTTGAAGTTGCTGTGAGGGCCTAAACGGAAGTTGACGGTTGAGTGCATTGATTTGGTCTTGTTGTTCATCAAGCTTCCGCATTGTGAGTTGACTTTGTTGCTCAAATTTGGTGGACAAGGCAAGAATGGCGTCCAGTGTTGTATCAGATGGATTTGCAGCAGTTAAAACAGCATCAGAAGGCCCAGTGACAATAGCACCGTTGATTGTCGCAGATGGTAAGGAAAGATGAACTGATGCATCGCGGCAAGCCTTGAGCAAATCTTGATGGGTAATTTTGTCATCATACGGGTTGGTGCAAAAGATGAATATATTTCTGCGAAGTGTATCAGAAATCCCTTGTAAAAACTTGCGTTTCACCGCATGGTTTATAATGTCAGTTTTGGCTTTTGGATTGGCGGCTCTGAATAACTGTAAAAGGTGGGTCATGAATTCTTCTTCACTTTCATCGATCTTTTGAATACAGCGTTCGAATGCAGTCATGTGAGCTTCGCGATCGGTTTCTGAATCGAAAACTACGGCGAGTTGTTCCTTAAGCTCGCTGTATTTCTGGGGACTGCCTTTCTCATCTTCAAATTGATCCAAGATGGCTTTAGCACGGCCATCAACACAAAGCATTAGAATTTGGCCAACCACGAGGTCGTCAGATTTCTCGGCAATAACACAACATCTGTCGAAGTTACGAAGCCATTGGTGCAAATTTATGTCCCCGTCGCCGGTGAACTTCTCAAGTTTTGAAAAAATTATGTTAAAGGATGACATTGTAAAATGATGTGGGTCAAAACACTCCTGTCACCAGTGTAATAAACCAAATATTGAGACGTAAAATGACTTCAAAATATATTTATCTTCATCATAATCGCACATACAAAAAACTGACTTACAACACGTGCTAACTGGAATAGAGGCTAGATATGATTTATGCACATATTTTAATACTATTGTTCACAGGGGATAACACTGGGGTGGGGGCTTATTTGAAGGGGGTTTTCAAGGGGGGGGCAATTCGAGGATTTATGGTATGTCCATAGATGTTGTGAAAAGGCAATAAAGCTGTTTTTGACAAATTGCACAAACATTTATGTCTGCTTTGTGTTATTTATAAGGTGTGCTTTTATGTGTGTCATTGAACTTGCTCTCTTTATGCCATCTTCTTCAAACTCGTAGAGTGTGAGATGTAGTTTGTTATTTTTATGTTTCTATCTTGAGATATTTTGAAGTTTTCACACAGAAGCCTATGTTTTTAATTTTATTTCAAGAATTTACTTAAATGATTTGCTAATCTTTTATGCAGTATAAAGTCATTTAAATAGAATTTCCAATCCTTTGTAGCAAAACACTGCTTCAGCACCTGTTATAAAGCCTGCAAAGAGGCTTGATGTTTTGGAACCAAGTGTATGGTATGTTACTGGCTTTGTCACATAAAATTTTTTCATTTCAGTAACACTATGAGAATTTGTAGAGTCTTATTAAAAAACATTTTAAAGTTCCTATCAAGGTTCTGAAAAATTTAACTCTGGTACAAACTACCTTCCTGATGGTTTTAAGATTCTAAATTAATTTTTAAACAATTTTGGTGGTACAAAACTTGAAAATGGCTTTGAAAAAAGCAAACAATTGGGTAAACCAAAGCTTTTTAATTTTTAGTGTTTCTGATTGGCCTAATATTTTGATCCACAACTGGGTATATATATTTCCTAGCATAGAATTTCAATCTCTGTTCTGGTGTTTTCAACTCTGAAGAGTGTCAGGCAAAAAGCTTAGTTTACTCAAATGTTTGCTTTTTTCAAAGCCATTTTCAAGTTAATTTTTCTTTTTATGAAGCCATAAAGGTGTTTTCAGAAAATCTATAGGACATGGCTAAGCAAACTTCACCTCCCTCTGTCACTTGTTCACTGCTGTCCACTCTGTCACACATTTCAGGCTTCACTAAAGAAATATCTCAGTAGAACAATAATATTTGTCAAGATCCATACTAGCCCCCTTCCCCACAAATGCTTTGCACCTGCTGCATTAATGAAGCTTAATGTGTGTAAGCTATTCACACAAAAGAACACTTCTCTTATGATGTGTACACGTTTGCATTGTTGTTATTTATAAGTTTTCTAGAGGCTTATTCTATTAACTAGTTTTGCAATAAGACCTGTCAATGATTTTTGTCTTTGATTTCTGCAGGATCGAGTTTACTGGTCTTGTCCGAAAGCACAAGCCTGTGAATCTTGGTCAGGTAATAAATTATTCATTGTTTGATCTCCTAATGCTGACTTTTACTATTCTAGCCTTAATTTTTGTGTCATAGCAATTGCATCATAGGCAAGACTTTTGAGAAATTCCTGAATGCAATCCTTTGCTCTTTTTTTCATAGATTAGATACTTGTTGATGATTAGAAAACTTATAAAATAGAAGAGCCAGAGCCAGCTCATTTCCTGATACTTGTTGATTAGATATTGACATTCCGGTATATCAATACATATTAAGACAGTTTGTTTAATTGATAGACACAAACAGTTGTATAAAAGGACATAATAGCTAAAGATATTGATTCAACATTCCAGTTGATATATCAATGTTAACAGTTATAATAAGAGGAGAATGTATTTATTGATTCTTCTTCAGATTGCATGCAAAGCAGCCATTTATTTTTGTCTCTAAAACCAGACTGATAAGGCTGGTGAGTACTTTAGAATGGTGTATTGTGTCAAGGGTCAGTCAAGGAACACGTTAAGACATGACTTGTTATTGTCAAAGTTTTTATAGGCATGGGAAAAAGAGGGTTTGTCTTGAAAAATGCCTAGGTCTATGCCCAACAATGGAACTAACTGATCATCTAAGTGAGTCAGAAAGCATAATTAGTTGACCCGTAGATTGAAACCATTAAAAAGCTAGCATTTCCACTCTGATAACTAACTGTAATCAGCATTCGCCCACTGTAACAAACATCAACCTATTGAAACCACCTGTAGACAGGCCTGCCCGATTCACAGCCCATCTGCAGAGATAGAACAACCAGGCCTGCTGCAACCAACAGCATTCAAATGCAAGATACTTCAACCAGTGGCGGACACTTGGGGGGGCGAGGGGGGGCGACGGCCCCCCAATACTTTAGAGGACAATGGTATTTTGTTCGAAAACAATGGGAAATGTGATGTCATCTTATTAAAACAATAGGCTTGCCCCCCCAATATTTGACCAAGTGTCCGCCCCTGATTTCAACAAACTTCAAATTACAGCAAAAACAACGAACAGCGGATTATGCTAAAGGAAACCAATTCAACTGTACTTATGTCTGATGTATCTACATTCATGTCTCTTCATGCCTCTACATTGAAGATAGTTCGACCAACTTTAGTTTGTTTATGGTTTAAAGCAAGCAGAAGCGCATCTTTGTATTCATTTGACAATTGTACCCGCCTATAACTCTGTCTCAATAATAGGAAAATGATAAACGTGCCTAAACGTAAGAAAGTTAGAGCCCAAAATCCAAGCTAAAACTGATCTCAAGCTGATTCAAGTTTGAGCGAACCCTGTTTCTTTTGAGCGCTTGCTTTCAACCACCTATTTCCAACTTGTGTAAAACCGGATGATAACGACAACAAAATCAATTTTTGCACGTTCAGATTATGCTCTGGCTGCATTTCATTTTTATGTTTTTTCTGTAAAGGGACTTCCTGATTTTGCAACACCAAAGATCCTTTCAGATGCCTTATACACCACCCAGGGAGACAACACTGTCCACTTGAATCAGTACACCAGAAGTCAGGTGAATTAATGACCGTAAATTTCTTTAAATGAATTTTTTTCTCTCTTAATTATCCAGCCATAGTACAAAGCATAAAAAAGTATCTGTGCTCTAAATGATTTAGGTGTTTCGCAGGACTGACTCGAAAAACGAACTAGTTTATTTCCATACAATACCCATTTTAATGCGCCCGTGCTATGAAACTACTAACCTGAATGTATCTGAACATTCTCAAAGCTTCTATCTACCTGCTGTGGTGAATATATTTTTGCGAATTTCTAACATTATATTTATTAAATTCTTCAAGAATTTGCTAAAAGTTTCTCGATATTTTTTTAGGTGTCCATTTTGTAATGTTTTATATGAGCTCGAATTTTCATGAGTGAAATTGAAATAGTTTTTTCAAAACTAGGGATTTATAACTGCACCAGGAAAACTAGAATCAAACTAGAATTTTCTTGCGACCACACCCATTAGATATTCTTTAAATGTATTTCAGAATGCTTCTTGCAGTCAATTCTTGCAATCGTTTAGTACATTTAATTCTTTTTAGACATACTTCTCCTACGTTTCATTGATTTCATTCTTCAAATAGAATTCAATACTTTATGATGCCCTAGACCTCAAGACCCTGAGGCATTTTGCCCCCTGGCCCCTCCCCTTGGCGGCCCTACTCACAGGGGCTTCCAGGACCTCCAAGATCAGCGTTCAGAGTTTTTCAATAAACTTTTACCTTTCCCCAAACCCCAAACTTCAGGTGCAAATTAGGCACCCCTGGATACTCAAAATTAGGTTCTAGAATACGGCTGCCGACACGGAGTTGTTTGAAATTTTTGGGGGGCATTTGCCCCTCCACGATTCTTATCGCGCCATCTGTACCTATTTTGAATAGATGAGGTATTACTTTCTCGGTCTTACCCCTTCTTATCCCAAATGTTTGCTAAAGCTATCGCTTTAGGAACTTTACAGTAAAACCCGACAAAACTTTTCTTTTAGAAAGTTTGCCGACAAAAATATTGCCGCACCCACGCACCCCCCCCCCTCCCACCGGGTTGTTGCATCTATGTAGTTTATTACGGAGTGTTAGATTTTTAAAATCAAATCAACCAGATTTACCACCATGCAACAAACTCTCCACTAGAATATTATTTTGAAGATTTGTACGTTCAATTGGTCGTAATGAAAACTCCAGCGAAAAGATCTCAACATGGTACTGCAAGATAAGGGGAGGGTTGCGGTCATCGACACCATTGTTTGTAGGGCACATTTGGTTCATGTTATCCCGAACATTGTGCTTGAATTTGTGAAAATCCAATTCGCCAAGACCATACTTGAGTCGAGTGAGATAGGGTAGTACTGTTTGGTCATGAATGCCAAAGATAGATCTTACAAAGGGTCTGATTATTGATAAAAGCTTCTTCTTCTTCAAAACAGTGACAAACAGAGCAAGTCTATTCTCAGGATCACGTTCATTCCATTTAGATAAACAGTCAGGAAAGAAACTGGATTAAAATTTTTCTGTTCTGGTAGCTATTTATCCGTCAAGCGACATTCTGGCTGCGAAGCGAGTAATGTAACTGTTGTGATAGCAGAATTGTATCCTTAGTAGAAAAAAAACAAACCGCCCCTGTCTTAAAAAGTAGAGCACGCATTTCAGTATACTGCTGGATGTTTTTATGTGGCAGGATGGTTAGATTATTTCTCAATGCTTTAAACTCAACGAAGAAGCTTATTACAAATAGCACTTCTTTACTGTGTAGGGACATCCTAGGTTAGTCAATGCCATTGCGAACCTCTATGGCCCGATGTTCAACCGACAATTAAATCCCTTGACCGAGGTAAGTTGCCCAAGCTAATGGGTTATTTAATTCTTTATTTCATCCAATTTAGGCCATATATAAAATTAATTAGTTGATTTTCATCAGCGCCCGTATCATATTTTGGTGCCACCTTGACTTTTTTACATTCCATATTTAAATATAAAAGTCTCGCCCGTCTTAGAATTATGGAAAGTCAAAAAGTTTTATCTCTAGTATTGCTTTATTTTGAGAATATTAAGTAATCCAACCTTCCCAGTTTGTTATTTACAACATAAAGCAACAAGAAGGCAATGATACTCCCCAGGGAGGTGAAGAAATTTGTTGTACTCTGTTCTTGCGCAAAAGGCTAGGTAAAGACAACAGCAACCAAAAAGTTTAAATTTGTATATTTTGAAATTTATGATTTGCCAGCTGTATTTTGTAAGAGCGATTTGGATTGCAATGACGCGATAGAGCTGCCTTATTACAGCGCAAAAAACGAAGACATTTGCATATTCTGTGGATTTCGCAGTGCTTTAGAAACAGGCTTGCAACACTGTCCCTGCGGCGCTTGCTGCGATGAAGGCGGGACGAAATTGATGCAACGCCGCACTAGAGTATACAAGCCAAAAAACTGATACTTGTTTGTCTTCTTCTTAAAACCTGGTTGCCATCGTAAGAGTATCGGCGATGGCCTGTGACCTTCTGCGTTTGTCTCCCAACTGTCTCTTTGTTTTTTAAAGCTACGACGGAAATAGGGAGGATTGAACAACTGTTTAGGGTTATATATACAAAGCTTAAAAAATTTAGGTTAATTTATAGAATATAAAATATAAAACTGCCGCCGCCTGTTATTTTTTGTGACGCTCTGATGAGAATCAACTAATTAATTTTAAATGGCCTGAAATGATTTAATTTTTCTGGTGCAACTCTTGGGTAATGGGTAAAAATGTTTGCTAATAATTTGTACTTTGTTCATTAACTTTCTTTATTTTCATTTAATGTTTGAAATCACTGAAGCTTTATTTGAAATAAAAGTGAGTTAGCCATCATATTGTCCTGGCGTATACGTCTTGAATGAAATGTCAACATTCTTAACCAGTAGTATAAATTGTTAAATGTAGATTGTCTAGTTGTGCTTGATTTTGTAATTTTTGATTTGGGAATAACGAAGAATTATAAATTGAATTATGAAAATCATTTCACAACATACTACTAAAAGCTTTTTTCTCATAGTATAATTATTGCTATTGAATTACTGTTCTTTTATCATCGAAAACTGTAAGTAACTGTTTTGTGATACTAAGTATGAAACTGGATCCGTAAAAGCAAAGATATCATACGTAAGAGAACACCTTGCTACCAAAATTCCATCGTTTATCAATAACTGTGATATTTTTAGAATACAGCCACTTTATTTTCCTGTCAAAACTCCATAAAATCCCTTAAAAAGAAGATTTTTTAAAATAGGCTGTGAGCATTAGCAGGATTAATCATCGATAACTGTAAGTAACTGTTTTGTGATACTAAGTATAAAATTGGATCCGTAAAAGCAAAGATATCATACGTAAGAGAACACCTTGCTACCATAATTCCATCGTTTATCAATAACTGTGATATTTTTAGAATACAGCCACTTTATTTTCCTGTCAAAACTTCATAAAATCCCTTAAAAAGAAGATTTTTTAAAATAGGCTGTGAGCATTAGCAGGATTAATCATCGATAACTGTAAGTAACTGTTTTGTGATACTAAGTATGAAACTGGATCCGTAAAAGCAAAGATATCATACGTAAGAGAACACCTTGCTACCATAATTCCATCGTTTATCAATAACTGTGATATTTTTAGAATACAGCCACTTTATTTTCCTGTCAAAACTCCATAAAATCCCTTAAAAAGAAGATTTTTTAAAATAGGCTGTGAGCATTAGCAGGATTAATCATCGATAACTGTAAGTAACTGTTTTGTGATACTAAGTATAAAATTGGATCCGTAAAAGCAAAGATATCCTACGTAAGAACACCTTGCTACCAAAATTCCATCGTTTATCAATAACTGTGATATTTTTAGAATACAGCCACTTTATTTTCCTGTCAAAACTTCATAAAATCCCTTAAAAAGAAGATTTTTTAAAATAGGCTGTGAGCATTAGCAGGATTAATCATCGATAACTGTAAGTAACTGTTTTGTGATACTAAGTATAAAATTGGATCCGTAGAAGCCAAGATATCCTACGTAAGAACACCTTGCTACCAAAATTCCATCGTTTATTAATAACTGTGATATTTTTAGAATACAGACACTTATTTTCCTGTCAAAACTTCATAAAATCCCTTAAAAAGAAGATTTTTTAAAATAGGCTGTGTGTATTAGCAGGATTAAGAAAGCAATCCATGGTTTTTGTAACTGTTTTTTGCGTTTTTATTGTAGCACTGAAACTTTTATATTCATGCCTTATATTTTAAAGGGGTTCTTATTCGAGAAAGGCTTATTACTTTTTCTATCTTAATTCATTTATTCAGGGGCGGGGCCATTTCATAAGGCTTGGGTGTTTAATCTAGGATTTACGGAACTGATTTGAATAAATTGGACTCTTAATAACACGTGATAAACCTATTTCAATCAAGATTATTGCAACTGTTGGCGCCTCCGAAGCAATATACTGCATCCTGCTGTCCATGGTGGAACCTGGGGACGAGGTTCGTTGTGATGCATCCAATGTAGCTAAGTCCCCGCAATGGTTGTCAGGTTAACGGTGATTTTGCGACGCCTCAGCTTAACTGCCCTGAAACGTGCAACTGCTTTTCGAACCAAAAAACATCTCTCAGTTTGCCCTTTGAGCGGTATTCGGTACTCTTGTATGGTTTTCTAAACTACCAGCTTGGTTTTCTAATGGCCCCTTGCAAAGAAGCCGTAAAACCAACCACTGCGGGGCACCTTCATATTCACGTTTTATGTAGATTTGTTGCTTGTAGGTTATAACTACTGTTGGCGGTTACGAAGCATTGTATTGCCTTTTCACCTCAATGATTGATGAAGGAGACGAGGTTGGTCTATCTCCATATGCCCGATGGAAATTGTTTCAATTCACGCACGAGTTTACAAAGCTAATCACGCATATTCAATCTCATTTACCTATTTCCCGTCACTTTTTAACTTTCTCACTCGGCTTTTTTAACTTGGCTTTCTTCTTTTCTTAAATCTAGCTTTTTTGATACAGTGAAACCTCTATTAAACACAGCAGACGCATCTATGGGCAAATTAACTACCTCTTATAGGAAAAACGCCATAATCTGGTATTGGAGACTAATCTTTCCAAACTATGTATGTAGAAAAGAAATATTGGGACAAAGTTATCTGTCTGCTTTTAGGTGCCGTTTAGTTGAGACTTCACTGTATCGTTTCCCTTGTGACAATCATCCATTTTCTCAACACTCATTTCCTTGTGACAACATATGCACCCTTTATTTTACATAACTTATGTTATGTTTGATTACAAAGAAAGCATTTTCACGAAGTATTCTTTTCTCATTTACCAAAAACGAATCAGGCACTCCAAGCAGTCCTGTTCGAATGAAAATTTTACAATAGAAAGTAATTGCTGACGAAATACGCCACAATAAAATGATGTCACGGAAAAAACAGAAGCAGCCTACATATAGACAGGAATTTCCAAGCGAGTGTAGTCTGTAAGGTTGCTCCTTATAAGTATGCTTCGAGTGTATGCTTCAAAGAAAGTGTCAGATTACATTATTAGAAAACAGGTAATGACTAGGACAAAATCTCTGACGACCTTCGCGTTAGAGAGGTCTTTTATCTAGAAGAATTTGAAACGGAAAATAAAAGAAATTTAGGTTATCTAATGCTGGCCTATGGAAGGGGTGAGATTATATTTATATTCTTTTGGCATGTCTCTCTATATCCATCTATTCTCACCCCCATTGTACGACATCACGTTTTAAGATTTGTAATTTGTCTAAGTAGTTTATACAAAAGCTCAAGTTTTGTACCAAAGAATCGTCTTAAATCTACCGTTTTTCTTATGCCTCGATGAAAACATTGATCGTCATTGAAAGTTGATATAAAAACGACATATATTTGATAACTAAAGCTAATCAGTAACCCTGGCCTTCCTTGTCAAAGGCTTATCTTTGCGTGGAGGTTTCTCGTGCTGCTATCTTCATCTCTAAAATTGACGCAGAAATCACCACGTCAGGTTTCAATATTTCTGAAACATATTAAAGGCATTTTTAAGGCATTATTTATAATTTAAAATTTGAATTTTAACAGAAGTTCTAATTTAGCACACTGTTTTTATAGGTGATAATGATCGAACCGTTTTTTGATTGCTATTTGCCAATGACGAGACTTGCTGGTGGAGTTCCAGTTTGTGTCCCTTTGCGAGCGGTGAGCTTCTTATTTGTTTTTTCATCTATTTATATGTGACGTATATCCTTAACTCCTACTTTTGAGAAGAAATAGCTAGATAATCAAGGATACAATCAAGATCATATAAACTTACAAATAATGAAGCTGATCTTCAAAGACAATCGTTCTTACCAGATTCATGGTGAGTAGTTGTTGCTCTCTAAGTCCATTGTTATGATTAATGTGCAATTACAGATCTTTTTTGATTGACAATTCTTTGCAGTTTCTAACGGCTAAACTGGCACAGGATAGTTTACGAAACCAAATGATAACAAGCACTTCTTCAAATGATACAATTCAGCAGTGTCTTTTGTGATGTATTGCGTATTAGGTAATGTTAAATGTGGTATATTGGATATTATGGTTGTGGTCGTTTGAAAAGTATCTGAAGATCAGAGGACCCTTTTCCATGGAGGGTATTTTACTACTGGTCATCGACTGTTACTCAAATCTTTGTTGCTAACTTTGTCAGAACAGCTTAAAACCAGTGAATTCTATCATAATTGAATACTGCTCAGTAATTTTTTTGTTAATTGAAAATCTGTTCAAATTTACAATGCCATCCTGCTTGATTCCATGTTACTCTATTTCGTCACAGAAACCTGGAGCCAAGTCATCAGCCGATCTTTACCTCGACAAAGAGGAGCTGGAGAACGCGTTCAGTGATAAAACGAAAGCTATTGTTGTCAACACACCACACAATCCAACAGGAAAGGTAAAATTCTTGCCAATGGCCTTCAATTGCTTCATGGACGTCCCTCGCTTCTTTTTAGTACGGCGAGGCTTAATATCAATTTCTTTGTCTTTTTACTTGTGAAAGGGGGGTAGATTTAGTAAGATTTTAGTTTTTTTATAAGCAAGTGCTTAATTTGAAAAACAGCGTTTATGTACAAACCCCTTTAAATATTTTTGCCGTACATCGACGTCGGAAGATTTGCTTTGTGTTAGTTAGCCAATTTTTCTTAACCCTAAATGATTCAGTAATGGCTAAAATAAGATAAACTATTCCTTGAATATTATCAATTATACCCGCACCAAATCAGAGGATTGAGCAACTACTATCTCATAGCTGAGTTATGGAAACAACAGCTGAGTTGTACATCGCTTCTGATTTCAATGCTTTGCCATTAGATTCCTTGACAGTTAAAATAACAAATGAAATACGCGATCCTATTTAACTTGCAAATGGCAAATGTATTACAAGTTCCACATAATCACTCTCTCTTTACTATCTTAGCTCTTTATTGAAGATTTTCTTTGAATCAATCTTTCCACTTTATCTAGATTTTTCATACATATTTGTATATAAATTTTATTATAAACGTTTTCAGCTTCTTAAAATTTTTTTCAAGAGAGGGCTTCTACAAATTGCACTTTTTAACGAGATTTGACTTTTCTTTGCAGGTTTTTTCTCGTGACGAGCTGGAGTTTTTGGCTTCGTTATGTAAGAAGCACAACGTTTTATATATAAGTGATGAAGTCTACGAGTGGATTGTTTATGACGGCAAAGAACACATTCGCATGGGTAAGGCTGTCCTATTTTTACCATAACGTTTTGACTGGCCTCCTTAAAATTGTTCTGCGATTCAATGGTCCCATTAAACTTGGGTGATGTGACAATTGTGGCGTGTGAATATTTCTGGATTGTCGATACCAAGTAGAAATTATTAGAATCATAAATATGATCATTTAAGAATACGCTCAAAGGCAAAAATCAAGGAGCGAATCCAATGCTCCGTCCTTCCTCTCACCTCACTTTCTGTCTGCTTCTGAACATAGAAATTTCCTTACATTGAAATCGAAAACTTTCCGACGGATTATCCAGTACATTTCTTTATGTTTTTCTATTTTCGGACCAAAAACTTCAAGAAAGTTTCGAACAAATTTCTGTCCGAAAGTTTGATCGTTGGAAAGTTTTCGGTTTTGATGTACCTTGTCATCATTATCTGACAATTATCCTCTGAGTAGTGCCACACAAAAAATATTCTAGTTGCTCGCGTTGTGTTTTCATTATTTCGTGAAATTTTCAGACAATTTTTATTTAAACCTTGCAACCTAATTTTATCTCCTTCTTTCGCCAGCAACACTGCCTGGGATGTGGGATCGAACGGTCACTGTTTGCAGCGCAGGAAAGACTTTTAGCATCACTGGATGGAAGGTAAGCAAAGGCTACAATACCCAACTCATTCTTAACCAATGTTTAACAAAGTCCCTGAAACCTTATGTTACCTCACTGTCGCGCAACCTACTTGTTACCGAGTAAGAGCGTTATTATAAACGGCTTAAGCTTTGTGTAACATCTTTAGGGCATTATTCTAAGTCGCACAACTAATGTGTTACCCTGTGGATGGGAATTTACAACTTCATACTTTTTTTCTGGGAGAATTCATTAGAGAAGTGAAATTTGGATGGGGTTTTTCTATACGGATGAAAAATATACAGACCACATTTTTAATCATCAGAACTTCCACATGAACACTGTTTCTAAACAACTAACGGTTTGTTAATTTATTCAAATGTAGAACTATCTATAGCATTTAAGTCTCATAATGGGCTAAGGAATTTGCACTGCAAGGGATCTTTCGTTCATTTTTTGAATGTTTTAAAAAAATCTTAGGAACTGTAGAACATCAAATCTTGAAAACGAAAATGCATCATGTGTGATCAGCCTCTTCTGTTTTCTGTAGCTGCGTACAAAATTGTAAATAAAATTGATCTGTTATCTCAGGTAAGTTTGGGGTACCTCATGAAACATGCTTCGGTCTACTCGGTCCTATGAATTTTGTATTTTGTTGCTCAAATTGCTCAATTTCCTATTTCTCATTCATTTGGTATTTTGTTATTAGTGATAAGAATATTTACCAAAAGTTTCCTATTAGGGCTACTGTTGCAGAGTTATTAAATGTCATTTTCTATACGATTTTCAGATTTTGCTTTGACTTCTTGAACTTCCTTTTTGAACTTTATATTCCTGTAATTCTGGCAGGCCGTTTATGTCTGGTATAGAAATGTCCATACAATCTTACTTGAATGTAGTGTGGGGTAGAGGAAGACGTTCAGCTATAATTGCATGCTAGCGGACATGTGTTTAGGCCTTTTTCAACATCTGTGACCAGGGCTAGTATTTAGCATTCTTCTTTTCATTTTGCAAAACAGTTGAGCAAGGTATTGAAATATTTGCGCATTCTTTTTTGTACTGCCCTGCCTCACATTATGTACTTTGTGCACTTTGGTAGGAAACTACTGGTTTTCTGCCTTCGGTCGGTTTCAACAATTTCAGTAGTATCATTCACATAACGAAAATTTGCTTTTAATGTATCCTGTATTTGTTTGTCCCTATGTTTGAAGAAGATCCGCTTGAGTTGCTCTGTTAATTAGTAATAATTAGCCCTTTGCGAAGAATCCAGTCTTGTTTGTATGCTACTGTTTCACAAATTTGTTATTAATTAAAACTTTAGCCTCCCTGCTGTCGCCACCAGGTAACCAAACCGTATTTTATTGTGTACAAGCAAAAAGCTGTAAGTATTATTTCAAATTCTAGATTGGCTGGGCTATTGGTCCAGAAGATCTCATATCCAATTGCTCTGCGATTCATGCCCAAAGCATTTACACCATGGCAACTCCATTACAGGTTTGTACTGTTTTGCTTTTATCTTTTGGAATTCGGACTAAATTGTTTATTAATTTTTGTTAGAATAGAAGTTACTTGAATGACATAGTTGAATTTTGATGTTCTTATCCTTGATCAGGAAATTAGCAATTCTATTTAAATGGCACTGATGAAGATTTCTAGGAAGATCAATAATAACAAAAAAAGTTCACCTTTTTTAACGAAAATAAAAAATTTAAGCTCTGTTAAAGGCATTGGGTCATTTCAGCTTTTTAAGGATGTTTATTCTCTTTGATCAAAGGAAGGGTAAATATTTTGTGGACTTTGCTAAAGCTAGAGTTTTATATACTTTCATCTTTTATTCTAAACCCTTTGGATAATCGAGAATGGTTTACTTTAGATACGAAACAAATTTTATGGATTTTTTTTATGTTCTAGCTTTCTTGTGAAGAAAATGTTAGTCATAGCTGCTTTCTTTTTCTGTTTTATTTTCCCTTTTTCTTTTCCTCTCTTTAATAACATCCTTCCTTTTTTTCTTTTACTCTTTCTTTTTTCTATTTTTCCTTTCTTTTTCTCTTTTTTCTTTTCCTATTTTATTTTTTCTTTTTCTTTTAATTTTTTGTTTTGCTCTTTCTTACTTCTTTTTTATATTTTTCCTTTCCTATTTTCTTTTTCTCTATTTTGTTATACTTTTCTATTCTTGTGAACTTACGTTTCTTCATTCCTTACTCCGCTGAGGAGTTTTTTCCAGTTTTAACAATAACATGATCGCATTATGCACTCTATCCTTCATGAGACTTGTCATTTTTTCTTTCACCATCTGTTTTTGACATAAATGTTCTGATAAAATGAAATACTGAAGAAATTTTTAATTTGCGCTGCTGCTTTGATCCATAATTTGTCTGTGTATGAAATACTCTGAATTGTTTTTAATTTGTATTTGAACTTTCAAGATTAATCTGTTTCCCTGGCTAATCAATTTTTTGCTTTTAAAGTCAAAGTATGAGTGTTTTGATATCCATCACATCAAGTAGAAAGAATGTATCGATGTTTAATGTTGTAATCATTGTAGAAAGAATGTATCTATGCTTATTTCCGATGCATACTTACAGGAAGCGCTGGCACAAGCGATTGAGCACGAGATCAAACTCCTTGGAACGAAAGATTCGTACTGGAAATGGATGGCTGATACTTTGTTCGCCAAGCGCAATCAACTTGTTGATATGGTTAAAGCTGCCGGCATGGTTCCTATCATTCCTGAAGGAGGCTACTTTATGATGGCTGATGTTTCACCACTGAGTATGCATTAGCTAGATTGTTTTCTGAATTCTGGTGGTTTATGTTCATTTTGCTTAGGGATAAATGTTTACTTAGCATTGAATGACAATTTACAAGACATTCAATCTTATTTAACCTAATTTTGGAGACTCTAAAGTGGTAGCAATTTATGAAACTATCAATTTATCTGCCATCGAATTAAGTATGTCCACATTCGGAGAAGTGGCAAGGCCGCCAGTTTTAACTAAAATGCTGTGAATCTGTTCAAAACAATGTTATGTTTAGTAAATCCCTAAAGGTCTCTCAATCAAAAGTATCTAGTTAATTGATTCTGGAAAAATTCAAGTTATAAGTTAGTTAACAAATCGGAAATCAAACAACGAAATAAGAAACCCAGAAGATCTAAAGAAAAGCAAATCGATTATATCTCAATGTGACGTCACAATATTTATTCTCTTTGCCGTGAACTGGTCCTTGCACGAAAACCATTCTGCAAATGAAGGGCCTTAAAGTAACTCCCGAAAACAGCCACTGCGTCTTGACCTTTGAAATTTGCCTGTTATGCACGGTAATTCAAATTATTGGTATGATTCTAAGTCTTTCAGTTTGATTTGAGTTTTTTATCGCAATTTTGACCAGTTCAGTTGCGCGCTGTTATTTGGTTGCCGACTCTTGCCTAGGCCTTGCGCCCCTTTCTTTGTGTATTCTTGGACGAATGGATAGGAAGTTCTGCTAAAGAATGTCCGGTATTGGAAAAAAGCTGAGAGTTTCGTATTCTGAAAAGCTTCAAATATACTGGACAAACAGAACTTCAACTACTATCGGGTTTTTCAAACTTTGGAAAGGACAAAGTACGAACTCGTAGCTTCCTGCAAACTGCCCTGTGGAGTTCGATTAACGTCTCAGTGTCACTAAATTCAAAATCATTTTGCTCATAATTCAGTTTCATCCATTTGCTCCTCGGGTTAGGGATTCGCGGTTTGTCTGAATCCTCTGTTTGTTGAATAAAAAAATATTCTTTTTATCTCTCAACTGTTTGAATTCATTTAGTTTTTCTTTTGAATGTATCTCTTGCCACCTTTTCTATTAACACCTTCTGTTTCTTTTAATGCGCCCATTTTGCTGTGACGTTTTGAATTTTCCTTTCATTACTTCAAACAATTCTCAATTCTCAGCTTTTCAGCTAAGTTTGAATCGTAACATACCCCTAATCGATTTATCCAAATTTTGTGTTCTTTCTCTGAGTTAATTCTTCTTAATTTCTTTTTAAGCCTTTCTGCTTAGCGCTATATTTTCAGTAAATTCCTTGCAGCATTGTTTACTTAACGTCGTTTGGTTTTTAGAAAAAGAATTTGAAGATGATGGTAGTGGTGACACATACGACGTTCGATTTGCTAAATGGCTTCTAAAAGAAAAGGTATTATATAAAGGAAAGTCATTCATTAGTACCACATGGTATAATCCTTTTGCCACTAGTAATCTTCGTGGCACAAATCAAGTCTGTAGAAGGCTATTAACTGGCAAATAGAGCCAGAGCATAGCTGTTTAAACTCCAATGTTCTTCTTCGACATCGTATCGCCGAGCATCCATCTTCTTAGGAACTTTCAATTTTGTCTTCTGAGAAACCAGACATTGTCTTGAAATTGTTTATTGTGTGTGAAAAAGGCTGAGTTGTGACAATAAACTGGTTTTCATGGGGTACTTTGTTCACCAACGAATAGGACGGGAATAAAAACAATCTAACCATCAATTATCAACCTAGATATCTTAGAAATTTACTTCTTGATTTTTGCAGTAAATCCTGAACCAGAGACACACTTATTTTTATCCAAGCCCGTTAATTTTCTATTTTACTCGTTAATCACCATTTGACCGTTCTTGGTATCTTTTTGTTTGTCAAGGGTTTAGCAACAATTCCAGTTGGACCATTCTATTCTAAAGAACACCGAGATTTAGCAAGGAATTACACAAGATTCTGCTTCATCAAAGTAAGTTAAACCCCTTCAGAATCTACAACTCTAATCCTGTTTGTACCATTCAATCTGAGCGATTCTTGAATCGCTTAATGTTGAAGATTCGCATATTTATGTTCGTCTGTTTGAGACTGTAGGACCGAAGAAGGCTGCTTTTGGAATAATAAACCCATCGTATTCTTGTTTTTTCATGTAACATTTTATGGAATTGGCGGGATATAAGTGAAATTGATATTAAATCAGCCAAGTTTGTGGTAATGCACTGCTCCTTACAAAGAAAAAATTGCACGGCTTTATTTTATGTTGTAAGGAGAACCAAAATATGAGAATTGGATATTTGTATTAGTCATTAAAAGTCCTTACAAATGGGGTCAATAGAACTCATACCAAATACCAGGATGCAAAAATGCAACGAGCGAGCAAAAGAAAAAAGAGGCTAGCATAGAAAATAGGCCATAACAGGGGCATGGTTTTGTATTTAAAATATTTAAAAGTAATTGTTTTCTTAGGTGAAACACACTTTGACAAAATATTTCAGTCGATTTTCCTTTGTAGAAAAAATGCCTTAGATCTGAATTTTTGTGAATGATTTCCGAGAAAGCATCACAGCTGCCCCAAGTCCATTTGAAAATATGCTAAAATATATTTTTATACCACATGGATGATGCGTCACATCAATGATTTTTCATTGGTTGCATTTTAGGAAGATGACACCATGCAAAAAGCGGAAGAAATTCTCAAGAATCTGTCTATATAGTTTCGTGAGTTTTTCTTATTCTGTTGTTTTATGTGTGCAACGGCAAGTGACAAGTCTTTACCATTAGAATATTCTAAAGGATGTTAACTTTTAAAATCTTATATTGAAGGTATTATCACATTGGAGCAGCATTTTTATACCTAAAAAATTTGATATAGAGGTGCAGGAATATCAGGATAAAAGTTATTGATTAATTTCTTGCGTATTTATCTATTAGATGATAATAAGGAAATAGTTTATCCTTTATAATCAAGTGAATGCAATTTTTCTTACCAGTCTCACAATCGATGTCTAGACCTCGAAAGGTTGAAATTGATGTTCCTTAAATTCTCTTCTCAATTGAGAAGGAAGATGTCTTTTATTTTCATATGGTTTTCTTTGCTGTCATTCATTTTGCTCTTCCCTGAAGGCAAAATTTTCTGTTTGGTCTGTGAATCTATTTAATTTTTGACGGGCAATTAGACAGCATAATTAATTGTAAAATTAGTTTGTCATTTAGGTGATCAATAAATTTGATTTCTGTTTTTTCCAGGTATATTTTGAAAATGAAAACTGGCGATGTATTTCTATTGGGATGTCACAGAATGTCATGTTTTCTATTTATTGGTATACTGCAAGATAATTTAAATGTGCAATGTTTTATTGAAAATACCTGTGTATTTCATTTGTCATTATTAAATATTCAATGTTATGGAATGACCTCAAAGGAAAGATGCTAAATTATATAAGTTGCTTCTCTTCCCTGCTTCCTTTGGATTTTCTGTATCAAGTTACCAAGAGATTCTCAACAGTTTTGTTGAATAATTGACCAATGCTTGAAATTGTTGAAATTTGATTGGAAGTAGCGCTGGTACAAATCATGAAGATTTCGAAACATTTGTATAAAAGAAAACTTTAGCTCGGTCTCCAATGGCTAGATATTTCCAATATCAACAATTTTTGGTGGTGCAAAATTTGAAAATGTCAAAATTGAAAATAAATACCCAGTTGTGGATCGAAAATACTTGTCAATCGAAACGCTTTCAGTATCCTGTAAAATGATTGCGTTTTCCAAAGCCATTTTCAAATATTGCCAACTGTAATTAAATGGGCTGGTACAGTTAATGTAAAACCCAATATCTTCGACGGAGTTTCGCTGTTTCCTATGGCCTAACCTGTTTTAAGTGCTTCCAATGGGAAAATCTAGGAGACAATCATCTTTTGCACTATATAAACGCCACAGCGAACTTGCTCTGGCTCCCGTTTGAAGTATGGCAAAACCTTTCGATGAAAATAAGATGGCTACTAGCTAAGCTCATTCCAAGCTCGAAATATGATACGGCTACAAAGACGCGACAGGACGCCAAGTTTTGTAAGAATTAAAGAAAGGCCGCCACCATGGTTGGTGACAAGAAAATATTTAGGGATATGATATCTTAGAATAGCAAGAAACTGTATGAAAAAAGAATTTTGGCTGGAGTATAATATGAGGCAATATTTTCAAACTTTGTTTTATCAGTATGACCTGTAGTTTCGTCTATTGTAATGTTGACATAAAATAGGAAAGGGTTTGAAGCTTTTAAAATAACCTTTTTAATGTAGCTCGTAATGAAACTTCTTAGATTTTAAAAATAACCAAAACAAGATTGGGGAGAAAATGATTGAAATATGGTTTAATAAAAAACATCAATATTAAAAATCAACAAAAGGTCTTTATGCTAAAAATAAAAGATTAAGCAATTTTGTACATGTGGGTTATTGCTCTGTAAAATCTTATCTTAAATTTTTCGGATAAATGCTTTTAACAATTAAGGATCTTGATACAGAAACTTCAAAGTGTGCTGGTCAAAACGAGTGTCACAAGAATTTATTTATAATTACCTTTAGATCTGCTGACTTTTGGTAGGAATGGATTATCGATTGAACCAAACTTTGAAGCTTTCTTGTTGACATTTTTTAAAGAACAAATCTGTCCATTCTTTGTTTTTCGTATCCTCAAAAACTTTCTTCCCGGTAGTTTCTTTTCCTTCAACAACTGAACTTTTCTCTTTTTGTAACGTTTTTTGAAAAAATTCAGTTAACAAATAGACCTTGCGAGCCACGTTTAGGCCAAAGAAAAATCAAAACATCATCACTTAATGCTGGCACCAAGTTATTCTGGATATATTTTTTGATCTTTTTCATAAGCAAAGCTGTTACTCGTGGCACAAATTAGACAATAACCAATTTCTTCGTTGAAATTCTCATGTTCAATTTTATATATATCTTGTAGGGTTAGGATATAGTTACTAAGCTAGAAGTAAGGACATATTTACGGGAATACTAGGCACGATTACTTACAGAATGGTAGGCTACATTTCTTTCCACTTTTTCCAAAAACTTTTAGTTTGCTCTACAGAAAGTGGGGTGGGGCAAGGCCCTCCGGCCCCCGGTCTCTCCGGCCTGGCGCTATTGTAAGTTATAAGTCTGAAATGTTCAATCAACTCCATCTTAAACCGGTTGCTTGCTACTTATGACAAGTTATTTGCAATATTAGGAAAAAGAAGGTTGGGTATGACCAACCATTTTACTGGTTGAAATTTGGTCAAACTGCCTAATTAACGCTAAGGCCCTGCTGTATGACTACCTTTCTAGAAGTTTTGCAGACATTTTGGGAGGGGGGATATTTGACATTGACACTCATTTTAGGATATTTTGATAGGCAATATGTATTCAAATAAAACTAGCAACCCTACGAAAACTTCTGTCAACTTTCTGTTTGCTTAAATCAGGCCGATCAAGCCTACGATTAAAACTTTGCAAATTTTTGGAAACGCGTACCCCCATGTTTATCATTCGTTGTTTTTCACGAAGTAAAATTCATTGAAAATGTTTGCCTTTCAACAATCATGTCAAATACAAATTTGCTTTACAAGTTTACGAGATGTAGCTGCCAGGGAACATATTATGGCAAAGAATGACGCGACTTTACTGTTCATTGTATGGAAAACTTGGGAACAAATAAGAAGTGGCTAAGCATCGCGGGTGTTTCTTTGGCCATCGGGCGGGGACTACATTAATGAAACTGTTCATGCTGGGTCTCTTGATGATTGTTGAATTGCTGTATTTAAGGCAACGCTTGCAACATTTTAGATCTGTTTTACACGAGTACCTACTCATCCCGAGGGATGCTCCACGTTTTAATCAACAAAACTCTTCCAAAACGCTGTATATTTTTCAATCTCAATGGACTTACTTGTTTACTTGTTTTATTTCAATTGACTTTCCTTTGACAGATCACTCGATTGCCAAGAAATTATGCAACTCTTTTGAATAACCTGTAAATAAAAGTATCATGGCCTAGTTAACTTACCTGGATTGGCCTAACGAACAGTAACTAAAATGTCTTAATCATTGACATGAGACTCAACATGTAGTTCGTCGTCACCTCTAAATGCATAAAATGTTAATAGTGTCATTTGAAACCAAAGTGTAAAAAGAATCTTGCCAATGTAACAATCCCTATTGATAACATCAAACTTCCTTGTTTTCCCAAAGGAAGGCCAGGCCTAGCATTTACTATTAGCTTTTGTGTTTTTCTTTTAGCTATTTGGTGTTTTTTATACTCTAGCAGTTTCTTTATCTGTTTTTTTTATAGAATATGATAAAAATCCACTGTTTAATGGGTAGTACAAGGCACCTGTTTTGACAGTTCATGTGAATTCTTTTTAGTTCTACACATCTGCCTCTGTTACTATCGTTAAAGTTAATCTAATTTTCTTTAATTTGTTACTTTATTTTATAACAGATAGCTAAATTGATCTCTTATGTTACGTTCTATGTCGTGAATTTTGTATTTTCAGCTGTCAACGTAAATTAAATGAAAATTACAGCCATCCAAAAAGTGGAAAGGGGCCTTTGAGGTTTCTTCCAGTCCATTACAAGAAAGTTGAAATCATTACGCTTCACCCCTGCCAGGCTACAACCATGGGGGCTGAAGAATAGTCCTGATTGGTTGCAAAAGCAGAGGAGACAGACTATTGGCTGAAAAGCAATTATACAAACCGGATGTCAAGATTTTTTGGTATAAAAACGCAGATATTTTGCCATGATTACAGTTGCATCGAAGCAGCTTGGAGGATTGGTGGTTTAGAAAGCTCGGAACAGAGAACACTGAGAACCTTTGACAAGATGAAGGCCGTGTTGCTGTTTTGCGTTACTCTAGGACTCGTCAATTCAATTCACGGTAGGTACAAGCTTACGTCTCCTTGTTAGTTTGAAAGAATTGTTGAAGAAACAACTGGGACCTGTATTAAATTTATGTATAATTTGCATTAAAGAACGATCTCTGAAAAAATTTGCGGAACCCGGGGACACGTGTTCATTTTTCTTTCGTTACATTGTGACCTCGAAGAGCCATTTGACATAGCTTCGCATTGAGTCTGGTTTCGATCTTGCAGGTGCAATTTTCAATGAAAACTCCAAGCAGTCAGCGGAGAAGGGTGTTCCGGAAGAGCTGAACGTAGAAGAAGAAACTGCTATAAGAGACGAAGAAAATCTAAAAACTGGAAGTCTGTCGAAAGATGACGAAGGCGATGACATGGAAGCGGACGAGAACCTTTGGTTAGCTGAAGGTATTATGTTTTGAGACTGTGATTTTCTATCAAAGAGTAGGTTGATACCTAAGAACTTTTCTATGTAAATACTCGTGTACCATGTGGCGCTAGAGCAAGCTCCTGTTCATTTGACAGCAAATCCATCTTTCGGTTCATTGTGCATCATCTATATATAGCCCCATTAGTCGAGAGGTATGCTCCAGAGGTTAAATTTCTTATTCTGTCCGCTAAATTTTCATAATTGATTTCTTTCAGGCAATTATGAACTTGCAGAGAAGTACGACTCCGCCTCAGATCCTAAGCCTTACGCACGCAGAAGAAGAAGACGCTTCTACCGCAGACGAAGCGGGAAATAAGCCAAAACGAATTGCGATATTACATCTATTCATTCATTTATGGTTTAAAGCAGTCATATTTGCATATTTAAAGAAATTAACAAATTAATCAATTGAGAAATAGAGACCATGTTTTTAAATTCTGAAAGTAACGTATTGATTCCTTTGCTACTTATCACAATAAATATTTAATGGAAATTTAAAGGGTTTCTCTAATGAATTTACCAGAGACTTAACTATTTGCCTATCTGTTTATTTACTCAAAATCTGGTTTTGTTTCGGGAATTGACTGATTGGGGATTTTTTATATTCAAATGAAATTTTGCAGGAAAGAACCTTCAGCCTAAAACTCAAATGTCATGCTTTTTCAGTTAAAACAAAAGATGGATAAGAAAATTATGAAAATTGATAAATATAATTCTTACTTTCTAAGTTTTATGTTATTATCATCGGCTCATCAAATGAATGAGTGTGCTTTCTGACATTTATATGAATTATATGCAAATATTTATATCATAATCAATATTGTCTTATTGCAATCAACATAAAGAGTTCTAGCCAAATAGAAGCTAATTAAAGCCTATCTTTTACACTATACGCTGCTATTATTAATAACGCATAAATAGAAATTCGCAGAAAAATGTGTCGCGAGAAATTTACAGAAAGATGAAACAAAATATACTATAGAAATAGGATATAATTATTTTGGAATAATTATTTGTAGGTAATCATAACAATTACCTCATCAGGCTTTCCTAAATTTCAGACTTGGAGATTGCAGCAAAAAGTCAAGTTATCGTTAGAGTCTGGTTGGAGTTACTTTGAATTTTTTATGCTTAAAACAGTTTTTTGAACTTGACCTAATGAAAGTCATAGAGAAGATAGGAGAACATTTCCTTTAATCGAGAGACGACCAGAAACCACATCAATCTGTTCGGGAGGGTTTTCGCAGCTGCAATCAGTGAAAATCGCCAATGTTGGTTTTGTTTTCAAACACTCATGACATTTCTGTCAAGAGATTCGCTTCTGTTACAATTCAGCATTTCGGCGAAGGAAGTATATTTGTATTGTTTGTATTGTATCTAAATTAAGAATCTTTTTACAGCATCAACAAGATAATTACAATTTACATTTGAATCCCGCTATCTCGAACTCGGTTATCTCAAAAAACTCTCTATCTCGAACAGATTCTCATTTTCCGGTATAGAAATAAAACTCATTATCACGAATTCGCTTATCTCGAACTATTCGTTATCTCGAACGAAGTTTTTTACCCTTGAAAGAGAAAACCCTGTTATCTTGATCAAAAAGTGGCAAAAATTTTCAGCTATTAATTATCATAGCAATGATAATCCATTATTGTAAAATTGAAATGAGCTTAGGTTGCAAGGGACATGCACTCCTTTGCCATCTCAAAAGTTTACACGATTGCCATTCACCACAGCCCACCATGTAAATAAATTTCATCTGCCCTGACAACGAAGAAGATTGTCTTTGCAAATGTGCCTGTCTTTCCTTTTGGTAATGTCCTACAATAGTTTCCTTTTTCTGTACCACATACCGGTTAATCCTCGAATTGCCCCCCCTCGAAAAAGCCCCCCCTCGAATTAAATTAGCCCCCACCCTAGAACTACAAATTTCCAATAAGCCCCCCCCCTCGAATAAGCGCCCACTGCCACCGTATATTTTTGAATTGGACCCCTCAATTTGACGGTTTTTGCCATCTGTGGTTGCCTATGGCGTTTTATTGAATTACCACGACAAATTCGTACTTTTGGTAGTAATTAATTAAATGCTCATAAAGAAATTCCTACTAAAATAAACAAGGTTTTTCAATAATGTCTTCTTATTATATACAATAATTTTATAAGCCCTCTCCTCGTATAAGCCCCCCTCGAATAAGCCCCCGTCCAAAAATATCAAAAATAAATAAGCCCCCAGGGGGCTAAATCGAAGATTTACGGTATTGGGTATTGGTCGGCTATGTTGTTTGGTTCCATCACGACCTTAAATTCCTCTCCAATCTTGGGCTGCCAAAAAGAATTTTAAACGTGGTACCCTTGGATAAAAGAATTCAATTCGAATTCAGTTGTGTTTATAATGCGGATTTTTTCTGCTACTGCTCTCTTTGACACCAGCAATTGAAACCAACAAAATGTCGTTTGCCATTTTGCCATGAAGAAGCACTCAAAATACAAAGGAAGCTTCAAATAGACTATTTTAGTTCAGTTTGATGTTTAACAAAGCTTTGGAGACAAATGAGCTCTTTTCCTTGGTTCTTAATCTACTTTTAAACACAGATGACCCCTGTTTGATCGAAAAAATCCCGATTCCGGATATCTCGAAATCCCGCTATGTCGAACAAATTTTAATTTCTCGTGCGGGCTCCAGATAGCAAGACTCGACTGTACTGAAATAAAAAAAAAGAGAATATTCGGTTTCAATATAATTACAAGAAACTTTTTATAATGTACCATAAACTTGTTGGTTGGAGGGTCTATGGAAAAAACTCAAAAAGGGCTATCGAGCCATTCACATTAACTGATTGTCAAAAAACTTTAGAATTCTGGCCTTTTTTACAAAATCGGTATATATATTTGATTCTCTAGCTTCGAGTACTGAAGTATATTGCTTTTCTCTGATTGACCAGTTCTTGTTTCCAGGGGCGGCTGGGAGTAGAAAAGTATTGGTATTAGCCTCTGAAATTAAGACATAAGAAGGCCCCAACGCAAGGCCCTGAAACTATTTAACAGGGGTGGAGCTTATATGTTTTTATTTAAGAAGGTGGGCAAAATGACCTTTTCGATACGATGGTTTAAAATAGCTTTTGGCAATACCATATCTTACAAAATAATTTGAAGGCACTGGCCCCCGTTGTCTCCCCCCCCCCGAGACACTGATGACCCTGTGGTAATGTAGTTCATCCTACTAGTTTTGGGTGAACGATAGGTCTTACAAAATACAAATGAATTATGGCTGCGCAGGGGCGGATCCAGACAAAAATTTGACATTCTCAAAACCCATTATGACCGACCGACCACGCCCATTTCCCGGAAACGCCCAAGAAATTGTTTTCTGTCTTTTATGGATGCAATGATTAAAATTATTGAAATTTTAAGAGGAGAAATAGAAACAAACAATAAGAAGTGGCAGACACCCAGGGGAGATGAAGGGAGGTAGTTGTTCCCCAACATTTTGGGAAGACAGAGGTCTTTTATTCTAAAAAGAATGGACAAATGTGATGTCATCTTATCAAAAAAATAGGCTTGCCCCCTCATATTATTGCCCAAAAAACAACAATGATGCAACATTAAAGAATTACTTAATAAGCATAGCAACACTAGTAATTGAAAATTGGGTAATGCAGGGAAAAATAACACAAAGATCAAGACAAAATGTGTGTGGCAAATTGTGCTTGGTTTTCTAATGGTTTAACATGTGGAATTTTATAGAAAGAAGTGTAGTTTTGTGGACATCCAAATGATTGATAAAAATTTAAGGGCACAAGACTCATCATAGAAGAGAATTATTAACGAAAGTTGACCAATGAAATTACTAAAAATGCAGGCACTTTCAGAGTATACAAGCCATAGAAACTTGGACAAAGAAATGGGCAAAAACCTTTTCTAGCAACAAAAGTAAACTGCTAAGGCTAGTCAACTTCTTTCTGGATGCTAACTCTCTTAAATGCATCATATCTTTTGGCATATGATAATTGCACTGCTTTAGAGTAAAATATTTCTGCATCAAAGTCAAAGTCTGTATATCTGTTTCAGATTTGTTGTTCATCATTTGGAAATACATGGAAGAAAAATTACTTTGGGATGACTGTCTATTTAGAAGATCCATCAAATTTAAATTTGAATCTTCTGAGACCTGACACTTTATACTAAACTTTCCTTTGCTTAGCTTTCAGATGCACTTTCTTTTGTCAAAGAAAATGATAATTTTTTGCCTTCATAATATTTCCTTCCACAGGAATGTTAACCAAAATTAGCTTTTTATCCAAACCACAATTCCATCAAAACTTAGTCTGGTAATAGGCTTGCTTAAATAAGCAAACAAATGCATTTCTCATCATTTTTCTTGTTGAAAGACTACTCCATTACTGCAACTCCTGCCATACTAGATTACATCATACCAAATACTGCATTTTAACATGCATTAAAAACAGATTCTATCTGCCTTTACTGTGTGTACTAACTTAATGTAAAACATACTTTATTGGACAGCATTTCCAGTTCCTAGTACCACCTTGCTCAAATAAATATATCTCAAGATTTTGACTTCTGTGTTGCATTCTCAATAAACCTTGTTCGTTATTGGCTTAGTATCAATAAAACAGAAAAGGAGATGCATCTCCAAAACAAGAGTGCAGTGTATGACAATAGGCCCGTGTAGCTCATATGATTAACCACATAAAATTTCCAAAGATGCAACATGTCAAATGGTTTCAAAATAGAACACAACAGCCCACCATAGCATAAAACTTTTCACCAAAGGCTGTGACAACAAATCCTATTCTGCTTGGTAACAATATCAGTAACAAGACTGTAAGAAAGTAATGACTTCTCTAACTGTTAAAATCTCTCTTAACTTTTTTACAGCTAGTTCTTTAAATTAAATTACAGCAAAAGTGAAAATCAACTTGCAAATAAATAACATGTTATTTAAAACAAATTAAATAGCTATTCAAACAAACTAAAATGTATCCATAAACATTATATTACAAAGATAGGCAACCATTTAATCATTGAATGAATATTCTAGTTCTAGTTAAATTCAGAACAGTGTAATTTTTGTGAATTCTACATTTAAATCACATTACACAAAAACAGAAAGACAATGGTAAGGTATCGGTGTTAAATTAAGTATTTTACCAGCATCCAGAGGGGCCAGTCTGCAAACAAAACAAACTTTTTGCAGAATTTACCACCTGAGCCTCTAGGCCCAGTAGCAGCAGCACAAAATGAACCCCTATATAAAATTTTTCAGCAGTACCTCAAAGTCTGACCCTTTCTCGTTCAACAAGGTTCAGCCATCAAAATGAAAGAATTCTTTTGCCACAATAAATGTCGAAGGTTGTGTGTTACGATCTGGTTCTGGCGCCTAGGCCCTCCCGGCAGACTTGTAAGTAACCATTCCCTAGTCAGCGAAAAAAAATACTCCTCGATGGTATCCAAAGCACAATCGGTCAATAACTGTTTCAATTCTTCCAATACATCCATACTTGCAATGGGTTCTTGTGAGATTATTCTCTAATCAAGCACAAACACAAATCATTACCAGGCACTGCCACTGCCACTGTAGTCTGGAGTCGAGTGTGGATTCTTGATCACGTGAAGTTGGTGTTCCCTGTCAAATTTAGCTACTTTGTGGACCAGCCCACTAACTTCTCAAGATTCTCAAACTGCGACGTAGGCAAGACCTCATTAAATATATGTTAAACATATGCCAGATATACCCTATTAAAAGTGAATGGGTTTAATACGTCATTCTGGCGAATTTTCCTCTCGTTAAAATCTTTCAGGTCGACCTCTTCTAAGTGACAAAAATGAATTGAAATTCTCTGCGTGCGCATGCAGAAACTGCGTGCAACTTTCTAAAAATGCGAAGGAACTTCTCAAAATGCATGGCAACAGTCGATAAACTTTCTAAAAATCATGCCTAGATACAGGACGCGGCGCAGCCTCTTACTACTCTCCTGGGTACTAGGTTCAATGAAAGAGAATTTGGTTTTTCATCGGAGAAGATATACAAATGTTTCGCAAAGGCAAAACGGAGTAAAATATAGCAAATACGACGATTATGTAGAAATAAATACCTAAAATACATAATAAAAAGATGTATGCTTATCTTGAATCTTAAATCTGAGCTCATTCATTACTTTTAGCATTTTATTTAGAATAATCAAACTGGGAAAATCTGACATTCTAAATTGAGAATGTTGAGAATGTCTCGATCCGCCCCTGTGGCTGCGGCAAACTACTGGAGCGAAATCGTAAATTGATACAGCGGTTTGCTGCCCAGTAATGGAGCCCCAAGGTACTAGCCCATTAATTCTAATACCATGAGGCTTTTGGCCCGCGATTAGATTCTATTACGATAAAGCGAGCGATTTACTTTAGAGTAATGCAGCACAAAAACGTAAGATGTATCATTTGATTTGAGAAACCGAGAGAAATAATGTGAGAATGTTGCCTGTGACTCTACGGTCATATAGAATCAAAGTTTCATACAAAACAACTTTTACAACTGCCTTTAGCTTAAACAAATTATTTCATGACTGTTGCTCTTTATATTCAGTGTCTAAATTTTGTCAATCAAATTATCCATCCAAAGGCATTGCTAGCAAAAGTACAGTTAGTTTTTGGAGGCTAATACCATGGCCAGGTCTGCTGATTACGGCATGGATTACACTTTTCAAAGATTTCAATGAGGATTAGGAAAGCTTTCATTCAACGAACAGAAAAGCAAATATAACTTGGCTATATGAATAGAGCTGGTCGCATCCATAAAATTGTTGTGAAAAAGTGGCAGGGTACAAAATGCAAAATAAATTTCCTGCAATCTCAGAGACCCAAAGTTGCCTTCCTTTGAAAATAAAATGGTATTAGACTAATACCTTTAATATAACCCCACGCCGCCCCTGCTTGTTTCCTATAACCAGTTTGTTATAAAAAATGAGAGGATCTCTCGTGCAATGGAGACAAGAAGAATTCCATTCATAAATAACATCAACATTTGCAATTATTCGCTAGAAAATTGTTTGGAAGGTTTACTTTAACGCAACTTTGGGTAGTTTACTCCTATGAAGTAGCATTTTTTCTTGACTGGAAACCTTTTTTGTTCATTTTCTAGGTATTTTATCTTGTTTAATGACATGATGTATTTTCTAACTTGGTTAGCTTGGTGTTTTGTTACCCTCAAGCTAAATTTATCTATTTTCATAGTTATTGATATCTTCTCTGAACTGTTGTTTAGAAATAGGTAGAAGTTTTTAAAAATCGAGTAGAAATAAGCAAGTATTTTCCAAAAGGGGCGTTTTCCGGCGTTCTAGAGAGCATGGCTTTAAACAATTTTCTGGCACACCCATTTCAGCCACTCCACGCGGTCCCTGGACGAAACTTACACGTCCCGTGATTCGGCATGCCCCCCCCCCACTTTTTTCCAAAACATCAAAGCTTTTTGCAGTTCCTTTTGTTATGGGTTTGTGTCGGAGCCCGTTGCGTCGGAGCCCCCGCTTTTTCAAAAAATATTTTGACACTGAGACGTTCTTTTTTCAAACGAAAAGATCCGGAAATCAAAACACAAGTCAATTGAACTGTTTCTATTTTAGAAACGAGGTCCACCCAGTGCCAGAAAAAGAGCAGTTCGGTGGTCGTCTGTTTATCTTTCCCCTTCTTCTGAAAGCAATTTTCAATAATGGCGGAAAATGAAGAGGTGAAACTAATATCCCGAGAAAAAGGTAATTGTGTTTGAAGATATTCTAACATTTCTTTTCAAATTGATTAGTGTTTTTGTAAGAGGTTAGCTTGGATGAGCACCGCACTGCTACGGGGTCTGTAGGCTTGTCTGCCTATGCACCTTTATCGTGTCATGCTTCAAGAGCGACCTTGCAAAACCAACTCGATATCATGAACCAGCAGCTACGTGTTTTTTTATAAAATCAATTATTGATTAAAATGTATCTGATAGAACTTTTTCCAGCGACTTTCATGAGTTTTTCATTGAATATAAGTAGCATCTGAAACAACACTAGTAATATGACATTTTGCTTCAGATACTCCGCCTATGATTTGTGTTACCGCCCCTTTGTGATTTCACGAATAATTTTCTGGCCTGAGAATTTGCTATTGTTATGGAGAATCGTGTAAAGGCCTTTATTTTCGTTTCATTCGACTTACAACAATGAACATCAAGTTTGATTGTTATTTCAAAAGAAGCACTGTTTGACACCTTTTGTCGTTTGTAATGCACAAAACGAGTGGAATCTTTGAAGTGAGTAAGGTCGTTGCAAAGGCGGTAAATAAAGTTCGGGTATTTCAACAAGATTAGTCCAGGTTATGGCAAACACTTCTGAAGAGGCGGATGGTGAGACGTCTAAGCTGCAAGACGGGGAGAAAAAAAATCTCGGTATTTGTCTGTTTAAACGTTTGCAGAATTTTTAAGTCAGGACACTCGGGCGTAACAAGAGATTGTTGAAATTGAAAACAAGGATTACCTACCACACTGCGCCGAGAAAAAAAACGAAGAAATATAGATTGAATATTATCTATAAACTAATATTTCGCAGCGAAATGTGTGGGCCAGGGATGATTCAGTTTAATTCAGTTTAATTCAATTTGGTTTAGTTCGGTCTCAGTTTCATATTTGACTAATTTGAACATGAAGATTCGAAGGCAAATACGAAGATAACTAATTGCCCGGAACAGAGAATGTCTCTGAGCATGTCACCATGAAATTTCAGGTCTTTTTGTTTAAGCACCTTCTTATAATTAGAGGTGTTGTTTTGGTTCCGTAGAGGGGGACAATTGTAGTAGCAATTCTCATTAAAGAGAGTGCCTTATTCTTTGGTGGCTTATTAAGGCTGTGAACAAGGCAGTTTTTATTTTAAGAATACCTTAAAATGGGGAAATATCTGGCAAACTTTTAATAGCAAGGATGAAGCATCCATTGTCTTTTTTTGGGATTTGTAAGAGATTTTGTCCTGCAAAAAAAACTGAACTGAATAAAACCAAACTATACACAAGAGTATTGAAAATATCAGAAACAGCGCTGATGAAAAACACTTTTATAATGACATGTGATGCAGTCAGTCAAAACAACAATGACCCTGTATAGAGAAATTATGTTGACCATCTTGTCAGTCTATTTGGGGCTAAAAAAACTAACTGCCAGAAATTGTGCCTTCCATAATATGTTAAAGTTCAAGGCATGCCTCAAGGCCAGTTTCTTTGTGATCGTATGTTTGAAACTGTATTACATTTACATTATTGTATAAGACACAATGACCCACAATTAATTATTTGTTGCAAGTTAAGAATGACGGCTAGCAGCCTATCATATGAATTATAGACTACAAAAGACAAGTTACTGTGAAAATTTTCATTGAAAATTACCCCTAGCTTGACTTATTTTCCAGTGCTGTATTTTCAGGCTTAATATAACTTCTACCACTAATTAGGTTTAAAAATGATTCTTAGATTCTATGCTTTTCCTTTAACAATTTTATCATAATTTTTTATTTAGCATACAGCATAATGAAACACAACCCATATCACTGAGAACCTGGTCCACTGCATCAGAAAAAACCAAGCACATTCTCAGAGAAAGTTACATTTTTCCTAAAGTTCAAATGAGTGTCCTTATGAGTTAAGGGTCATTTCCCTAAAAATTCTGATGCACAAACCACTAGAAATGACATCCTTGGCTAATTACTAACAACAAACTTGGACAAGAATGCTAATTTACTGTTTTGTCTTACTACTTGAACAAAGTGATTTACTTGATGATTTGAATTCAAAAAAGTACAATGTGTGGCTTGAAAAGAAAAAAACCGCCCTCAGAAGAAGCAGCAAAAATACCAAGAAATAAAGAAGCTTTGGCTTCTATTAAAAAAGTAGCTAATTTTACTTCATCTTTGTTGAAATTAGCTACAAATCATAGCATTTGATTACCTTCCCATGCCAGTTGATACTGGTCTGAGCAAGAGGGCTATCCTTTATTCTATTTATGTCAACTTTTGTTCTGTTAAAGCTAATTATCATTCATATTTGTCTTGGTTAGCATTGATTTGTGCATGACTTTTGCAATGCAATGCTAAGCAAAGTTTGTAAATATTCTAAGCCTCTTATAGAGGATAATGGAAAGAGCTTTATTATCAGTATTTTGTATTATTTTTTTCTTTAATAGCACTTTTTGCTTAGTGGCTTATTATATGGAAAGGCTTGCAAACAAGAAGGAACATTTTTGGTGGTATCCTAGTGTCAATCGCATGGTCTGATCGCATAGTCTGTTGCCTGGATTCTGTCTTCGGCCTAGCCTGGTCATGTGATACACTCATGTGATACACTTACGTTGGCCAGCCTAGTGATGTTGGCTGTGAATGTAAACATGCTATTTGACCTAAAAACCAGCCCGGGCAACTGTCCCATCCCACTCTTTGTTATGAGCCCCTTAGAACAAATTGAATCACTTTCGAGTTGTTCCTTTCTAATGCATGGTTTCTTTCTGAAGGAGAGAAACGGAAATATGACCCAAACTTTAAAGGACCAATCAAAAACCGGTAAGCTTAATATTATTGATTCTCATGCAAACAATTTTACTTTGATTTTGTTCTAAGCATGGTTGTGATGTTGACTATCAGTAAACTTTGATGTACATTGTGGGTTGTTATTTCATGAGGTGTTTTTAAACAAGAAGTTGTCATTAAAAATGAGGAAAGGTCTTTTACAGCTATACTAAGTCTTATGGTTTTTATATAAGAACCACATATATTGCATTCTTGAATAGATCTTGGAATGTTATTTCAGGAACAGCATTGCTTGATATTTAGAGGTACAAGATAGAGCAGTAGTCTGGGCCAGATTAGGGTTTCGGCAGGGCCCTAGTTCAAACATATTGTGGGGCTTTTAAATGTGACAATGTGGATGATGTCATCAAAATCTTTGTCAGAACTTTTTGATTTTGAACCAATGAGCAGTATAAAGAGCGTTATAAAAAACGTCAAAATTTTCAAAGTCAGCTAGATCTGTTATAGCTTGGCCACATGAGGCTTTCCCCTATCAAACCACTGTACTTTTGTCCTTGTTCTAAAATTTATGTAATTAAGATTTAATTTTCATTGATTCCATAACATTAATTACAATCGTAACACTTAAAAGAAATACTATAGAAAATAATATTTATATAACCTTCCAAACTTACAGTGATATTGTAAAACTGAGAATTGCCTATTGGACACACTGTAGTTTAAGACACTAGGTACAGGGCTTCTTGGGGAATGCTTGCGATCGGACCCACGCGCGTTGGTACACGCCTACCCACACTGGGAAGTGCGTTTTATCACACAACTGTTTTATAATTATTCGTTTGTGTTTTACCAAGGCACAGGAAACTAACAGAGTGACAGAATAGCTTTGAATCAAGTTATTTACTATGTTAAATTTGCAGTGCTGCCACTTTTTGCTCCAACAATTTCGCTAAAATATCCTTCTTTTTGCTATAAATTCCTTGGAAAATGGATGAAATATTTTCCTATTAATGACCTTCAGTTATTTTCGCGTTCAACTTTCCCAAGAAATTATTCCTGGCGTCGCCTTGAATACGCGCACGTGAGCTATTTTCCTTTGTCTAGTTTCAAAACTTTTCCTTGTTTAGTTTCGAAACTTTTCCTTGTTTAGTTTCGAAACTTTCGCTTGTTGAGTCTCTAAACTTTTCGAAACCTCCGAAGCGTTTAAAATTGGCGAGTAATGATAATAGAGTTATTGAGTGTGACGACATAAAAATATATTTTTAAAACTTTTGATTCTGTGCCACATTACTTAATAGAAAACCATGAATTATCTCTAAATATGCAATATCAGTTAGACATGTAGAAATTTGGAGAGCTATGGCCAATAAATGGTATTAAGTATCCTACATCTGCTATTTTGGAATGGTTCATCAAATCAAATCTAGAACAGAGACAAAAGTAAAGTGATTTGACAGGGCAGAGCCTATGCTCAGGTTGATATATCTCAGCCAGTTTTTAACACATTAACTCATTTCACACATTTAGAGATCTTTCAGGTCATGTAACTCAAATTAGAAATTGTAAAAACAGCTTTGTGTACCGTTACAACATTGAATTTTCTAAGTCAATTTACTGGCCAAAGTTTGCATAAACCTTGAAGCTCTTCCTATGTAAATGGCCCGCTCGCTGACTGACAACCCCATTTTATAATTTTTAATACTCCTTTTCCTTCCAATTGGCCAAATTTCCGTAAAAAGGGGTGAATCCTCCGAAGTAGAAGCACTGTTAAATTGAGGGCTCTTCATCATCTCCTCTCTGCATCAAGGCTTGCGAGGCACAGCAAATCTTTTTATCTTCTGATTAGAGATGGAATGTATTCTTAATGGCTATTTTAACTCACTCTTGACAGTAATAAGTAAATTTTACATATATGATATCTTAGGGTGTGTACCCTAATCGATCAACTTTGCCGAGCGCCTTTTTCAACTCGTTCATTGAACATGAAGCAAGCAACAAAATGGATCCTGCAGACCGAACTACGTCACTTGAGGAAGACCTTACTACATCAAAAGAAGTAAAACCAAAAACTATAAGAACCAACAGGAAGTTTGTCTCACACACCCAATCTGACAACCTTCAATTGACGATGGTGGAAATGAGGAGCGAATTGACAACTTCGAATTGACCATTTCAGTCCTCCGATTTGCAAACTTTAGTTGCAGAACTGGATGCAGCTGTACCCTCTGAACCCGATCCTTCATTTCTGACTGACATAAGAAGTTTTCAGCGAATTCGGCAGAGAGAACTTTTGTCTCTGCCTACTGAATTGCAGAGTTCGAGCTTTGCGGCCAGACCTTGAGCTGCACTGCATTTTGTTAAGGACGAGTCCTTGGAACCAAACATTTTGACAGCGCATGCAAAATATGTCGAAGATGGAAGTATTGAAAAAGCTTTTTCAACGTCTTAACAACTGCTCAGCACAAAGTGTGCCCACCATAAACTCCCAATTTTATTTAAACACTTTCAAAGACATGATGATTAATGACATGACATGATAAACTACCGGACACATATTTCTGATAAAAATGAATAAAAGCTACAAGCCTGACGCACACTATTTTCAATATTTTTTCAGGCTTACCCTGCTTTAGTTAAACCACATATATTTTTTCTTAAAGTTGTGGGAGAACTGAAGAACTATATATATGCTGGTCATATATGTACTTGAATATATTTACTGGTCATAGAATTAATGCTAATATATTTTTACATATGTTTGCTATGTATCAATTATTTTTTCCAGTTCCTTTTAGTTCACTAGCATATTTTAGCTTTTGTTGTTATTACCAATGGTTTCTACTTTAGTGGATGCACAGATATTCCTTGTTGCGTTCTTTTTGGATTATACATGACTGGCATGATAATTGTTGGCATTATTGGTGAGTCTCATGTGCGAATTTTTATTTTCAATCTGATATTAGAAGCTTTATAATCTTTTTCTCGAATTGCTATTAGTAAGATGTTGCCAAATTCTTAGAATATTTTATCACTATTTTCATCATTCATTTCGGGTTAACTAGCATCATTGAAATTGTAATTGTGTCAGATGTTTTTTTACTGAATATGAAAATTTTGTTCTTTAATTAAGCAAGCTTTGAATCAATACATTTTGCTGATTAAAATGGGATTTTGAGTAAAATCTGAATATTCATGTTTTTAAGGATATCTTGAAGGAAATCCAAAACGACTGCTTTTTCCAACCAATAGTCAAGGTAAGTTATTTTGATGTCAAACTCTCTTTTCTTTCAACATAACCAGATTATCTTTAAAAACAGCTTTTTAATGAACTTGCAAAAAAACATCATTATTCAAATATTCACCAGTTGTTCTGTCTTTATATCAGATTCAATTCTTCTACATCACAATTATTCTACTGATTATTTGTTTTAAAGTTGTCGAGGATCTTAAACACGCAATTTCATCGCGGCTCCTTTGTTTTTCCTCCCATTAATAATAAATTGATTATTATTAAGGATGATTGTTATAAGAAAATCTAGAATACGCTTTTCATACAGGCAGCCTCATATTCAAAATACATACGGTAATGTTTCTGATAGACATCTCATTTTTTAGGCAAAATATGCGGCTTGGATGAGTGAGTATTTAGAATATTGATAAGTATTTTAAATGTCCTAGCTTTTAAAATCGTGTATGTCAAACTAATTCGAACGCAATGAATTCCACAGTTAATAGCAACAGTACAAAAGCTGGGAAGAAAGCGATTTTTTGCTCAACATATATGCGTTGAAAGTCCAAAAAAGTGCCTACTCCCCTGTTTTAAGATAAAAAAAATTGCAACCTTTCCTTTTATAGGATTATAACGCATGGTTTTGCTACGGGTGATGCGTCTGAAATATATTTATTTTCAAAAACCGTTCTCGTGGCCCACGGCTGCAAAAATAATTCTTCGGTCATGTAACTGCCATTTTATCTGCGCTTTTGGTACATGCACCTTAATATGATTAGTCTTATTTCGAAACTATGACTCCAAGTTCCCTGGGCGAGCTCTGACTCAAGTAAATACCCGTGATATCGCTTGTTTGTAATGAGCCGTATTATACTGGGGTAATACGTAACCCCCCTATCACCCTTTCCCCTTTTATAGTAGACCCTTCCATCAGCAAAACCGTATCACTTTTCCAACCTCTAAAGGACGTCTGGATAACCCCTTGTATATTGAATAAGTAAAACAGGATTAAGGCTGCATTCTCTATTCTAGCTGGAAAAGCTGCATTCTCTATTTTCTTTCTTAACTGAAGTATTTTCATGGTCTTTTGAGTATTTTCGCCGTTTCAGGCCGTCGAAGCCGTATCTTTACTTCTTTGATCTTACAAGCTGCATTACAAAGGGAACTCTTAACCCAGTCACGTATGTCAAAAAGGGCCTAAGCTGTCCAACGCCACAGGTAACCAACTTGTTTTATCATTATCGATGTTGTTTTCAGAAACACGACCCGTCATTTAAGCACTCTTTTGCAAGAAAATACCTATGTCTTTACCTCATTTCGTTGGAAATACGTTGATGATTCGTTTCAAGTTGCTGGCCGTTTCACCCCTACTTTTGCCAAGCAGACCAATGTTTTTCGCAGCAGAACCTTTTAAAGGAATAATATTCCCCACCCTCTTTTTGCCTAGTATAGAACAAAACTAGCAATATCCGCAGGGTTTCAGCGAAATTTGAGAAAACTCAATTTAACCTGTGACGAGCAAATACCATGAAATACAAATGTGATATAAAGCGATGCACTGCTCGCCCGTTAATCTATTTCTAAATAAAAGCTTTCTGCTGCCATATTCACTATTCAAATGCCTTCCTTGTAATTCCAGATCTGTGTGAAAAGTTGTCCTAATTTTAATGCAATCGGGGCAACTGACAGTGACAAGATGATCTGTACTGCAGGAACTGTCGTAAACAGTAAGACGTCTTTGGTAAGTCGTGACTTGGATTTTCACTCTTTATGGAACTCATTAATCTATTATAGTAACAGCTTCATCCAAAAATCCTTGTTAGTAAGATGTTATTTATTGTCCGATGTTATCAACGTCCGATAATGGATAGAATTTTCCGGTTATCACGACTATTTACTTGACTTGTCAGAAGCTTTTGAACTTATTTCAAACGTTAGCTACGTTTCTACCTAAAGTGCTATGTAAGGATTCGGCCTAGATAGGGATAACTATAAAGGAGATTAAGATTTATTTGAAAATGGAAAAAAAACACGAAGTATCAATACATCAGTTTATTTTTAGATGACTGTGAGAGAACAACTTATTAATGTATACATGACTCTTTTAATGTTGAAAATTCTGAACACTACTACTACTACTTTTAAAAATGTTGACAATCCTGGACGCTCACTGCCTTAATACTCAAATATTGATTTTAGAATTGCAGTTCCAATCATTTTGCGTCCTCTGATTTTGCATCCCCCCATAGCCACAAAGAAATTCTTATTCGATTTCAATCGTTGGAAAGTCGCTACGGAGACTTTATAACATTGGTGATAACTAGATGTATTGAACAACACGAGTATAAAAAGTAACACTGCTAGCAAAGAAGAGAACAAAACATCAGAAATGGGCCTAAAGTATACTTTTAACAAATCGATAGAAGAACACGTTGTTTTTAGGGATTGCGTTACAGGAACTTGCTGCGTAGATCTTGATGTTTACCTTTTGTCTACAGCAAGACAAGCTGCAGCTGATTAAAGATGGCAAATGTGCCCCTTATTATCTGCAATCCAAGCCAGGTTAGTAATCTTATCAACTCCGCGAACGCTTAATGTTCCTGCTTGTATGATGTAGCTTCGTTGTACAATGTTCAATTTAGATGTTGGCTCCTGTAAAAACTCGTCCATGTATGGTAAAGTTAATTTGATGCATATTCGTTACGTTTTATTATATTTATCGCTGTATGTTTTTAGAGAAATATCATATTTAAGCATTTCTTATCATCACCATACGCTGATGGAAACTTTCGTTCCCTGGTTTTTTCATGGAGGATTTCTCCTTTTTACTAAAGATATATAAACTTTGTTTCTCTTTTCTGAAGGAGTGTTTTTCACCCTTAGTATTCTATAGATGCTTGCCAAATGTTGTACGTGATGTGATTGACTCTTTGAATCTCAAGGACAAGTTTAATCAGAACGTAACTGGAAAAGAAATAGATGCAAGTGAAAAGTTGGTATCTTTCTGCAATTCGTGTTTTTGATATTACTTTTGCTGATAGCTTGATCAATCTTTGCTAAGTATTATTTGTTGTTGAAATTTTGCAACCAAGATATCTACTAGAACCTTATTCTTTCAAAGCTTAGCCATTTTTTACCATCGTTCCCTTTTTTCATAATGATAATTGGACAAGCTGTTTTTCCTTCCTTTTTAAGCATAGCATTTTCACATTTTCCTTGATAAAAAATTCCTTCAGCTATGTTCCTTTATCTTTTGCCATCATTATTCATGTTGAGATATTTGCCGTAAGCGCTTTAGTTAGTTATCTTAAACGCTTTACAATGGTGTCTTTTCAAACCACGTGAAAGTAATTTTGTTTCCTTAGAGCATTGGCATCTTTGTTGAATCTTCAAAATATTGGTATTCAGGTATTTACTTTACTTCATTTACAGTCTTTTGTAATTTACGTTATTATGAAATTTCAAAGATAACGAAATATTTGATATCAAACTGTTTGTTTGTTGGGTTTTATTTTGCAGAGACAGATTGATAGTCGTGGGTCCCCCCTTTCAAATTTGAGCCATTCTATTAACTTTGACCTGCTGACCAGATATGTAATGTGGGCCGCAACAGTGCAAAATATTTTCATATGATCAAACAATGAGTGTCGTTGAATGAGCTGGCGGGGCCACATCATCCCTAACTTTTTCTGATTAAACACTTCCCGTGTTATTGATAAACCAAGAAGTTCTTCAATGGCAGCCACGTTTTCACAAAATTATTTTACAAATCATCTTTTCCATCAGTTTCTCAACTTTGTTATGCCTCCTTTGATCGTAATGCCCTAAACACGTGCTTGCCCTGGTTTTATCTATTACGTGCGCTCTAGATACTGACTGAATCAACGAGCTGTAAATCTGCTGTTGGTCAGGGAAGGGCCTATTGTTTAAAGCATGTCAACATTACGTAATAGCGGGGCTTTTGTAGCTGATCTGTTGGCTATGATTCCAAATACCTGGCTTGAGACTTGGCATCATCACTAATTGCAATCAATTTCTGTATAGGATTGAAAAGCTATTTTTAATAGCAATAGATCCAGTGCAAGAAATTTTGAAATATGAAGATGTCTTTATGTGGATGATTCAAATAGCTCAAATTAGGTATTAGAAGCTTAAGGCGTTGACGGGAGCAATTTTTGAAAAACTTACTGATAAAAACTATGTTTCTTGAAATAAAGTATTGACATCCTTTTCCAATTATTTGTTACGTTTGATGCTCTCATTTATGATCTCGTCGTTTGATCATAATCATGATCCTACAAAGTACATTTTCCAAAGTATAGTATCATTCCAATTTTGTTTTATTTTGCAGATCCTAGACGAGCTTCGCACAACCTATTATTGGATAATCGTGTAAGTGCCTCATGTTAAGGAACCTTTTATTGGCAGTTGTATGTTGTTTAAAGCTATGCCCTTCTTAGTTAGTGTTTCAAATCAGTAGATACATCCCCCCAATTATATTGCAAGATGATCTATTTTGTCAAATCTTTCATAGCAATATTGCAATTTTTTCCATTGCCATGGACGTAACGGATGCTAAACGCTTATTTGGAGGAAGGGGGGGGGGGGGTCTGTGTATGGATCTTGCCAGAATTTAATTGCCTTATTGGGATAGAATTGCCTGAATGCAGTTTGAAATGCGATAATTTTGCCTGGTAAGGGGGATTGCAACGGATGTTTATGCTTTAGTTAATATTTTGTCATTCCTTAAATGCACGAGACTTGTCAATTGGCTTTTGCAAGGAAGAGCTTTTTTATCGCCATTAAAACTAGTGGAGCTGAGAGCCATTAAGTTTACGAAAATCCTTTTTGTTTTAGAGGATTCGTTATCGCCATGGTTTTGTCGTTGCTCTATATCGTGCTTTCAAGGTAAGTAAGATGAGATTCCTTCTTCCATCAAAAGGTACACAACTCATCCTAGAATGTGCAGATTATGACATTTGTTTCTGTGAATTATTTGACGTATACATATCTGTGCATTTTTTTGTCTACCATCTTACACCGAATTTTCTTTGTTAAGGTGGATAACGTTTCCAATGGTCATTGTCACAGCTCTCGGCTTACTTGCTTTATTTATTTATGGTAAGTAAAACAGGTTGTTTTAGCAGAAAGAACCATATGCAAATAGCAGTTTGACATCTCTTTTACCTTCTACGATTTTCTTCAGTTACTATATCTCATAATTGTTTGTTTATATACTTGCTTTTTCGTTCTCTTTTTGTGTGATCAATATGGTATCCTTATATTCAATTTCGACCCGTCTGCATTATTTCTCAATTTTTAAGATTCTCAATACATAGGTGACCTAAAGTAATTGTCTAATTGTGCCAAAATTAGTTTATTTAAAAATTTGTTGCCCGATGATTGCATTAAGTATAAAACTCGGAGTTGTAACTGAGAACCGTCCTATACGGCTTTAACAGATCTCCCTAAATGGCATCGAGCACCAATTATTAGTGCGACAAAATGGCAACGTTCTTAGCGTGGTTTTTTCAACTGGGTATTCTCTTTGACAGCATAAGGCGGGGCTTGGTATGGTTTGGTATGGTCTAGAAGAAAATAATGGAGTAGAAAGTATTTACCTAAGGGTTTTTAAACAAAGTATTCACCTAAAATTAGTAGCAGCTTTTGTTGAATAGCCTATTTTATGTACTGTCTTAACAAGAGGATAGAAATGGGACACCAGTACTTCATACTTTCATAAAAAAGAATGAGAAAGTGCACAAAAATGTCGCTCGAATGATTCAAGCCCATCTGCCTTTGCTACACTGAAAGGAAAATACAAGCAGAGACGGACCTTCGCCGACATACGATAGATTCTAAAGACTGAAGGAAAATTTGCTTAAAGTATAACGTCACAACTAAGTATAGTATATGTAGCTTAAAGTTAATTAACTAACTACAACTAAGTGTTAATTAAAGTTACAAGGCAGGTACATAACCCGGTACTCTCCTTGCAGTTATTCTTTGGTATTTAGTCATAATTATTTGTTGTCGTTGGAGCTTTTTCGCTCGAACCGCTCCAACGTCCATTTGCTGTTTTCTCAAAACGAGACTAAGGTTGGATGCTACATACTCTCGCACAAACGAACAAAATTATTCATGAATTTTTGCATGAATTTTGTGATATTTTGAATTGATACAATAGCCTACAAAATAAAGGGCAACAAAAGTTGCCATTATCAATGATTTTAATATAAGTTAAGTTACTAAAATTTAATATAGCTTTCACATTTTTCGCTAATAATCTTAGGGTATTCACCGAATACCTTGAATACCCGGATGCTCCGCCACTGAAACTTTTTGACGGACCGTTAAAACATTAATTTTCAATATTTGAACATTTCTTCCTTTTGTAAGCCACCACCTCCTTTTTTTGTAATTTATTCGTCTGTGTTTTGAAGGGGTCCGTTACTTGGAGAGGTGGCCCTTAGTAGAGATATGGGTAATTTGAAAATTTTTCTAGGGGACTATTCCTGCTAAAGCCCTTTATAAAAAAATTATTATAAGATCTAAATTACTTGCAGTATGTTGTACTATGTTATGTTTATATAATCTTATACATTATCTTGTTTGCTCTTGATCGAAATTGTTTTCAGGCATCTACTACTGCTTTGCTAAGTATAAGTATCTGGTTGATTCTGGGACAAGCAAGGATATTGTTTGGAAATTTACTTTGAATTTGGACAACTATACGCGCTCCAAGAATACGTGGATGGTGCTTGGTGAGTCTCTGAGTTGCTGTTTTAGCATTATGCCTACTTTGAAGAGAATTAACCAAAATATCAAAAAAATAAATATCAGTTATCACGTATATGATAGTCAGACATGTGACTCGTCTTTTTAGCGATTTTAGTGGACAAATTCTTAGTTTCTTTTATTGTATTAACCTCTTTTTTGCATTGACTTACTGTACGAAGATATGTTGTCACTCTGTCTTTTACCTTCTTATTTTCATATGTCTTACGTCTCTTTCTTCGCAGGAATTGCCCTTTTGATCATGTTCGTCATACTGTTTCTGATCATGGCCTTCTTATACAGCAGAGTAAAAATTGCTTGCGGATTGATTGCTGAAGCCAGCAGGTAGTGTTTGATCAATGTTTGCTACAGAACCGTTTTCAAAACCTTTTGACTACATGCAATTTTCTACACTTTTTCGTAGGAATGACTTGCCTCTTATCCAATATTTTCCACGCCCTCCCTAGTTCATTCATCCCATTACCAGGGTTGCCAGATGCTTGCGGCCAAATACTTTACGTTTGACGGCCAAATTCGGCCAGCCAAACAAAATATACAAACAAGCTATATTTTTGCTAGCTTTCTGCTATCTTTTACTTTGTTTCTTGTTTCGCTATTTGCAACTTTGAGGTTATTTTATCAACATGTTGAATATTTTCTATGCTAAAGTTGTCGTTTTTTTTATTTTTGTGGCTTTAACATGCGGCAAAAATTCGGCCAACTTTCTCTTTTTCGGCCAAATTAATTTTTCGGCCAAATGGCAACCCTGCCCATTACTCTACTCCAGCCAATATCGCTAATACCATCAATACCCTCTGTTTCTTGACAAAATTGCCATCTTTTCTCTAGAGCCGTTTGCTCCATGCTGTCGGCCTTGTTCTTTCCATTGCTGCTGTGGGTTTTTCAGCTCGCGTGGTTTGCGTGGTTTATTGCTGTTTTATTGTATCTTTTCGATCGCAGATATGTAATTTTTATCAATTTTTAAAAGGAACTATTCATTTCGTAACGTATTTATTCTTATCTGCAGTTACTTCAAAAATGTGTAATATAATCTTCGAAACAAATGTTTTCTCTCGCGAATTTTAGAGTACCATGTTTTTGCAGAAATGTCTCTTTATATTTCAGGGGATATATATATATATGTGATCTGTGTTGTATTTTTGCGTATGTGTGTTTTATGTATCCAACGTTTCTTCTCATAGTACAGTCGACTTCCTTAAGCCAATTGATTTCGTTGATTTAGCTAACTTTGGAACATTCTTCCAAATTTTAATAGAAATTCTATGTTAATGGTGTTCGAAACGAAGAAGTATTTGCCTTCTTTCTATATGGTTGCTGATTTTTATATGCTTTTCTCGATTACTGACACTGCTTTGTAGCTTCTTGTCGTTGAAGAAATACTTGCTCAGATCTTTGAGCAAGTATTTCTAATTAATAACTTCGGATAACCCCTTCCCATGCTCGAAGTTTGTTGTATGCAACCATGCGAGAAATATGTTTCTTTATCTATGTTAAAACTCATACCACTTTACCTTGATTTGTGTGCTTCAAGTTTCGTTTTGTGCCAGAATATCGTTGTTTTCGTGTCGTTGAGCTAGGCCATCGTTGAATCAAATAAATTTGATGCCCTGTCTTGAAGATGGTTGTTAAACCTTGACGGCTATGTAGATGCTTGGCATCAAATGGCACTAAAGAATACCGGGTGCTTGAAGATGACACAACGTACAACATCACCAATGGTACTGTTTGTGATCCAAAGAAATTCTCATCTCAGTATCCTGGGACCAATGCATCTTGTGTATTTAGCAAGTACAAAGAAAACAACATTTTGCTTCGTCTGCAAGTTTTCCATGTTTTTGGTTGGCTATGGGGAGCAAATTTTCTTATCGCCCTTGGTGAATGCACTCTTGCTGGCGCCTTTGCATCGTATTACTGGGCATGGGAAAAGCCAAAGGTAAGAGATAACAATACGGGATGCCTTGTCTTTCTATAGCAGTTGAATATGTTAGTCGTGACGATAAAGGAGTTTTGAATTGGACAATCGAGACTCATTTGTTTATTTATCGACATGAATATGTTTATTTGTTTATCGTCTCGACAGTTACATCCACAACAGATGCTCTCAAAACTATACAGTATTTCTTTTGTTACAGGATATTCCAGCCCTTCCAGTTCTTTCATCACTAAATCGAGCGTTGAGGTAAGTATTGTTTCTGTCTCTCTTCTACTGCACGGAAGTGTTTATGTTCCAAGTTTCCTTTCAACCTACTTTTGTCCCTGGTATGTAATGACTCAAGGCAAAGCCTTAAAAGTATCATGTCCCAGCAAGTTTCGATGACCGTTTTAATTCATATTTGTAGGACTTTGTTACTATTGCTACATTTCCCAGTCGGTAACCCAGGGCACATTCTCAATATTTAAACAATTGTACACACACTGCAGAGCCTATTGTTAACCCTGAACAGCTGAATACCGGGCGTGGTGCCTTTAAGCAGTAGCCAGATTGCACATAATTTTGTCTAAGGACGGTTGTTTATCGGGGTACTTTGGTACCTGTATCACCCTACAGTCAGTACTTTGAACAGTAGAACCTCGAGTGCTTTTTCTGTCAATTACGTAACTATACATTGTGAATAATAAACATATTTTGGACTTTTTCGTCATATATTGGCTTAGCTCTTACCAGCAAAAGACATATTTTGTAGTTATAACTGGTAGATTTCGTGAATGTTTATAGGTCTGTCTCTAACAGACAGGAACTACTTATCATTGCAATTTCTTTGCAATGTTTTTGTTCTTGATAAAACTGCAATTCCCAGATGTGCCTGCCTAATCCCATCTTTTTCTTGATAGCAACCATGCCGGCTCTCTTGCATTTGGTGCAGCAATAATTGCCGTTGTGCAGCTGATAAGAGTGACATTGGAATACATCGATCGAAAGCTCAAAGGTAATTTTGTCCTACTTGATCTGACGAGCCTATTTGAACCCAAGTCAGGTAGTGCAGTGCTGGAGTTGCTGTACGAAAAAATACAAGGCCACTCTGCGCTTCCCGTTCTTGCGATCAACAAGTCTCTGGCACTAGTAGCGAATTAGTCCAGGTCATGTTTTTCTTCCCGGTTTTATTAAAAGCATCTCTACCTTATTACGCAGAATTTTGGATGTGACTTAATTAAGAAATAAAGAATTAGGTAAGATTTATTAAGGAATTTTTCAAAGATGTTGTTTTTCAGTTACATTGATTAAGGATTTTTTTGTGCAAATTTGCATAAATGGTATCTGTTATGGAATCTTTTGTTTACGTTTGCATTTTGAGGATTGGTCATACAGAGGCTTTTTAAATAAAAAGGCCATACTTAAAAAAAACAAAAATTAAGAAATCGTAAATTTTGGATGACCAAAATTAAGAAATCGTAAATTTTGGATGACCAAAATTAAGGCATGAGTAATGAAGGGGATACAAAATTTATCGTGTTTTTTAACAAATTAAAGGGATTTTTAAGTGGCATTCCTTGGTAAAGTCACGCACGTAATTTCGCGTAATAAGGTATGTATAAATTTTGTCATTTTTTCATAGTTTATTCTTCAATATGATAAATTTTCTGGCAGCTCCATTTGTCAGAACCCAACTTTTTCTGACATAATATGAATCTTTTATTGCTACCAGACTGTCTTCACTTGATCATGTAAATTGATTTTAATTTTTTTTTCAGAAAATACGGACAACCCTGTGGCAAGCTTTATAATGAAGTAAGTCTTTGTTCATTCAAAATTCGAATTTCTAATATTTTTTTAAACAAAATTTCTAATATTGAAAATTAAAAACAGAAAGTTTTATAGCGACTTTGTTTCACAGGACACACATTAATAACAGCAGTTTTAACTCGTTGAAGTGTATATCTTGTAGTAATATTTGTATTATTATTATTATTATTATTATTATTATGATCTACTTCTAGTCACTTCTGACCATCGGCTATTCATACTCGAGCTTACAGTAGGATACGAAACTAACTTGGATGTTAATGCTAACCGCAAAAGAGAGAAATACTCGAATCTCATTCACAGCCTAAGCTCAGCCTATTCTTCTATCATGTTTGTTAATCTTTCTATCAGTTCCCTAGGTATCTTTGGTCTCTCTTGCTCCTCTTTCATCGACATGTGCAACGCTCTAGATATCAGCGAGAATCATCTCCGCTTCATGATCTCCAAACTATCCAACTTAACTATCCGTACTACCTATTACATTTTCTGCCGCAGAAATAAATCTTGGAATAATCCTGAACTTCTTCAACTCTAACGATCTCTGCTACTGACGACTTCTAAAACAAACAATGACGAACACACTTTTTCTTTTTTTTGTTAATTTCTTTTGTTTGTGCTTGTAATAGTCTTTTTCTTTGTAAACCCAGGCTAGCCAATTGCAAATTACCTTTGTAATAGTGAAATTTGTAATTGTAGTTTTAATTGAATTGAAAGTGAAATGTTTCCATTATTATTATTATTATTATTATATTATCATTGTCGTATTATGATCTTAACGTCGTCGTACATCAAATGTGAGTCGTGAATTTTACGTCACATGTCGTGGATCACCATCGTTATCACAACATCTTAATCCTAAAACCTATAAACCACCCTTATTACCATTCCTATACCATTCTCCATCATAATTTCGTTCTACTTTCTCACTGCACTCACCACCAATTCCACCTATTTCTCCACCTATTTCTTAGCCTCTGCAATGCATCTAATACCTTGATGAACCACTTATCATGTAATGTTATTGTCAATTTGAAATAAACTGCAAGTTGGAATGAACGCTATGATCCTCATGATTCAAGAAGTGAAGACACCAAACGCAATAAAATAAGTCCATCGTAGTTTAGAACACAATTTAACACCAAAAAGGAAGTTTAGAATTGCTTTTAGGTAATAAAGTTTCGCGGGAAGAAAGTTTTGCGAATTGAGAAAAAGTTGAAGTTTTTTAAATTAAATTTCGCGAAAGAAGTGAAATAGAACAACAAAAACAATGTTAAAGTTCTTTAAAAACAATATTCAACACCAAGTTTCTAAGAGGGTCAACAGCAAAGATATTTTGCAAGAACAACTTACGCGAATTTCGTTTTCACAAAGTTTCGCGAATCAAACTTCCGCGATTTTAGGTCAAGAAAGTCAAAACGTGAAATTTTCTTCCCACGAGATTTTCTTCCCTTATAGTAGTGTGTTATGAAGCATTAAAAATGTCATATTTATCGATCATCTGCATTATCGTATCAAAACCACATCATGTCACGCACATTCGTATCTTTCCAATTACACCATATCCTTTCATCATCATTGCAGATGCTATCTTACAGTTTATCAAATTTTCTCACAGATGTTTGAAGTGCTGTTTCTGGTGCTTGGAAAAATGTCTGCGGTTCTTGAACAAGAATGCTTACATAATGGTACGCTCAAAACCTGTTTTCAAAAAAGCACTTACAAGTCTCTTGTAAAAAAATTTCTAGATTTGTAATAAGTACATATACATTATATTAATTCACGGTACTTTGTTTAATAGAGAGACAACTTTTTATATTTTACAAAGGCTACTACTGTCATCAGCATTTTATGGAGTGAAATTTCATTTTAAATTTACCCTAGAGTTATCTCACCGTGATTTCTAGAGCGTTGCATTGCGGTTGCTTTATAAGAAAGGTTCTAAAGCTGGGGAAGAATTTTCCAGAGGAAGAACGAACACTTTTAATCATTCTAGGGGGAGGGGGTTTGGCTGGGGTTCATGGTGCACCGGCGTTTTTCACGAATTAATTTCTATGTATTTTACGCAATCATTTCAAGTTATTCCAAATTTTAAAATATCTTTTCCAGATTGCTATTTATGGCAAAGGATTCTGTAACTCTGCTAAAGAAGTATTCTGGCTCTTTGTAAGAAATCCAATTCGGTACGTTTTGTTTCAACAAAAATTACTTTTTCCCACTCCACTTTGGGAGTTTATATTTTGAAAAGGTCTTTCAGGCTCTTTTCCTTTGTTCTAGGAAAACTAACCCACAATTAAAAATCGTTCGATCTATTTTTAACAAAATCGTTGCTAGTTTATATTTTACCAATATATTGTGAATACTTAACTTGTGTCAAATATGAGTAGATTTTACTTGTGTCAAATGAAGGATGGTGTTTTACGAGATAAGGAATTGTCTCTAATCAAAGCCAGTGCATTAAAACCGTTTGATCGTTATCTTTCTTCCCAACTTTGCATAAAGCGTAACGTAATTTCTTGGCATCTTATGATCGCAACCCAAAATAATTTTTTGGAATATAGTTTCTGCTACTGCTTTCAATGGGACGTTTGTCATGGATCTGTTCACAGATGACGGCACTGCATTTGTGAGAGACCTGAATAAATTTTATCCATTATTCATTACTATAGACAAACATATTAATTGGTTACTTTTCCCAATTACGTTACTCTTTGAGAAAACATTTTTGTTATCTTCTCTTTGTGTTCCACCCACAGGCTACTGACAATTAACGGCGTGACTGGTTTTCTGCTCTTTCTGGGCAAGCTACTTGTCACTGGTATCATAGGTATGTTTACTTGATTTAGCAAATAGATTTTCGAGTCCACTGAGCAAATTGGACGCTAACCCCGTTGAAGATTTTTGAAGTGCTGAGAGCTAATTCATTTGAATAATCACCGAGTAGGTAGAATATCCTCTTAATATTTTCAGGCAAAAGTTAATGTATCAACGACGTCATTTTATCACTGTTACATGGAGCCACAAATAATTTGAAATGAGACATGTTTTTATTGAAAGGGTAAGAAGGCTTAAGATTGTGTGTCAGAGAGTTTCAGATTCTCTGGTGATTCTCATATTTTCATGAAGTACAGGAGTTGAGTTAGATCAGACAAGTATTAATTTTGCAATTTTTCTTTTTATTTGCTATTTGCCTGTACGCTCTGTGCATGCTATCTGATCGCCTCCACAGGGGTTGCTAGCTTCTTCTGGTTCGAAAAATACAACGCGAACCTGCCAGATAAGCTGAATTATGCTGTTGTGCCAATTTTGGTAAGTACTTCATATCAGTCCACTGCTAGACACGCTATGTGGAAGAGCTCCCAGTTATTTTTTGCAGGGACTATAGTCTTGCATGCACTGTGAAGAGTTTTAAACTATGTTCAAACGATAACTGTGTGTGCTGGAAAGACCTTTTAAAACCAATCTGTGCTGGGAAGACCTTCAAAATTATTTAGCTACTGCAAAACCAAAAAGAACTGATTGCTGTCAAGCTTTTCATCTTTTTGCAGCAAATTAGAATCTGTAATCCACTTTTCAATGTTTTTTGTCATCGAAATGAATCCTCTTTGAATGGTCAACACAGTCTAAAATTATGCAGAAGCGTCAATCTTTTCCTCAAGCGGCCGTCTTTTTCACAAATTTCTTGTTCTTTTTTCACAAAGATTCGCTTTTTTATAAACCTTTCAATATGACGTCAGGTCGCCCTGGCCTTCAGTGATGACGTCTGCAATGATTCTGGTCATTGTTACTTCATTTCAATTCATTTCATTCCAATTCATTTCAATTCACTTCATTTGATTCCAGTTTATTGTACATGTATCTTATTTCCTTGTAGATATGCGTCATTGGTGCCTATCTTGTTACAATCCTTTTCTTCAATGTTTACGACATGGGGATCGACACAATATTTCTGTGTTTCCGTAAGTTATCCACAATCTCACGAGCATGATTATGATTTTCCCTCTGTGCGAATTCCCTAAATGACCCTCCTGATAGTCGACTGCGCATCGTTAGATCGTGTAGTGCCATTGCAATTACTCACTCAATCTGATTCAAGAAAATTACAGTTTTTAAACCTTAAAAATTGTTTTATCCACGTAATTAACAAATATGAACTTAACTTTACAAGCTAATGTATAAATCTTTTCTTGACGCCATTGATGCTTAAGTTACTGACGGAAAAAATCGCTAAATTCCACTGAGAGCAAATGCAGCCCATCTTTCTCTCAAAATAACTACAATTGTACAATTTCTTTTGTGCTCAGGCACCTTTTAAAGGCTTGAAGATCGATGAGAAGCTCACGTCAACCGATGTTCACTGCTACGGCCTCGTAAAAGCTGACGCAATTTGTGAAAGATGAAAAGGGCGGGAAAATGAAATATGCACCATTTACTGAAATTGCCTTTCCTGAAAAATTTTCTGAGTTAAAAAAATTTCTGGTTGTCTGAAAAATATTCAGAAGGATCCCCGATCAAAGAAAATGTGCAGCAATAAATGTTTAACACATCAAAGTAATGACTGATGCCTATTTACCATGACTATTTGCCTATTTAACACATCAAAGTAATGACGGACTCAACCGTAACTGTTTGGATCCGATCCCAACCGTGTATACACGAGACCTTTTTGGGATCGGATCCAAACAGCACCATCTTCAAAAGCGATCCCAAATGGGTACGGATAGCAGATGCAAACGGGATCGGATCCGCCAGGTCCCGTGTTAACGCAAAAGCCTATCCGTACCACTATGGGTACGGATCCGTTCGGATCCGATCCCGTGTGAACAGGCCCTAATTGCGTATTTTGGTCTTTTCATTTGCCGATTCTTAAAAATCCTGAAATATTTTGGATTCTCTGGCGCAGTCAGATAGCTAGTCCCACGAGTCCCTGAGGTTTCCTAAATACGCTTACTCGCTATTTTTAAGAAAGATTTCAAATATTTTTTTCAGTTGAAGATTTAGAGCGTCACGATGGCTCTGAAGAAAAGCCATATTTCATGACAAAGAGCTTGAAAAAGCTGATGGATGTGAAGAACAAACAACCTGCGGAGGCTTCTGCAACTTGAACAATTCATCAAAAACGCTTTTATTGGATGAGTTTAAACCACTTTGATCAACTATCCAGTGACACTTAAATCTGAATAATTTTTGATACATGAATATTTTTTCCAGAAACTTGCACCGTTCAAGCTTTAAATTAATTACGTTGCACCTAGAGGAAAAGTAACACCGTTTTTCTGTTCATCGTCTTGAAAATATTTTAGTTTAAGTCAAATGATTGCTGTTTTCAATAACAGGAAGGAATTAGAAGTAGGCTAGTGGTCTGCGGAAGCTTTGAAGCAAAAGCTTGGCTGGAATTCTGCGATCGCTACTAGGCCTTCTAGTATTCTTACTGTCATCGTGGAAGTTGCACTGGAACAACATCACTTGTGTTTAACTAATGGACAACTGAGAAGTTTGAATCCTTTGCTTTTTAACAAGGGCTAGTTCAGGTCATTTTGAAATTGGCTATCCTCGTTGCTTAAATCGGGTTTGTTAAAATATCTCATAGTGTTTGCTCCGTTCCAAACCAAACAATGTTTTTTACGATGAAAGTAGACAATTTTGGTATTCAAGTTCCCGTTTATCATTTTTGGCTAATGGTTATTTACGTTTTGAAGTAACAGTTATTATTTCTAATATTCATGGTATTTATACAGTCTTTAGGCTGTGACGCTTTTTTCCCAATTGTTTGATTTTCCAATGTGATATTTAAATTTAGAATATTTGTTTGATTGATTTTCTATACTTTATTTTGATTTGCTAGTTTGATTCACTAGAAATTCTGCTCGTATTTTGATGCCCAAACACCCTGTCCCAAATTGTATTGTTTATGGGGGGTTCTCGTGCCCCCTCAAGAATCGTTAAAATTCTTTGTTTCCGTGACTGCTAATGATTCTACCTTTCCTTCGGTATTGTATCCTATCAGTTTGTAGTGATTTGTGCGAAATGCCAAAAAAGGATTCTTATTGAGAAGTTCATGGTAGGAATACAGAAACAAAATATTGATAAGGTAGAATCGAGACACGAGTTTGTAGTAGCGTGTGAAAGAGTTTGATTATAATTCATGAACACTTGCCCTGGTTAGTTTTCTGGCCACATTTGTCACTTGGCACTTGAGACCATAGCTAGCAGCAGAAGAACCCTTCACAAATGTATTATTTATTAATCAATATATGCACAACCTTCAAACAGCTGTGTCCAAAATTTATCGATATCGGTTCATTTGCTGTGTGTATTTCTCTGGTTGATTTCGATTTTGGCACTCGAGTCACAGTCATAGATAATTCATAGACCTGGGTTAATGTCATATAAACTGACCATTCTCTGATTGCTGTTAGCTAGGCTATAAATAATGAAATATCCACGGTAAAAATTTTTTACTTGGAAATAGCGGGGAAGATACAAACATCGAAGATATGCAGTTTAACTGAAAGGGTAAAATTTCTAATCAATGTTTTTGAAAAATAGAAGAACTGATTTTCTTCAATGCATTTTACTCTTGATGTGTTTAGACATTTGCAATAGAAAGTAATAGAAACTAAAAATCTGTTGAGTTTTTCATCATCATAGATCGCCCACGTCATAATCATCAATCATCATCACTCCCATCATATCGTCATAATCATCAATCATCATCACTCCCATCATATCTATGATCACCACTATCAATCGCCATCATAATCACCAATCATCATCACTCCCATCATATCTATGATCACCACTATCAATCGCCATCATAATCACCAATCATCATCACTCCCATCATATCTATGATCACCACTATCAATCGCCATCATAATCATCAATCATCATCACTCCCATCATATCTATTATCACCACTATCAATCACCATCATAATCACCAATCATCATCACTCCCAACATATTAACACCGTTAATTGTCAGTAGCCTGTGGGTGGAACACAGAGAGAAGATAACAAAAATGTTTTCTCCACGAGTAACGTAATTGGGAAAAGTAACCAATGAATATGTTTGTCTATAGTAATGAATAATGGATAAAATTTATTCAGGTCTCTCACAAATGCAGTGACGTCATCTGTCAACTGATCCATGATAAACGTCCTATTGAAAGCAGAAACTATATTTCAAAAAATTATATTGGGTTGCGATCATAAGATGCCAAGAAATTACGTGACGCTTTATGAAAAGTTTGGAAGAAAGATAACGATCAAACGGTTTTAATGCACTGGCTTTGATTAGAGACAATTCCTTATCTCGTATGAACACCATCCTTCATTTGACACAAGTAAAATCTACTCATATTTGAAACAAGTTAAATATTCACAATATATTGGTAAAATATAAACTAGCAACGATTTTGTTAAAAATAGATCGAACGATTCCAAAGTCATTTATTTCCGGGGTCTTACTGTAATTCTAATCTAAGTAAAAATTCCTTTTTTTAATATTTGTAGAAAGAAAAGTTTTGCAATATGGCGTTGTAAACAAGATTTCCCTATAACCTTTTTTGACGGCTGCCCCTCTGATACAAATGTTTTCTGTACGGCCTTGCTCTCTTTAGCTTCATTTGTGGCATTTGTTAATACCAAAAGTAGCCTTTTCTAGTTTCCCTATTGTTTTTAGGTATTCTTAGTAATTGCCGCAGTATTGTACTGCGTGGGGGAGGGAGGAATTCCCTGCTCAGCTAAGGTGACCTACTTTTTGAAGCCAATAGACCATTCATATTTCATAGTTGATTTGTTTAAGGGAGTGTTGCCCTTCAAAGGAAGTTGTTTTTCAAGGGGCCCTCCCATAAAAACTAATTACAATATGCAGTTAAAATACAACAAAATAAAAAACCATAAAATTAAAAACATATTTACAATTACATGGTATTATACAGTATAAAAAAAACTAGTCAACCCTGTATTGTTTTTTTGAATCCACCCAGGGAGGATGCCGTCTTGGACTCAGCAGGAAGGTTATTCCATAGTTTAGCTCCCCGGAAAGAAAAGCATTTTTGTCAATTTGCTGACCTTTCCTTTGGCAACCTTAAATCAGTCTCAGTGTTCCGGAGGAGCATGCTGAGTTTTTGGTGAAGAGGTTAGACAAGTATTGAGGAGCCAAATCATAGAGCGACTTGAAGACCATTGTTTTAGTCTCATTGCCAATGAGCTCTTCAATGGTCTTCCAGCCCAACTCTGCAATAAGTAGTCTGCTTGGGGCATCGAAGCTGCTATTTGTTATGATCCTAGCAGCACGATTTTGAAGTTTTTGTAACTGGTCGATGTCTGTAGACCCAACACAACCCTAGACAGAACAACAGTATCGAAAGTGGGGTTCCACAATACCAGTGTATAGAGTTTTCAAACGTGCCACAGGAGGAAAGGATCTAGCATGTCTCAAAAACCCGATCGCTCTGGAGACCTTAGTGGAAACTGCCCTAATCTGCTCTTTTCAATCTAATGAAATTTTTTTGCGGTTGGATATGTAAGACATGTTTTGGATTATTGGTAAAGCCCGATCGTCGTTCAACCTAGCAGTTTTGGAATCTATCTACATAAGCACGAAAAAACCGCTACTGTGTAGACCAAAAGGAGTTCGTTTTCACCTTTGGACTCCATTGGTAACATTCTCAATAGGCAAGCGGCACTGATTGGTCAACCTCAACAGTCATGTGCTCGTGTTTCTGATTGGCCTATTTCGATCCACAACTGGGTATATATATTTCCTAGCGTAGAGTTTTCGGTCTATGTTCTGACGTTTCAAACTCTGAAGAGTATCAGACGAAAAGATTTAGTTTACTAAATGTTTGCTTTTTTCAAAGCCATTATAAGTAAGACTTAAACCAAGACAGCTCTCGCTGCTGAACCCAATAAAGTTCGAAAGTTTTACAGAGAATATCATGGTCGACCATATCAAATGCCTTTTTCAGGTCAATATATACCAATCCCACGATCTTACCGAGATCGAGCCCGTTGTACCAACTACCAGTCATCACTCATTTTAAGCAAAAAATTTAGTGAGGAATGTAGCCGAAAAAAAACCTGATTAGTCAGATGTAAAGAAACCATTTTCTTTCATATACTGGTACAGCTGGTTGAAAACAAGCTTTTCAAAGAGCTTTGAGATAGGCAAGACTGATATGGGACATTGTCCCCCTGAGCTCGAAGTAGTTCAAAATACAAAGTATCTTGTCCCCCTTTTTAGGAATAAAGAATTGACCACACCCACCCCCAGCTGAAGCCCCTTAGATACTGTGGTATATTTTGAACTCCTTTAATACTTTTCCCATCCCCCAAGCCAAAACCCACGTGTCTCTTTATTTAGAGTTCTGAAATGCTTTCTGTGCTCTATTCTTGCCCGTGTTAACGGCGCCACGTCTGCGTTCGTAGTCAGGGAAACAAACAGGGACTCGAAAAATGCCATATCTTACTGGTCTCGTTACCATCCGCTTCCCTGTATGAGTCTATCTCGAAGCTGTGTATACCGCTCGCTGCCACAGGGCCGAAGGTTGGCATAATGGATAGCTGCTCCGGTTTACTTGCCAAACTAGACGCTGGTATGGATGATGTGAGCAAAAGTGAGACAAAAGAAATGTTACAAAACAAGGAGAGGTCTTTGATGGAATCTAAAGCTAAGAGAGATCAGGTAAGTTACTTAATTACCAAGGACTTGTTGACTGCTTGCAATCTAGTTTTCTTGTCATTTTAAAAATAACGATTTCTTCCCTTTTGCACAGTCAGATATCGTTTCTGGATTACTAATATGATTGCCCATTTCTTTACTGATGACCTTGGAGTGCTGGAGTGGATCAAATCATTTTGGTCTTAGTGATTTGACATCCATTCATGGGGATGATGCCCTCTTTTTATAGCCAGAAAATACCTGGTTTATATTAATGGCACTATTAGCTTTTTGCTTTTATAATTTGTAGCAAGTGTTTGAGATCCTTTTCTGTATCAAATTTGTCTCTCAAAGTCACTTTCGTGTTCCCTGTTACTGCGCGGCTCGCATGTTGACATTCAGTTTTTTTGTAAGATTATACCTTTTGTTTTGACTCCACTGAACCCTAATATCTGACAATTCTTTTGGAACACTGGCAGATAATGTAAAATAAAAACAAAACCTTTTATGCTGCCAGATTTCCTGCTCCGTAGATACTGTTTTTGTGACCAGTGGACTTTGACAAAGGTAGATATCATTTTTGTGGTCTGAAAAATATTTCCTTATAGGTTCTTTGTTGTCATTTATGAACGAGGCCATCTCTGTCTACACTTAAAGTCATCGTTGATATCATATTGGTATCAAAATAATGTACTTGTTACGAGGCATTCTATAATAATTGTGAATGTTACAAGATAGGGGCATAATATTGTAAGACAGAAGAAAGAGAAAGAGCAGGGAAAGATAGGAGGGTATGGCAATAAAATTGAAGAACTTCACTTTGTTTTCACTTTTATTCAGTATTGATAGAATTCAAGTCAAAACACAATAATTATCGGTCATTGCTTTGTCTTCTCTTGCTGTAAATGATGGGAAATTTCATTATTTCTATTTTTTCAGTTTATAATTTAGTGTCAAATCAAAGCCTTCTCAAAAAAGATTATGTTGTAACCATCATTGAAAGCATGTTGCCCATTTAATGTTTAATGCCCATTTATCTTAGTACCATATTTTAGAGTATATATATACGATGTCATTATAGAAAAGATATTATAAAGGCATGTTATTAGTTATTTTGTTCACAATTAGTGAAGATTTCTCATGTTAGTCTTAGCAACAATTGACTGACATATCTGGACCTCAGTTTGAAACATGTTTTCAAAGATTCTCTCTGGGAAGTGATTAGTTTTGAAACCTGTATGCAAGTCTGTGATGTACATTTTAAATTTAAATTCTATTAAGTTCTTTCTGATAAAGTTTTTTTCTTGCTTTGCTGAATAATTTGACATACTTGTAATGTGATATAAATTTATTGTCTAATGATTCAGCATGAAATTTGGAGTCAATTGGAAGGTGCTCAGTGTATTAGTTTGAAACTTAGAACTATCCTCTTCTATGCCCAAAGTCTAAATTGTAAAAAGCTTAGTGAAGCAGAGTTGAGGGATGTCAGTTTTCTTGGTTCTGAATAGGTTGTGACAACTGCAGGGAGACGGGGGTCCCTTTTACTCAGCATGAGGCTCTTGGTACACCCCCTATTCACCAATTGGATAGTCTGCATGAGTCAGCTGTAGCTCTGGCATGAATTTTATTATCCGTTAAAGGGAACTGTGATCAGTAAAATAATTCTTTTTTGCAAAACTCTTTTTCAACACCATTTTTTATAATAAGATCTCATCCCAATGCTTTCCTCAGAATTGTTTTTCGTTTCAAGAAAGTTGGCTGCTAGAAGTCCAATTCTTGAATTGATTTTGAATAGGCTAGACAATGCATGCTCATTAAATGCATAACTTTATGCCTTTGCTGTTCTTCCTTATGGAAAAATCCAAGTCACTAAATTATGTGTATTTGGCATTGTGTGAAATTTGATTGAACTTTTTTAATTGATCTGGTCTTAGCTGAGTAATCAGTCCATTGAGGTGAATAGAGGCAGCCGACAGCCTTAGATTTGAACTTCAGTAAAACATATTGATGTCATAAAAAATTTATTGAATTTTCTGTGACATCCATTACTGTTCAGGTTATGCAGCTGGTTATGATGAAGCTGCATTAATCCAACTGAAATTTCCTCAATAAACTCTACTTATCAATGACATAATATGCTTAAGAATGAGCATAATTTTTAATTGTTTTCTTTTCATTTTGTCAAGGTGATTGTTATCATCAAATGTTGTTTACAGTTATATTTTTATACTGATGTCAAATAAATTTTTGGTTATTTTTTATATTCATTAAAAAAGAATGTGACATAGTCAGCTTTAATGCCTGTAAGTGTATCCTGCAAAAAAACAAGAATATAAGGTCAAAACTCTATTTAAAACATTATTTTTGTCTGTTTCCTTTAATCATTTTGCTTCAATTGAATTAGAGTTTCTAATTGCCAATTAACATTGTTTGAAAATGAATGAATAGAAGGCATGTGCTATACAAAACACAATTTATCTATTTTAAAGATCCATATTTAGTATTTGAAAGATTTCAGCTGAACAGTTTGAAATAGTTGCCATGCAACTTCTCAGATTTGTCTATAATCTTGTGTTTCAATTTAATCTTCTATAATTGATCAGTGGGCAATTTGCAGTTTTTATGAATGAACAAGTCTTAGATTAGATCCTTCTCATCATGTTTATATATTGCCCAAGTTATTCCAAATCCAGTGGATTAGTTTTGTGTTGTAAGAGTTAAACAGGAACCATCCTCATATGAAATACAATGACTTTTATACTCTATTTTTTGGTAGAATAGCACACTTAAGCTCTTAGTCATAGAAGAGTTATTCCTTAATTGAATTAGATGGTTTCTTTCCTTTAAAATGTTTCAGCAGACAGTTTGTTTAATTGGATAACTTAATACAATACCTTGCCCGCAGCTTAAGACTCAACCTAGTCATTCCATGGAAATATTATTGTTAACTTTTGCTATTACTTTTGCCACAAGGGTGATGGAGCTTCAGGGATTGAGGAGGAATCAGAAGGGAGTTTCCAACAAGTAAGAAAGCCACCACCTCTTGTTTATACACCACAGTTGGATGTAATGTGGCTAATACTGCTTGGACTAGCAGCAGGTACAAGAATGGTCAGTTTGATGAACCCTAGCTCAGTTGTGTAAGTGAAACTTTCTCATCTTAACACTTGCTCATTTTTGCCATTGAAGATAAACCTTATGGTAACAAGAGATTTGAAGAAAGCAAAGAAAATCAGAAAGATAGCATACTTAAGTACTTTTAAATGATACTCCTGAGGGAATACAGATTGATTATGACTGAAGGTAGGCAGGAATTAATATTGAGATGCAGACGAAAATTAACTTGAGAGGAGATTGTGTATTTGATTGCTTCCTTGTTTTTTACCAATCAGTGATGATGAACCTCTCTTTAGTTGAAAGGTCCAATAGAGAAAAATCTTTTTCTGCTACACAGGTTGGGATCTTTTTTGATGTAGTCATTTTCATTTTGATATCATTGTCAGTTACTTTAAGATCTTTGATATTTAAGTAGCACAAATGATAACCTATTGTTGAAAGCTGACTTTTAAGCTTTTTTGCTTTTCATTGCTCATACAGATTTGATGAAGTTCACTTTGGAAGATTTACATCATATTTCATGCAAAACAAATTTTTCTTTGATGTCCACCCACCCCTTGGAAAACTCCTTTTTGCCTTAGTTGGTAAGCACTATAAATTTTATCGAGAGTTCTAGGGTTTTTTAGTAACAAATAAACGAATATTTATTTGCTATTTCTCATTATTTCTGCCTAAAATACTTTGACTGATGGTGATGATGTTAGAATCTTCATCTTTTTCGATTATGTTCCAGTCCTTAAGTCATTATATACCTGAAAATGCTCAATTTAATTGTATTTTATCCAAAAAATTGTTTGATGTTGATATTATGGTTTGGCAAATTATTTATTTCATTATCTGGCAGATTTAGTTAGTAATTTTGTTTATTTTCTTAAAGTTTCAATATGTCTTGCCATTTAGTTTCCTTGTTTGCTAATCAACATTGGCTGCTGCAACTTAAAAAATATTTAATAGTTTATTAATCATGAAAGATCCCGATGCCCTGTAAATTGCTTTGGATTTTACTCGCTTTTTCCCAATCATGGTTAAACTGTCTGACCAGCAACAATGTTCTGGCTACGATATCTTTAAGTATCAGATGGAGTCAAACAGGCCTTGCGAGAAACAGGCACCCAAGCTTTGTCAAGTGCCTCTGCACGCACCTATAAAGTTCTAGAAGCTTGATTGATCAAGAATCAAGCTTGTTCATACTGTCTACAAATTAAATGCAACAAAAAAAATTTTGTTTTTGATTATATTTGGTGATGCTGAATCAAGTTGAGGGTGCTCAGTATGTCAAGCACCTGCTTTTTGCTCCTCACAAGGTCAGGAGTCAAAGAGTATTTTTTACTCATGAGGGCTAGCAGTCCACAGAAATTATGAAAATTTTTATAGACATGAATATTGAAAGCTTTCATTTTTCATCTATATTTTACAGGCTATTTGAGTGGTTTTGATGGTAAATTTATGTTTGAACAAATAGGCCAAGGTATGTAGTATTTAAATCTTTTTCAAAGTCTATTACAATGTTTTTACACAAAGTTTGCAACAGAGTGCTGGTATCAGTTCTTATTTTATACTTATATTATTTGCTTGAAATGTCTTTCATTTTTTATGATGCTTTTGCTTCATTTCTACCTCCCTTTCAAAACCATTTATATTTTTGTACTTCTATTTTTCTTTAGGTTTTGGAGAGCATGCTGGCCAGATTTGGTATTTGAGGCTGCTACCTGCCATATTTAGCACATTGCTTGTTCCATGCATGTATGAGGTATCTATGTATACATATGTTTATCAATTTATTTATCATTTTCTTTATAACAGTTATAATTTTTAGTTGTGATTTTTTAGCTTTTCAGGATTCAAATTCAATACAATACAAAATTCAAATTCAATACAAAATCCCCCCAGTTTCTTCTCTGCATCTGCTGTGTGGCAAACAGACAAGTTGTCATATCTGTCAGCTTATTTCAATGGTTGAGTCAAAAGTTCACAATAATTTATGTCTACATAATAGGAAACACCAGTCTTAGAAAAACTAGTCCTTATCATCTTACCATACATACGGGTGTATGGTGTATGGGTCGATCTTGTATAAAACTCCATCGTTTCTTTCAATTTGATATTCACTTTCTGCCATTGAATGATAATTTCTTTGTCAATTGCATTAGAGCTGTAAAAAACAACATATGGTACCCTGCTGTAGGTCATTTTAAACTGTTTCCAAATGAGACCAAAAGTTGGGAGTTAAGATTACGGAATAATGGAAAACTCGAATAATAAACCCTATAAAGAATGGTAGTACTCAGCACCAACGCACAGAATACGAAAAAACGTTTTTTCTTATTCTGTGACCAAAGCTTGACCAATTTTCAGTATAGACATTTGCAACTGATGTTGACCCACTCATAATGTGCCCGTTTTTTTTTTATTATTTTGGGCTTCTCTAGTCTCTAGTACTCTCAATTGTCTTTATCTTGGCTCTCGGTTGTCATAAAACATGTTTCCTACACCAAAAATTGTGAAACAAGTCACCACCAACTAAGATCAGCCATAATACAGTTATATATTACAATGGCAGGAATTCGCCAACTCAATCAAGAAATTAATTGTGGTTATGGCGATCTGCATTCTATGTAGAATCAAGGAAATGTGGATAAAGATTAGTTTTATATGAATGTTAAATCAATAAGTTATTTTGCTGTGTGTTATGTTTTGAGGAATAGCCCTGTCTAACTTTATGTTGGTGTCTACACTTCACGAGGTTTGACACCGATAACCGAGTATACCAAATCAAAAAGTCATTTTGTGTTCAGCCTGCTGATCAAGGAAACAAATACGTTAGGAAGATCACGCTATGCAATATAACTTACAAAAGCAAATATAAGTCTAGTGGGAAGTTTAGAGCGTGAAACTTCAATGCAATGTTCTTAATTCCAAATCTTCACATTTCCCGCTGCTGTTTTCCCAGAGCTATTTCAGGTATCCAGCAAGGCATATCCTTAATTGTTTTCAGCAAATTAGCAATTGTCTCTGTTGTTTGCCGCTGAAATTGCAAGGTAGTTTCCACGATCCCGTTAAAAACAGAAGAAGCCACTACACGTTTTTTATTTTATAACAAACTTGGATCAGCACTAAGTACTAAAAGTTTTTTAAATTTTTCGGCATCCTAGTACTAGCTTCTTATAAACCAGTTTCTTATAAATAAAAAACGTGTATTTATCAATTTAATAAAGGAACTTTACTTTTTGCTTAAATCTATCTTAAATTATTTGAAATCGGTTTCTTCGGCTGTTTGGGCGAAAAGTTGTCTGCAATCAGGGCACTTGGCGAATCGTCTTTTGATATGTTAACTGTTGAAGCCTGTTTTTGCATTCAAAGTTGTAAAAATGTTTTAATGTTTTACTGACTTCAGTGTGAAATTTCATGCAGAAAAAAGTACGCGTTGGCCAGTGTACTGTGAGCTTTCTTAGTACCAACCACAAAATTCATGATCACTTTTTTATCTGTTTACCAATTTTTTAGATTCTCCTTGAACTTGGGTGCACATATTGGATGGCAACCCTTGGAGCTGTGCTGGTGATATTTGGTATGCTTTTGTCCTATGTCACTTTCTCCTCTCTCTAGATGACTTTTCCTTAAACGGATCTATCTTTCGAACAGGCTAGCCATGCCATGTGTTTTTCAGATATTATTTTAAATATTAGTCCGTGTTCAATTTTTTTGATTTGATCACGACCACAGCTCTCCTAGCTGCGAATCAAAACTAACTATTGTTTTCAGTATGACCAAATATATTGAAACACCATAATATATTAAATAACAACAACTTGTTTGTCTATGCTTTCCAATGATGTAGCTTATGCCTGCGAATAACATTGTCCTTTGGGACGATGATATGATTCGTCGGTTGACCGTGTGCTTTGGATCGAAATACAACGTAAACTTTGCAATGAAAGATGGATTTCGGCCGAAAAATCAAAGCAATAGATTTAGGATAGTTTTCTGTTTGGTACAAAGAATTCAACCACTTTTAATTGTCTATGAAGACGATACTGTGTTCATGTTGAAATGACCGCTTGTTTCTTTGGGGGATAACCACACGCTTAGGATGAGATGAAACAGTTTTGCCTTAAAACTAGAAGTACCAAAAACAATCGGAATGTGGGCAAAATTCAGAATTGCAGCTGTTAAAGTTAGCTTTCATACCGAATTCTTCTTGTAGAGTAACCTATGACCACTGGTCGTCCAGTAAATTTGTCTAGTTTGAGTAGTCACTTCTCCTCTATTTACAAGGTTGGAATATCCGATTGGAGCAAGACTTCATAAGGCATGTGGAGTCAAGTCTCCACTCCAATTTCTTTTTTAAGTCTTGAGAGAGGTAACTGCCTGCTGAGGCGTTTGCTCACCCCCAAACAATGCCCCCTCTTGCTTATTTTCGATGAACAGTTTTATCAAATGGCTCAAGTAAACTTTAAACCAGTTTAAGCATATTTTCTCGATTGCGAAACTGCTCATTCAAAAGCAGTCTCTCGATGTTAATTCTATTTGCAGAAAACATGCTGGTTGTCCAAGGCAGATTTATTTTGATGGATTCGATGCTGATTTTCTTTATTGCCGCTTCAGTTTGCTTTTATCTCAAATTTCTGCGAGAACACCATAGGTAAAATTTCATGAAGATTTGTTTTTTCTGCGTATTATGTCCAATAATTTTATCAAAGCTAAACTTAATGAGAACAAAATTGCAAAGTTAGAAAATTTTTGCCATTCAACTTCCTTCTCTTGGAGTTTTTAATAAAATGTTTCTTTTGCTATGTTTGCCAGTTGATAATAGGGCGTATTTCCAAGTAGCCCTTCCACCAATTTCCATGTTTTCGTTTTTGGCATTATAAAGATTTGTTAGAAAAGGATGGTATGTGTCAAAAATAACTAATCTCTGCATATCATTTATCTGCAGAGATAATTTACTTATTCTTACCCTGAGTAAAGTTTTAACAGACTTATACAAATAAATTAAATTATTTTGCCATTGATATTTAAATTTTTAGCAAAGTATTGTCAACCCCCTTATTGCCCACTGTACTATTCTGCTACGAAGGCTATTCTCTGTAGATTGATAATATTCCTTATATTTTCAACAGGCCTTTTCAACCAAAATGGTGGTTTTATCTTGTTTGTCTCGGGCTTTCCCTGACTGGAGCTTTTAGGTACTGCAGTTTTTTCTAATCTCATGTTTATGCTCAAAATTTCTAAAAATGCCCTATTGTCAGCCTTAGCCTTAGTTTTTCTTACACTTCCCGGAACTTAGCGGCGAGAGTGGCCACTCAATTTAATGCAAGCTCTTTGCCAATCAAGATTTGAGAGTTGGTGATTAAGGGTGTATTCATCCATTAAAATCAAGAGTTGGCATTTCCAAAATATTCATGCATGTTACATCTTATGGTAGACCCACTGTAAATTTTAACGATCTCTTGGATGCAACTTTGGCTTAGTAAAGCATGGGAGGGGGGAAGAAGCTATTTTCTGAAATTTTTCTCAAAACGCTGCACAAATATAGCCAGAATACCGTAAGGGCAAAGGCACAGTTTGTGCTTTGCTATAAAAAGTCAATTTTCTTATATACATTGGCAGAAGGGGAGCCGATTAATCTTGTGACGTCACGACAGTGCCCAGTGACGTCATGAAAGCTTAGGGCATATGCTTCTTTCTCTCATTTTTCGTGAATTTTTACATTGTGTATTACGTCAAAAGCCAGCTTGGCTGTAATGTAGCATAATTTCTTTTACTTCTTGTCGTTGTCATCGACACCTGCTATTGACTGCTAAGTATTAACATCACCTACAAACCAATGTATAATTTTGTTTTAGTGTCAAGTACAATGGTCTTTTGACAGTACTGCTGATTGGAGCGTTTACATTTCTTGATATTTGGAGACTGATTGGGGATATAAAATGTCCTTTGGTAAGTTGCAGATCTACTAAATGAAGCATTTGAAGCAGCTGAAAGGTCTGCTGATCGTCAGTTGACCTGTTTCATGTTTTCAACTGTAGAATATATGTATAAGTAGATTTTATTGATGCTTTTGAATTTGAAGGAAACTGCCAAAAATTGCTGACAGATTTTTTCAAGCTATTGTTGTCCTTTAATCTACTTGTTCTGTTTGTTAATCTGTGACTGCCTTCGTAGAAACAGCAAGTAAACGAGGCTGAGCCTTTAACTACAGAACATAATATAACCTACTACCTTGCTCTACTATCATAATATAACCTACTATCTACCAAATGATTCCTCCACATGGCAGTGTACGAAAATATAACAAGATACACTACCAGTATCCCACAACCATGTAATGTTCTTCGGCCTTTTTTCCAGCCATTGTTGAACGAAAGTTATTCGGTTTTTCCCTAGAAAAATCTTTGGCATCACATATTCGCAAGAGCTGGTTGCCTCTTCGGAATGCCAATTGTCCTTTACCTGTTCCAGTTTTACATTATGTTTGCTGTTCTTACTGAGACCGGGCCTCATGATGATTACATGTCCAGTTCATTCCAAAGAACCCTCAACGTGAGTGATTCTCCTTTTCTCTTTATGTGAATTCCCTAATTTTAGAATAGTATACATATTTAACTGTCCTTAAGCTTGATCGCAATGCGAAAGCAATGCATGATGAGAATGGTAATTTATCCTTTTTATTACTCTCTTATTGCTAAAGATATATAAACGCGATAAGTCATAGTTAAGCTTTAATTTTTCTTCGTAATATGTAGAGAGTGAGGACGCTTACAAGATACCATAATCTATACCACTAAAGACCTTAGCCCCTCTGTAAAGTAAAGATATCTGAGCTCCGGATGTTCAGTTCAAGTTGTTCTAAAGCTTGTTTCTAATCAGCCTTAGTCAAGATAACATATTTATATCTACTTGGCATTTACTTCAAGCCTTCCTTATGTCCCCCCGGAAACCTGTCATATTTTGCAGACGTACATGTCCTACGACGAATTGAGCCGTACTTTCCCAAAAAAAATTTTCAAGCATTTTTGGTTGGTTTTTTAGTCCAGGAGAATTTCTGATAGATTCCCAAAATAGGTTTTCCGAATAAGCGTCCTGTTGTTTGTTTTATTTTGTCTACTGTTGATTGTTAAACAATATTGTTTATGAGAACTTAGTTAAACAAAATTTTTCAAACTGCAGGGTGGACTTGCCAAAATCACGGAAAATCAAGCCGACGGTAGGCCTCTAGAATTATGAATTCACCCCTTGACCCTGAAAAAATTTGCGCAAAGTAAAGTAGTTATAGGCATATAGCATAATAATGTTTAACTTGTAGAATCGCAATGTCAATGCTATGTATTTTCTCAATACAAATGGCACGCTGTTAATTAAGCAAGAAAGTTTGCTTGTTATGTGAAAGTGTAATTGCGAAGGAGATATTAAGAAGTTTACGTTATCTGATGGCTGCAAAAATATCATAACTTGTAAAGCCTGTTTTTCAAAACTCGCCTCAATTTGAATTATACTTACTGCCACGATCCATACGCAAAGAAAATACTCAGGGGTCATTCATTGAATTTTTTATGAACAGGATTGTCTTAATGACAGTGCGGATCGTCGCTGTTTTTGTGCGTCAGTATTTCATATTCATAGACATTCTACTGCAACGGAATTTGAAACTGCAAATAAGTGGAATTTACTGAAAATTGCTGTTCAAGTGACGTAGATACCCATCAAAAGAGTTCCGTTATATATGGATTTTTCGTGCCGCTGTGATTCTGGCTACGTAGGACGCACTACCCAAAGATTGGAGGATAGAATAAAACAACATGTTACGCCTAATATTAAGAACAAAACTCTTCCCAAAGAGAACAGCCACCTCGGTCTTGCAGATCTAAAATTACAACTAAAACCTGCGATTCTGCTATCGGGCAGCATTTACTGAAAAACCCAGATTGTGCAAAAAACTATAGACAAAATGAGTTTGTTTTCACCTTAAGACTCCATTGGTAACATTCTCAATAGGCAAGCGGCACTGATTGGGCAACCTCAACAGTCATGTGCTCGCGTTTCTGATTGGCCTATTTCGAGCCACAACTGGCTACATATATCCTAGCGTAGCGTTTTAAACTCTGAAGAGTATCAGACAAAAAGCTATATTTTAATCAAATGTTTGCTTTTTTAAAAAGCCATTTTCAAGTTGTGTACCTTCAAAAGGTTGTATAACCATCAAAAGAAACGCGTATTTTCTGCAGCCAACGGGTGCAGGGCTAACGATTGAGTTGCTCTTGTTATCTGCAGTGCACTTTGTTATGCTTTCTAGTGTCATCAGTAGTGCAGGCATAAATTAGCAATATAAACATTCTGTTTGTAGAAGTTGCATACGGATCCCAGATCACGCTGCGCAACACGCACAAAAAGCAGTGCTGGTTGCACTCTCATTCACATCTTTATCCTGTCAAATACCCGGACGGAAGAGGAAGCAGTGCGCAGCAGCAAGTTACCTGCTACGCATTCAAAGATATAAACAACTGGTGGATTGTCAAACGTCCTGACTCGTTCGTATAGTGTTTTCATGCTTTTATTTGGGATATTTATTAAAACAAAATTCATTTTCTCTCGGAGTCTTCCGATTATGAAAAAAGTTACATGATAATTGTGCCGGACGATAGCCCTTAGAATTGTGTATTACGTTTAGCCCTTAGAATTGTGTATGTGTATGAATTTTTACTCGGACAAGCCCCGTATGCCGGGGCAACATATTTGTTTATGTTTAAACTAATTCAAATATTTTAGTTTTTTATTCTGGCTTAATTTCTTCTTATATTTATTGCATTGTTTCTGTCATTTTGGGATGTTCCTAGTTATCGCTTACTTTTGCATGTTATGTTCCCGCTTTCCATGCTACTTCCAGATTCTTTGTCACTAAAGGCTTATTAAGCAATGTTTCCATACTCTTCTGTAAATTCCACAAAGCGATGCCCTAAATTAAACCCGAACCCCACACTACATGCTTCTTTGTAAATACCCCCTGGTGCCTAGTGTCCCTCTGTCTCCTCTTGTTTCCCGTTGCCTCCTCCTGTACCCCATGTCTCCTCTATCTACCCCTTTGTCCCCTTCCCCTGCCTCTTCCTGTGTATTCTGTCCCATGCTTCTTAGTGTCCTTGTGCTTCAATGTACCTCCCCTGTGCCCTTCTACTTTCCATCTCTCTCTTTGTCCTTCAAACCCAAAATTATTTACACAAATTATTTTAAGTTAATTTTTTTTGCAGTGAAAATCTTTCAGTTGAATTTCCTCCTAAACCGGTGAAGAATGGAGACGTCATCCATCTAGTTCACGGTACAACTGGAAGAGGCCTTAACAGGTATGGTTCTTTGTATCCGTTATAAAATCGAGTTGCAATTCAGCAGGAGACCTTAACAGTTGCTAGTATTCGTACTACAAAAGGCTTTGTTTTTATTTGTCCTTTGAGAGTACTGGATTTGAGGGCAATGCATCTTCATTTTGTATCCACTGTTTGATGAATAGCCACTTGTTGGTAAAAATTCGAGGTTCCGTGAAGCAAAATGGAACAAACGGCTTGCTGTAAATCTAATCTTTACTTAACAAAGTGTTAATAATAGTGTTGGGATCTTTGTAGCAATTCAAATATGGATGACATGATCCTAGAAAGTGTTTTTGCATATGCAAATGCTATTGTTGTGCAAATTTAAGAATGTTCAGTCAGTAGCAGACACTTATTCAATTAGGAAATGACCAATTCTATCAAATAATGCTACCACCTCTTATAATTTTATGTCCCATTAAATCTTTATTATAGTTTTTTTAATAAGGCAGTGCTTTGCTTTGCAGTCATGATGTGGCCGCTCCTTTGAACCCGTACAACATGGAGGTATCTGGTTACATTGACCACAATGTGTCCATGTCAGCACAGCTAGGATGGAGAGTCGAGATTCTCAACCCAGATCCAAGTAACGTTTGGAAAGTCATAGAATCTCAAGTCAGATTCATCCATATCAACACTTCTACATCAATTAAGGTAAGATGACTTTTTTCTTGGATGCAAGAATTCCTAAATCTTGCTTCAACTCTTGATAATGCTATTGCTATTATAAATCGAAATAATGAAATTTTCCAGTTATCAATCACTTGTTGATTTCATATTGAAAAATCATTGAAAGCAACATAATTTTTCTGTCACAAATACTTAATACCAGTCTCACTCTTTAGAAACCTTGTTTAAGCTAAATGATATCTTGTTTACATAATATCTGAACAGCAATGGCGAATGACCATTTACCTAAATGCTACCTGGACTCTGCAATTCTCTAAGAATTTTAATAGGCTCTAACTCGTTTTTTTCTTTAAGCCTAAAGAGAGTACACCTTTTTTCGTCAAGCTTTTAGGATTGATTATTTCCTTAATCAGTTTTGTAAAATACCCAGGCTCAAGCTGTTCTTAAAATTTGTTGTTGTCTTTGATCTGTCTTTTCAGCAATTTGCCTTTTTCCCTTCTTACCTGTGATTCCAGGCCAGCATCTGACAACCATTTTCTTTTTTATTCATCTGGATTATTATTCTTCCCTCACTGAAAAATCTGCTTTTCTTAGCAACATAGTAATCTGTGATGAAATCTTGTCTGTGCTATAGCCGTTGCCTTAAATTTGCAAAACTGGCCTCTAGGACTAATGACTTCTCAAGGCTTCGGGTATCGAGATCGCAATAATCCGTGTTTTGTCATGTGTTAAATTGGTCTTTAACGTGATTTCAGCTTCATAGCAGATTTTTCTTTTGTCGTATGATGCTTGGAAAATCAATATTACTTGATTATCTTTTATATATCTCTTTAGGCGATGGGCCGTTTCAGCCTTAATTTCTAAACAACGTTGATTCTGCTTTAGCGCTGCTATATGGTGCAGTGAATTTTAATTTCCATGTTGAAAATGCCTTTTAGCCAGACAATTCACCGCCAAAGAATACAGGCTCTCTTAAGTGACATTCAAATTTTTGTTTTAACAGGTTACAGGAGCTGTGTTGCCTGATTGGGGATTTCATCAATTTGAAGTAAACTCTCTTTCTTTACTTTTATTAGTAGTACTGTTTTCCACTGTATATACTTCAGTTAATATTGCACTGTTGGCTATTTTATCTTTCTTACCAAAACTGTATCTGTGAAATTTTTGTTGCAACAAACTATGTACGTTTTCTTGGATCCATTGTTGCAGGTTTGTTCAAGTCACTGTATGTCTTTCTAATTTATTAAGAGTTTTAAGAATATTGGTCTAAATAAATTTTATTTAAGCCCTGCTCCCTGACGAGGCATTGAAGACTCAAATGCTTGCCTTTTTGTAGTTCTCCATCTGCCCTTTTGTATTCTGAATTACTTCTATATTATGTAGTATGATGTGAATGTCAGTATATGATTTTCGATGCAACGAAAGGGGTTGAGGTTATGGCCGGGTACTTTAAATGATTTCTCTAGCCATTGATTATGACATTCCGGGTTAGAAGAAATTGTAGTGGGTTGTTAAAGGAAGTGCACCCGTCCTTTTTTTGTAAATGAGCTTCAATGTGCATGAAATTAACTTTTTAATGTAATTAGGCTTTTGGTTTGTTCAGGTTGCCACTGGTAAAATCATAAACACTGAAGAATCGATATGGAATGCGGAGGAGCACAATCAAAATGTAACAATACGTATGTACGATTAACTTAGTGCCACATTTCTTTTTGCAGTGCTCCAGGGCAACAGTTTTATATTCATCGAGGCATCAATTTTCTGTAATAGCCGCCTTTTGTATTCTTAATAATGAAGCAAAGCGGGTGAATGAAGCAAAGCGGGTTTTGTTAATCATGGACCGTTCTTCTCCTGTCCAATTTACTGGCCAAACATATATGCGACAATGAAAATTCCCTTCTCGACATTGGGCAGTTTCTCTATATACACTAGTGTATCAAAAGTATTGCACCACCTCGAAGGAGGAGAAATGGCGCGTGAATGATCGAAAGCTATTGTTATGCAAATTAATTCTGTTTTACGAGGGCCAATGGCAATTGGTCGAAAGCAAAACAACCACCAATCAAAACTTCAATCTATTTAGAGCATATGTTTTAAAAATAACAGTAGAAAACGTCTTTTAACAGTTTCAAATTTCAAAAATTTGACGGGTAGCTGCAAACTTTTGAAACCGCAAAAAGCCTCCTTGAAATGGATCCATACATTTGTCCAACGTATTCTTGTGGAATTTCGTATTAGGCCTGGAAACCTCTTACAGTTAATGATTCTCTGGTCTTTGGACCACCTTTTGATCACGGTTTGTAACCTTTTTCATTTGAAGTCAAACTTTTTAAGCGATGTTAAAAATTGGACTTTACTCTGACTATGTCAAAGCTTTAATTTCTTTTGCTTGGAAATAATTCTTTGTAAAAACAGTTTCCGTTTACTCAGGTAAATTTTTCTTTTGTATTCTTTCAAAACACTCATTATTTTTCTGTGGACGGATTTTGAGCTGCAAAACCTTGCCCAGTTTCGAGTTTCATGTCTTTTACTGCCCCTAGGTGCAAACGCAGTGAAATAAAACCGACAAATTCCGTTCCCCTTTAACATCAATTTATTTTTGGTCGCCCACTTCTCTGTTTCTTTACTACTGTAACACTCTCGAGAAATCTTTTTTAGTTTCCCACAGCTGTTGTGTGACGGCATCTATCTTGGTCAATATTTTTTTGAAAACTGAAGACCACTTCCCTGTAACTATTTTATAGCGACTCGCCCCTCATTTGACAATTTTGCTTCCTCAGGCATGGGCTACATTTTTACAAACAAAAATGTCTTTGCGTAATTTGTACATTTCTAACTAAGTTTTCTATGGCGTCAGCAAGATTTGCAAACTTTTCCCGCCAAAGTTTGCTCTAAAATGCGCTTATTTCACCCAATTAATGCATTCAAATGTTTTGCATTGTCAGAAAGTCGACAAAAAGTGCCGCCATTTTGAGCAGGGTGGTGCAATACTTTTGATACCCTAGTGTATATAATTGTGTCTTTATTTTGTTAATACATTTAGAATGCATCTAGATATATTTCCAATGGTGGCTTTTTACCTTTTCAGCTGAAGGAATGGATAAATCTGAAGTACAACAGAAAATAAAAGCAAGCAAAGCCCCGGGACCAGCTGGCTCCATGTCTTTCATTTCGAAGTTTCTAGAGCTGCAGGTAGATGCATTTCCTTTCTATTCCGCATATGGCTATTTTCATCCAAACTCAAAACAATAAGTTGATTGAATGTAAAGTTCTTACTGTATCATAAAGTTACGGAAGTAATTTGACACTCTTTCGAGATTAAAGAACATGTTTTAAACATAGAATTAGGTATATCAGTAACTTTCGTTGTAAAAAAACTATTGTGTAGAGCATCCCATTTTAACGAAACGTTTGATAATGCGATCTGTTACTTTTTGAGGTTGGCTTCTTTTTTGAAGTTTTATTTCTTTCTACTTCTCAATCTATTTTCATATCACTCATAGGGGTTCCCACACAAACTGGAAGGGGCCAAAGGAAAATTAGAGACCTATAACAAAAGATTTTGCAAAAAGCTCTATTTTTAACAGAAAATGGGAGGGGGCGTCGTTAGAGAGCAATCTTTTTCTGCCTCCATTAGACAAACCATCCGTTTATACCATACATTGATAACATAAACTCAGACCTTGCATAGCACCGTGTATTCCGTTGTCCTGGATTATGTCGTAGTGTTTTTATCTTTATTGTTATATATATATACAATTTCTTTTTGCCAGACTCGAATGCTGCGGATAAACAGTGAATTAGTACAGGAGCACACTTTTTCTTCGAGACCGTTCGACTGGCCATTCATGAAAAGGGGCGTTGCCTACTGGATCAGCAACACATCAAATGTAAGCAACTTTTTTAATATTTTCGCATTTCGAAAGGCAATTGAAAGACCATTCATTAAAATTTGTTTTAATTCACATTTTGGCTCTAGTTCCATCAAGCTTTATCTTCTATTCAATTAATAATATTAAGGTTTTTTAAATGGCTACTAAATTTTCTTTGCTAATCAACGCTTAGTTTGCATTTGTAAGCTTTTTAGAATTTTGTGCACCTTGTTAAAGAAAATTATTGCGTGAGGAAATGTGCGTAAGGTAAAACAAAATATTAATGGGCAGTGTAACTTCTTAAAATCGTGTTACTAACTTTGAATCAGGGGGCTTTTACTGTGTTTATTTTTTTTCTTGCCTTTGTTTCGTGGTTCTCTTTTCCCTGCTTGCCTTTACCGACCCATTTTGAAGCATTGCATAACATCTAAATAGGAAAATTCCATTTTTTTCCATTTTGTCACTCTCCTTGTGAAAATATTTGATTCAAAAAAGGTGTAATATTTGCCTTTCATTTTTAGGCTCAAGTATTCTGCATTGGTAATCCAGTTATATGGTGGGCTGGGACCCTTGCGGTTTTGGGTTACTGCGGCTTATTTCTATTTTATTTGCTAAGGAGGAGAAGAGCAATATACGATCTTAGTCTTGGTAATATTTTTTTTATGGATCATTATATTTTTCTTTATTGAGCTAGTGACTTTATTTATATTTATATTTATATATGCAGTTGCCTGATGATTAAAACTAAGAGTAACAACTTAGAACTGTTACACACCAAATAGTGTATATGTATAGGATGTTATATACTCGTGAAATTTGTAACTATGAATCTGTAACTCGAAATGTGACTTTTTCTGGTAACTTTTTTTACGATGTATGACAAAGCTATTTGTAAATTAATTTTAGACTTTGACCCTGGTGGGGGCTGGGGTTGGGGTTACCTTGGAGAGAAAATTAAGGGGATTTGCCTGCTAGAAAAGATGTTATGCCGAAAAGTTCAGACCAGATTTTTACAATTTTCTGCCTGTTTAGACTCAATATGTATCACAGCATATGAAGTCTGACTTTATCAAGAAAATATTAAACCTAATTCAAATTGCTGTTGTTTGAAGAAATCATAAAACCTTATCTTAGCAAATCATAACTAGTCATTCTTTACTAAGTGTCCTCGTATTCGTTATTTCCAGGAACGAGTCTAATACGCGAACCTCTCTTTGCAGGTCAATGGCAGCTGTTTACATTTATAGGCCTACTCACCATCGGAGGGTACTTCGTTCATTACCTGCCGTTTTTCCCTATGGAAAGGACCCTGTTTATTCATCATTATTTGCCAGCTCTTTTATTCAAATTGTTGCTGATTCCTGTATTAGCTGATCACATACAACAAAACATACTCAGGTAGCTAAGTATCAATTTAGATCATTGAATTACATCGTGCAAATACCATTATCATGGCTCAATATGTTTTTAACACGTTATTTAACATAGTGAAACTTGAGGCTACCTTAAGTGAAACTTGAGACTAGACGAAATATTTTCTATTTTTTAGCTGCTAACATCTTTACCCCTTGAATTTTAAGCATTTGATTGGTTACTTGTTCTATGTTCTCTGTGACTTTAAATTTGTTATATTTTACAATATTTTCCTTTGATTTAGTTAAGAACTTACGGGACAAAATGTGGTGATAATAGTGTTTTGTTCTTTTAATTTAACCCAATATATAGAAGTTTGATTTATTGTTTTTTATCATTTAAAAAGCATACGAAACTTAACTATTGCAGGTTTATCGCATATTTAAATGAATGAAATAACTTAAGGACTATTTTTACTTGCCATGCCTGTCCATTGCAAATTGCTTTCTAGAAGTATTCTAATGATTTCGATTTGTTTTTAGGGGCTATCCAATTTTGCAAAAAATATTTGGCCTGGTGTGTGTTGGATTCGCCGTGCTTGTTTTAATGTCGTTCAAACACTTTAGTCCATTTACGTACGGATTTCCGTCACTCAGTGCTGCAGACATCATGAAGCGAAAATGGCTATCTGGCTGGGAATTTCTTATCAACAAGAAGAATTAATAGAGCCCCTTTAGATTATAGGCCCATTGTTATGCGGATCGGATGCTGCCTCACTCCCAGGCCATCTTATACTAACGACATATTCAACAAAATGCGCAAGACAAAAGCTGTTCTCCAGCTGCAAGAGATTTCCCATTCAACTGTGTATCTAAGGCGGTATCATACCAAACTTAGGATGATTGAAAGTGATCCGAAATATGGCATCATCTGTCAGGAAAAGCTTGGTTGCAAACATGACATTAAACTTTATTTATTATTATGATTTATATCGCGAGGTATTATTATGCATTTCCCTTTTCCTCTTGCACAGGCTTTGTCAAACCTCAATTTCTATACAAACATTCAACGGTATTACAGTTTTTAGTGTGATTAAAATGTTATATGACGCAACCTTTTATACAACCTCCCGTTTTTCTTCTAACACATTGTAACGAGTCCCTAACACCCTTTCCGCGTAACGTTACGATTTGAGCTATAACCCCCACCTCTTTGACACATTAAACTTCTATCCAAACCTCATTACGCCCTTTCTATTACCCTTTCTCTTGGGAGATTTTCAAAGGAAATATGCATGAGATTTTTTTTTAAAAGTTAGGTTTGAATGACGAACAGTGCAAAACATGACACAGTACTTGATCCATATTCCACCCTGAAATTAAACAGGTTCCAATCGATCAGACCCCGATTGATAGGATTTTCTAAAAAGCGCACCTCGTATCGACCGGGCTTCGGTTAAGCGTACCTCAATTTTCCGGACTTCGGTTAACCGGATCTTAATTTTTAAGGCCGCAAGTGACTGGCGGCAATTTAACGCTTCTGGATTGATCAGACCTCGATTGACCAAACTTAGATTATTTGATTACCGGACCTGGATTATTCTGAATCGATTTACTAGCTCTGTCTTAACGGCAGGTCGTTTTAACATAATCTTAATTTATTTTTATTCTGTGACAATAATTGCTAACAACTTTGTGTAGTAAATGCGTTAAGATCTACAGACATGAAGAGCCTCTTTTGGTATAAAGTATATTTCAGATATTTTGATAGATGAAAGTTCTTTGTTTAACATTTTGGAAGTCTGTTTTATTTTGTGTGTAGGCTTTAGTCCCCTTGCATTTGTTTTTCAAAGGCTGTTGAGATTTTTCAGGGCAGCTATGCTTCCAGTCATTCTTTAAAGAACAGCCAATCTGTCAAACTGAACCGCTTCTAAGTGGACCGTGCTTAAAGCGAGATTAATTTAATGACACATGCATAAAGCTATAAAAGGAAATCTACAAAGTCATCGACAAACTAACAAGAGGGGAAAGTAGCATCGAGAAAGTCTATTTTGTTTTGTATTCTGCTCATTCCTGTAACCTTTGCACGTTTTCCATTCAAGGCATCAACGAATCAGTAGCAGTGTTTTATTTCTTACTCGGAGAAGAAAATAAACGAAGGAGGTCCTTGATTTTTGATAAAATAGCTCCCTAAGAAGACATTGAGAGGAGAAGAAAAACATAATTTGCTTAAAGAGCAGAGTCTATCCTAAATAAAAACATAAAGATCTGTGAAAAGGGTCTTGCGATGTAAATAGACCCTAAACTGAAGAAAACAATGAAATTATCAAGAATTCGAAAAAACACTTCGCTTATGCTGAAGGAAGGGAGGGACGGGAAAAGCTAACAGCTTTGAAAAAGCATCACAAACAGGCACATCAAGGCACACTTATCTGAGTCAAGAGTCAAAAATTCATGCAAAACCAAACTAAAGAAATCCCAACTCTTTATTATCCGCATATGCATCAAAAGCAGCACATCAAGGCCTAAAACAAGAAAAAAAGCATGAACCTTAACGCTCATAAATGAATAATACAATTCAGCTAAAACAAAAACCTCTGTTGAAATCAAGAAATCTAGTCGTGATCTCTAAATGACAAAAGCGAGTGACTATTAGCGACACTGAATTCACTGGTACTCAAATAAAACAAAGGTCAAACAAATATAAAGACCAAAGCGGCTTCAAGTTTAGGGCATTACAGGCAGAATAAAGTGTATGAGAATATCCACGCTCAAAATCGTCCAATTTTAAGAATTCTTTAAGAATATTTCTCTTAGTAAATTTGCATATTCTATCAGTTGCCTGTATTCCAGTGTTCATAAGAGAAAATCGCATGACAAACATATATCCTTTTTTTTTCAAAAAGCGTGGTTTCTATTGGAGGGCCAGCGATGTTTCCCAGAAACCATTTCAGATTTGAAAGAGGAGAAACTTTAAGAATGTATCTAGGTTCAAAACGAACATTTCTTAAAAATATCGAAGCTGGACAAAATTTAAAGTATTTTTTAAGCCATCTATAAAATGTGTTATTTTAACTAGATAACAAATTCCAACGCGTTGTTTTTGTAACAAAGGTAATTGCTTTATGGAGGAGGTTAGATTCTACTGTTAAAAAAAGGTTCAAATTTGTATATGCTAGGGTATTTATTAAAATAGCCAAGTAACAATGTCACTGATAATTGGCTAATGAAGACTTTATAGCAGGGTTATAATTTCATGAGGTTGGTTGCTGAACTGAATATTAAAGATCGTTCTCATCCGCGTAGGTAAATACTCACTGAATCACTGAAACAGAGAAATGTGCTAAATACACGATTTACTGACTTCACAGACAAAAAATTTGTTCAGGATAATGTTGTTTTGGTCTACCTTCCCATAAAGGATGGTTTTTAAAAAGACAGGAATTCGATAGACAGCATTTCAATGGAGAAGCAATGAAGAGATTTCAGGGCCGACGAAACCGGGGGCCGGAGGGGGGCCATGGCCACCCACTTTTCTGCAGAGCAAAAAAAAATTTAGGCAATTGTAAAACAAATCTGAATCTAATCTCTGCCTACTAATTCCTTAAACATGCCTTTAGCCTTAGCTTGGTTGCTATGTCTTTACCGTAAAAGTACGGGTGGCCCAAAATATAGAGCGGTAAACAATATTTTAAGAAAAAACACGTTTTGTTAAATTATTTGGACGTTAATTGAAATGCTACACCAAAAGGCAATAACTACAATAATTGTGAGAGAATTCAATGAAAAGAAGTACTTAAATCATCAGCTGATATCTCAAAATTCGCAGAAAAATTGAACTAGGAAGGTTTTCCCCGAGTGGACCGCCAAAGTGTCGGGAACAAAATTGAGAATACTAAAATTATTATTCGTATAAGATCTCACATTTTTAACTCAAGTACTTCTGGAAATTTTTTGGGAGTATCTGCTGCTGTTGGTTTGAAACTCGTTATTTTTAAACTCTTGAAAGTTTCTAGGGGCTGCTCAGGAAATGATATATTTCCTAAATAAGCAGAAACTGGGGTCATGTTGTCATGTTCAACAGCAGATTCTTTAATAACTTTTTCGGACTCTTTAAAAATTTCAACGTGAAATTAAAGTAATTCTTCATTAATGATTGCTGTCTCGAATCTGTCACTCATTCAGAGCTGATTTTCGAGGCTTTTTATTTTTCTTTATGTTATTTTTGCGGAAAAAACTTTTATCTTTAGTATCAAACTGGGCGAAGGGTTCTCTCTCTCTTCCGCTCTCTTTCGCTCTCTTCCGCTCTCTTTCGCTCTCTTTCGCTCTCTTTCGCTCTCTTTCGCTCTCTTTCGCTCTCTTTCGCTCTCTTTCGCTCTCTTTCGCTCTCTTTCGCTCTCTTTCGCTCTCTTTCGCTCTCTTTCGCTCTCTTTCGCTCTCTTTTGCTCTCTTTTGCTCTCTTTCGCTCTCTTCGCTCTCTTTCGCTCTTTTTCGCTCTCTTTCGCTCTCTTCCGCTCTCTTTTGCTCTCTTTCGCTCTCTTTCGCTCTCTTTCGCTCTCTTTCGCTCTCTTTCGCTCTCTTTCGCTCTCTTTCGCTCTCTTTCTCTCTCTCTCTCTCTCTCTCTCTCTCTCTCTCTCTCTCTCTCTCTCTCTCTCTCTCTCTCTCTCTCTCTCTCTCTCTCTCTCTCTATTAGTTCATCTGTCCGATAGCTCGCTCTTTAGAGGAAGTACGGTTTTTTTAAAAATTTTGCACAATTTTTAGGATGTTTTTATCAATTAATTTTATAATTAAGTTCATGTGGGTAATAACGGTCGCATTAATTGGTTCATAACTATAATGAATCACTTGAGTTCATCCCTTCGCAGAACAGGTAGATGATGCAAGTAAAAGATAGGTGAATTCATGTTGCAAAATGTGCTATAATTAGAAAGCCTGCTATTTTTCAATATAAAAATAATTTTTTTAAAAAATTGACAATTTCAAAATGAATTCTATAAAATTAAATAAAATGTTTATCAATCTGCTAGAATACCGGGCGGCGGCCTTTTTTCAAAACGAGAATATTCTGCGAAGTATTTTTTCTATTAACAGAATATTCTGAAAACTATTAACAAATTTCTTCTCACCTCAAGTTAACTAGAAATACTAGGGGGAAGAGGAGGTGAAGGGGTTGATGTAATTTGTTTATATGGACACGACAAAGTATAGAAATAAGACTGAGAAATTTAACAATTCATTGTTAATAATGTTAACTATGAAAATTGAACTATGACACTTGGAGGAAATTAGATTTACTCCATAGGTCGGGAATGGACTCAGACTTTCTTTACGCTATTGCATTTAAGTGAGGCAGTAGCCTCCATAAAGGCAATAGCGAAAGTGAGGCTATATGATACAAAAGAATCGACCGGATAATCCGTTTTGCCACGGGACTTACATGTCAAAGGTGTAAAACTGTATAATTTTACTTTTAGGGCTTTTAAAGAACCTGATTTTCTTTCGCCATTAAACATTTCTTTTCTGTAACATAATCGATAACAGCTCGTACCATGCTTTCCATTATGTCACAGAAGCAGATAGCTACACATCTAAGCAAGAAAAATTGTGATATGTTTTCCTAAATAAATGCTGAAAAAATGAAGGTATTCTGAACTACGAACTAAAGCTTCTATGCGTTTGTAAAACAGCATTCTCGTCACAATTGTTTAAATTTTACATTAATAATATTCGTATGAAAGATACCCTTGTCATTATTCTACGTATGTAATAAATATATACGCGATTTTTAGCAATCATGCTCTGTATAAAAAAAATCTGGAGGAATCCTTGAGAATTCAGTTGCTCCAAAGCTATCAGATTTTGGCAGATCTGTTACTTCTACTGGACGAGCTCGCATTTTCCGATCGATGTGGCTCGCAAATATCTCCAATGTGCGGTCTGATATGAACCTAGAAAGGAATCAAAATGCTTAAAAATATCTCAACTGTATTTCTTTAATTTTTTTCTCCTAGGCCATTTTAAATTTTTCTAAGGGGTTCAAAAAGAAGCTTTGGTTCCCTTGATTATTTTCCCCACCTCCTTCTTTATTTTTCCATAACTCTTCTCTAGACACCATTTTCATCTTCTTTAGTTGCTCTTCTTACTCATTTTCATCAGCCATCACCTAATACTTTTCTTTTTTACATTCTTTTCAGTTTTACTTTGGTTTCTTTATATTCCTAACAGCCGGTTTGGCTTGTTCTTGTTCATTCTCTCTCTTTAATAATATAAATTCTCTAAAATTTAGTACCTTACGGTATGATCAAAATTCCTATTATTGCAAATATTTGTCAGAATAAAAGCCATTTAGCTTAAGATGACACAAACTCATGTCAAAGCAATGTCAAAGCATTGTATAGAATCATAGAAATATCTAAGCACTGAAATTTATTTCATCAATTAGAAATGCCTCAAAATATTTTGCCATCATGCTAGTATTAAAGTTTATGTCAATGATGCAATTTTAAATGATGTTTCAATCACTCATTGTGTCTTTTTTCCTATTTTCATTCCTTTTTTGTCATTTCCCTTTCATTTCTTGTGCATCATTTATTATCTCTTTTCAAAACAAAATGCTTTGGCATTCAATGGCACCGTTTTAGATACACCAGTTTGTGACATATTCACCAGTTTTTTTATTGTCTTTCTCAAAAAGAGCTTGAAAGTTTTCAGAAAGCAAATTCAGTAGCATTTAATGGTCAAATAGAAGCGCTGCTGATATTTTTCAATGAATATAAAAAAATGCATAAACGTAATAGCTGTAGCGAATATTTTTTGTTTTTCCTTGAAAGAGGGATTGTAGTTAATTAAATTGGTTTTGAATTGTCTTGAGAACTATCTCGAGGAGACTCGACAAAAGTTGTAAAAAATGAGAATTATCAGATAAAATGTGAAACTTACGCTTTATCTTTCTTTCTTCGCTTTATCAGTAAAATTATCAACAAAATCAAAAGTAGCAGCAGGATAATCAAGCCAACGGTCACCCCAATTGCAATATCACGATAATCTGTTGAATTAAACGAGTGGAGTTGTTAAAGTCATATCCGTTTCATAGAATAACCTACTGACATAGATAAAAATGCAGTAATTAAATAGACTTCTTGTAAATAGCACGGAAAAGTAGTAACGTATTCTACTAGGATGTTTTTTTGACACTTCTCAAAGTATAAACGCTGGATAAATTCCAAAAGAAAGCAAAAAGGTGTGGATCAAAAGTAAAGCGAGAGAAAGAAAAGCGAGGCAAACAACCAATGAACCAGGCATTTCCTTATTCTAACATTACTCAACTTTAGGATCATTTCCTGAAGGTAATTTTCTGAAAATTAAGCATTGGTTTTACAAAATAAAACATATATCCACAACTGGGTAGTTAAATTTTCTAATTTTTTCGATGATTGTTGTGCCATTCTATACTCGGAAGATTGTAAAGGCTGTAACATTTTTTGCTTTGCCAAATAAATTGAATCTAAATTTTTAAATAATATTTGATAATAAAAATGCAAACTGTTAAAGTTTTGTGAATGTTACTACGAAATAGAAAGTTAGATACTCACTGTGCACTATTATTTCACACGAAAAGCCATTTCCTTTATAACCAGGCTTGCATTCGCACTTATATGAAGTGTGTGTATTTGTGCATATAGCCGATGTGTGGCAGTATTTTTTCGTTAAACATTCATTGGCATCTATAAAAACATTACAAATTTAGATAAACATTTCTCGAATAGCTTGTTACATATAGTAATACTTAAAAATCTCTTATATTTATGCTAGGCTTTACATAAAGTTGTGGCACTGAGGGCCCAATGGTTATCTCAATGTGATTAGCTTCTTAGCTAAGGGTTACATTAACAAACAATTGGGAATGTATGCTAGCATTGTGATCAAGAAAGCTCCAAAAAATGGCTAGATCCTTTTCTCTCTGCGTATAACATTCTGATTTGAACTCTGAAGATTTTCTGTACGCTGGGGGTAAATATTTCTCATCGTGCTAAGAAGCAACTGACTTTGTCTTTTCATGGAAGGCTGATGTCTAAAATGCCTGCCAAAAGTCCTGGAACACTGAAGTCAGTCTGCAAGGTCAAATTCATCTACAACCCCCCCCCCTGCCCACATAGGAACAATGTTGGTTTACTTTAAGACGGGTAAGAGAATTAAGAAGTTCCTTCTTACGCGTTTGCCTTACCTATCAACATTGTTATAGGGGGAAGGGGGTGGAAGTAGATTTTTTTGTCAGAAAAGGAATGAAAAATACCATGGGAAACATAATGTCTTAATGTTTTACAGTCTTTTTCGTAATCAGGTCGACTGTCGTCTACATCCGATCATAGAATGCGGCACATGCTGTAGCGCAAAGTTACCCCTTACCTGTTAGCTCGACTTTTGCAACTACCCCAAGAAGAGAGTTGTTGATGGCATCATGGAAAACTGTCTCCAGTGAATCAAGAGTTTCATTGAACGTAGAACCGAAAATAATCTCCACATCAATAATCAAACTACCAATCCTACGGGAAAAACATTTCGTTTCATTTTTGAATACAACTTTTAAAGATATATAATTGTATGCTTTAGGAATTGAACTATAATTAAAATAGTATCAGAACATTTTTATTTTCTCTATAATGTACAGCGACATCATAGGAAGAATATCTAGTTCCAATTTAAGGAAGACAAATAGTTTCATTATCTTAAGTTAGACAAACCAGAATAAAGTAAAATTGTTTGCCATTAAGAGAACTTTTTACGTAGAATCTAACATGTTACTTATTTGCAAATAAAGAAATATAGAAAGGTGGGGCTGGTGTGGACAAAAAGATTTTTCTAATATTTTTTCAGATGTACTTGCTACAACCTAGCTTACAAAATAATTTTAAACACACTGCCGAGCTAAGTTTAAAGAGTAGTGTTCTGGTCCATTCTATCAACATGATCACTTCTCGAGATTCCCATGGTTGTAATTACAAAGAGCTAGCGATTCCCCTCATTCTAAGTAGAAATTGGTCATCCTTTTCAAACTGTGCCATCAAAGTACCATTTACTTGGCTGGTTTCTACCACGAAAGCTAGAACTAGAACGTGCTAAGGCGATTTGGAAGATCACAAACATTATGTTAATGATGCTACATTTTAGTCATTTTAATTCAGATTTAAGCTAGCAATTTCTGTGCTTATTCGACAAGAAACAAAAATGTTTAAACTTAGTTACTGGCAACAGGAACACTAGATAGTAGAAATTAATCAAAACTTTGAGTAAATATACATGGTAGGAATAAAGATACATAAGTAACATTAAAAGTTACAACTTGACATCTAAACTGAAAGCAGGAATGGCAACGACATTAACAAAAGTATGATACGAATGATGTACCTAAATGCCTTTATAACGACGTCCTCAACATTTGGTCGTACTGATCTGAATTTTTGAAGTAGCTATAAATAGAGAAAGCAATTTTGATAGCAATGCGATCTATCTTTGACAAATAAGAAGCAAGATAGATAGAACATGATAAAATTTGTCAAACAAAAGCACTAATAAATATTTAGGCTGTAATATGACAAAATAGAGTTTGAATGCAAAGAATTGATTCAAAATAGCGTTATGATGCAGAACAATTTAGAATGAGTGCTTATTTCTGGTACAATGAAACAGGATAAAAAAAGTTTTTCATTTATCAAATTTATACCTAAATGCAAATATCCTAAAACAGGAAATTGAATGTTGGAATGTTGGAATGTTGGAATGTTGGAATGTTGGAATGTTGGAATGGTAGAGAAATTTAGATTAAGTAAGAAAGTGCCTCCGATTACAATAAGCTCAAATAATGAGCTTGCTTGTCAGAATGATGTCCTATTAGTATTAGAAAATCTTTACAGCATGCTAACACTTAACATTTCATATCCCTTGTTTTCAAAATAGCAACAAATAAATTGTGTTATAGGTTTGAAATTTAAAACAACTAAAGGAAATTCTTTCAAATATATTTTGAAATATTAAGAGAAATGGTACAATATAGAAATAGATGAAAAATGCTAGGTGAAAGAATTTGGTTAAAACATTGATCAGAAAAATCTCCAAAAAAACCTTTGGTGGCGCACAATTGACAATGTCATGGAAAAGCGGAAACATTTTCCGCTTCTCTGTGTTTTAAAAAAAAATTTCGTTTAGACGATCGGGCAGCAAATTAGTTCAAAGATTTCATAACTAACATTTCATTATTAGAATTCGAATGTCCACATGGTCCCCTAACCAGCACTTTGCATGTACAGTTTAGAATTTTGGCAGCAAATCAATCACGAAAAATGTCAGATTTAGACCTTTATAGGATCAAATTTACCTCTGGCTGCAATAAAGCGACAAGATCTTTGTATAGAGGAGAAGAGCTATTCTTTAAATCATCTTTTGTTTGCTGTGATTCAAGGTCCAATGGTTGGCCATTCAATATCAAGTTAGGTACAGTAACGTTTCCTTCTACCATGATGAGATCTGAAAGCCAAAGTTAATATTTCAGTTTCATTTCATATTTTAATTTAAAAAAAATCAAGAGGCGCTCGGTATCCAGAAGTTCAAAAATTTCATATCAATCTTTTTCCAAGAACTGAGTCTGTCCAAACCTTTGGGGAATCCGCTATCAAATAAAAAACATTTGGAATTTCCTCTCCAGATTAGAATTTTTTTTTATAAAAATGAAATGTGGACGTTCCTTTATGGGTCTGATGTCCGCAATATCCCATCTCTGTTCTTACTTCGTTTGAATCTATAGGGCTTTGGTTCTCAGGTTAACGTTATACTTGATCCATTGGTTGATTGTGTGGACAATATTTTTAGTGGAGATACTAATACATACAAAGTTGCAGAAGCACAGGGTTGTCAAGATAAGATTTGAATATATACTTTCTGAACATTGTATCCACAAAGCCAACATGCCAATAGAATTTTTAGAACCTTTGCTAAAAATCAGAAATGAAAATTAGCAGCCTTTTGCCGACCATAGATTTAAACTTACTGCTTTCACAGGTTGCTCCTGTGAGTCCATTTGGGCAGATGCATTTTGGTTGGCCATTCAGTAGTTGACACTGTCCATTGTTTCGACAAGGGTTGGTTTGGCAGGCACCTGACAAAAACAAACAATAAATCCTTGTCTAAGAATGATGCATTAGCATTTATGTGACACAATGTCATTGGTAAATTTCTGACAAAAGTTACTGAGATAAAGGTCATCTTTTCTGCTTCCGAAAAGATTTTCAGTAACCATAATAAATCAACGACTAGTACTTATGTATATTATAAATTGAATTACAAAAATATGAGAGATAAGATCGATTGGAAATGAGAAATTAGAGAAAGTGGAATTTTCTTTCTACAGCTCAAACATTCAATTTTTTTAGAATCACGTTCTACATTTGTCCAGGAATACACATTGTCGCAGCTACACAATGCTGCACAGTTAAGTTGGTCTGCAAATATACCTGGTTTTGACGTAGTAGTGGGTGGCAGCGTTGTAATGGTTGTTGTCACTGTGAAAAGAACATAAAATTATAGCACATCCAGGTCCGAGTTTCTAACAATAAATACAAAAGTAACGATCAAGAGGTATTATTGAAATTGATTGATTCGAAAATGAAGCTTAGATGTCATACCTGGCTGGAAGACGCTGCTACTAGATGATGAGAGAGCAGCTGCGAAAGAAGTCGTTTTCGTGATGCCTGGTGATGACGTCTTATTGGTCGTTGATGAGAACGCAGAACTAGAAATGATGCTTGCAGGAATCTGTTTCGAGGAAGACAAGCTAACTGATACCACAGGAGCAGAACTTGTCGATGCAGATATAGGAGCAATTTGAGTGGTTTTATCGTCAAAAGATTGACTTGAGGGGAATTGAGCAGTAGTTTGAACAGCGCCAGTTTTCACTGTTTTTGGTACTGATGAGCCGCCCCCGTCCTCTGATCGCAATGATGAAGAAGCTGATGTAATGGAAACGAGATATTGTGTGGATGGACTGGTAAAATAACTGAATGAAGAGGAGGTTGTTGTGGTCGGACGTATTGTGATAAAACTTGGTATTGAAGACGTTCTGGTTGCAGATGAAGTGTCGGAGAAGTTTTCTTCTTTAAGCAAAGACGTGGTTGAGGCAGTTACTTTTTTATCCGAAGATGTAGGATCTACTACGGATGGGATTACTGTCAAAAATGGCGACAATACACTGCTAAAATCACTCACTGTTTCAGACGCAGCTGTAATCGAAAGAGTATCAGAAACTGTTGATCCTATCATAGAAGTGACTTGCTTGGATTTTGAAACAATCTCTGAGCTGGCAACCGCCGAAACGAAAGCGTTTATAGTACTTTTCGAAGGATTTAAAGATCTTAGTGTTGTCAAATCAGTTGCAAATGTTGATGACTGAGCAACTGAGCTTTCGACTAGTGAAGAGAATCGGCTAACAACTGCAGATGTCAAGGTTTCCTGGAATTCTGAAGAAGATTTCAAAGGCTGATGTCTTCTGATGTCTGACTGGATTCTGGTAGGCAATGAGCTCGTTTCAACCAATGAGACAGCGCTAAAAGATGTACTCTGAATTGCTCCAGCTGATGTTTCGATGTTCAAACTTACAGCTGCTGAAGAAAGAGCGTCAGGGGTGCTTTTCGACGGACTTAAAGTGTTTAGTGTCGTCAAAACCGTTGCAAATGATGATGTTTTCTGCAATGGTATCTGAGTTATTGAGCTTTCGATTGCTGAAGAGAGCTGGCTAATGGCTGCAGATGACAAAGTTTCCTGGATTTCTGTAGAAGATTTCACAGGCTGAAATCTACTGATGTCTGACTGGATTCTGGTAGGCAATGAACTTGGTTCCACCAAGACAGCACTAGAAGATGTACTCTGAACTTCTCCATATGATGCGGAAAAGGTTTTTAAATTTTCAATAGATATAGTTTTCACACTTCCGTCAACTGTTTGAAGGGAGACTATATCAGAGTAAGGCGAAGCTTGAACACTAACAATTGAAGAATGACTGCCAAAAAAGCTGCTGGACATGGATGTGACATCGTCTGACAAAGTGGCAAAAGTACTAATATACAGCGAGCTGTCTTGCGTAGAATAGGGCGTCAAAATGGAAGCAGAAGCCGGAATTTTATCTCCCAGTATGGATGGTGACCAGGAGTGCTGACCTACTGACGTGTGTTCTTCGCAATTAGTTGAATTCACTAATTTGTAGCCGTGATAACAGGAGCAGTTGTAGCTGCCTACAGAATTATGGCATATTTGCTGGCAAGGATTTGCGGCGCTAGATAAACATTCGTTGATATCTTCACAGCGTGTTCCATTTACTAAACTGTATCCTTCTCTGCAACTGCAATTGTATCCACCAATATTGTTGGTACATATATGTTGGCACTGATTTGTGGCGCTAGATAAACATTCATTGATATCTTCACAGCGTGATCCATTTACTAAACTGTATCCTTCTCTGCAACTGCAATTGTATCCACCAATATTGTTGGTACATATATGTTGGCACTGATTTGTGGCATTAGATGAACATTCGTTGATATCTTCACAATGTGTTCCATTTACTAAACTGTATCCTTCTCTGCAACTGCAAATGTATCCACCAATATTGTTGGTACATATATGTTGGCACTGATTTGTGGCATTAGATGAACATTCGTTGATATCTTCACAATGTGTTCCATTTACTAAACTGTATCCTTCTCTGCAACTGCAATTGTATCCACCAATATTGTTGGTACATATATGCTGGCACTGATTTGTGGCGCTAGATAAACATTCATTGATATCTTCACAGCGTGATCCATTTACTAAACTGTATCCTTCTCTGCAACTGCAATTATATGCACCGATGTTATTGTTGCAAATTTGATCACATTCATTGGTAGAAACCAACAGGCATTCATTGAAATCTAGAATAAAAGTAGATAATGTTGTTTAGTTTATATTTGCTGTTAATTGTGAGTTTCTGACAATAAAGACTGCATTAATTAAAAGGGCGATATTTTGTAAAAAATAAATCTGTTTCTGGTTCAAGAAAGTCTACCGAAAAATTATCTGCAAAGTTTTTCTTTATCAAAAATAATACAATATCTTGAATAACAGATTGAGTAAAATAGCTAAAAAAATTTCGATAAATAAGTCGGATACAAGCGAAAGTTTGAAATTTAGGGCATTATGTTTAAAAATCTTTTAAATTAATAAAAATTCGGCAACAGCTCAAATTTAAAAATCTTTTTAAAAATTTTAAAAATCTTTTTAATTGCTTGTACATAGAAAAACCAGAGCTTACAAGATGAAATGGTGTGAATGCTGTTTACAAAATCGAAAAATAAACATTAGCTAACAAGATGAAATGGTGTTTCTATGGTAAAACAATCGGCAACAGCTCAAGCCAGAATAATTTCAGAAATCTATCCTGCTTTTCTTAGCACCAATTTTAATTTTATCATCTTGGTGCAAATTAATTCTATTCCTTTGAATTTTGTTTTCAAAAGCATGAAAATAATTTCTACTGTGATAAATTCTTTGTGAAAAATTGCCCCAAAATAACTGGATTTTCCGTCAAAGCTAACACTAAGAAATGAAGGCACACTTAGACCAGGAAAAACGTAGCCGACGTTTCTACTGACATTTATCGTAAATTTGGTCTTTGGAACAACAAAATTCCTATTTCTGAATTTTCATCTCCGGTTTCCAAAATTGATCATTGTCCCGAGGAACCGAAAAAAAATAGAGTTGGGAGAGGTTTCCGCAAAAATAGAAGAAAAAAATCATGAATAAGTTAGAATAATGAAAGTTACCTCCACAAAATGTGCCATTTCCAGTATACCCAGAGTTGCAGGAACAATTATATTTCCCAAGTGTATTGATGCAGGTTGCCAAAGGGCTGCAGTCGTGAGAGCCTTGAGTACATTCGTTGATGTCGGAACAGTAGCTTTCGTTAGTAAGACTATATCCAGAATAACAAGAACAGTTGTAGCTGCCAAGTGTGTTGGTACAAATTTGATTGCATTTGCTTGTCTTATTAACGCATTCATCGAAATCTAAAAAGTAATTCCAATAGCAATCATTTTAAATAATTTTTATCCTATCTACTGTAACGAGAAATCCTTTCCCGTGAGAAACTTCAATCGTATTTTAAACTTTTTCAAGTTTATTGTAAATCCTTTTGATGTTATTTGAGTACGATTCCCATTAGTGTATCACCGTCTTACTAATTGCATGCCTCTTCACGGTCATGTTGCTTTTTGTTTTGTCATTTTTGAAATCAGCAAGAAAGCTTTCAAGTAAAACCTGAAACCCCATCTAATTCTTCATTCTAGACTCAACTTCCTTTCGTGGTACAAAAGTTGAAAATGGCTTTGAAAAAAGCAAAAATCTTGAGTCATACTTGAGCTTTTCGTCTGACACTCTTCAGCGTATAAACCGTCAGAACATAGATCGAAAACTGTGCGCTAGGAAATATATATACGGAGTTGTGGATTGAAATAGGCCAATCAGAAAACGCGAGCACATGACTGCTGAGGTTACCTAATCAGTCCTGCTTGCCCGTTAAAAATTTTACCACTAGAGTCCTAAGTAGAAAACGACCTCCTTCTGTCTACACAATAGCGGTTTTTCATGCTTATGTAGATATATTCCATAACTGCCAGATGGAACGACGATCGGGCTCTACCTATAATCTGAAAGATGTCGCCATTATAGATTCAACTCCATAGACAATCTTCACTTTTAAAGGATAATTCAAAATATTTGCTCGTCTCGCCACAATAACAATTTGTTGCAATTTGCAGTGCTGGATGCTGGATTAGCTGCAAAATATGTCTCAATAGTATGTAAATCTTTTACAGCACAAATGCTGGTGCGAAAATTTTTTTTAATTTTGCTCATTTTAAGGATGCAAGTTTTCAAAAGCAAACTCGTATCTCTTATACAAAAATACGATATGAATATTAAGAAAAGAGAAAACAAAACATATATAACAAAATTTTGAAACATACCGAAACATTTGCGACCGTCACCGATATATCCAGTTGGACATGGATCGCAGTCTGCTGCCTTAGCTGTGGCATTGTCTGTGCAGTTGACTCCTTCGAAGCAAGGGTCTTCTGTACAGTAGCTAACTGTCTCTTGGCAGAAAGCTCCGGTAAAGCCAGCTGCGCAGGAACATTCACCGTAGAAAAGGAGGTTGTTTATTGGCTGGGACTGTGAATTCATAACAGTAGGATCACAGGTAGCCCCATTCAAACAATAGCACAGGGTAACAGTTGGTGAAAGAGAAGCTGTGTTGTTGAAAGAATCGGTAACCACAAATTTCAGACGGAAGTCACTGCTGTTGACAAACCACGTCACATTACCAGAATCTGGGTCTATTGAGATGTTAGTGTCATTTGTCGCAACGGAGTACACAAGCTTGGATGATATGTTGCTTGATGCAAAGACGTGGAAATTCTGCTGTTGCTGGTATGTAACAGTCAAAGTTGATGGTCCAGTCATGGTGGGTGGATATGTTTCTATGAAAAAGAGTATGCAGTCAAAGAGGATAAGTCTTCCTAGAGAATCAGTGCAGCACAAACAAACAAATATTTCTTCCAAGGAAACGGGTAACGCCAGAGTAGAAACGCTATTCACAAATTCACCATGTAGTAGACATCAATGGTAAATACTAAGGAAGATGCGTCAAAAACATGTAACTTTGCTCTAACTATCAGAATAATATGTTATTACGCGTTAGGTATAATATGTTATGCGACTATATCATGTTTTTTTAACGTAGCAGTTTTTCTCGAAAGTACTTTGGCCATAAAAGCAAACTGGGTTTTAAATTGTTTCCACAATAAACGCAAAAGACTTCTGTCAAAAAATTGTATTTACTTAAGATTTTTTCTTCTTCTTCAAAGACTTTAAGCGACGATTGAGACTCTGTGACAGCTTTCGTATCCTTGGTCATCACGTAATCAAACAGACAAACAAAGTTATTTGCACCACATATAGTCTCTGCTTCACTTTTAAGTTGTGTGTTGTTACCAAAAAGCTCTTCGATATTGTCGTAGAAAAGAGGAACAAAGCTGTCGTTCGCCTCCAGGAATGGCAGCGAGAACAGCGATTCATTGCTTGTTACATTCCCTAAAATGATTACAAAAAGCGTACATTTTAGTCGTGCTAACGAGAACAAAAACTACTTGTAGCTGCTATCATGTTTAATCGATAGTTATGATGTTTTCTGAGAAACAAATTCATCAGCTGCCAATTTAGTTGGCTTTGTCCCGCGTATAGTCAATCAGAGCCAATATATACAACAATATTAGCTTGCAAACTATTTTCTAAAATTAATGGGATAAAATGCCTTTTTCGATCATGATGAATACAATAAACGCAAATGAAATAACATGACGCCACTTACAAAGCTTTCCAAATTCATAATAAATAGTTTCTTGGGTCGAGTTGATTGGAAGTGTTGACCCATCCGGTCTTGTGAAGTCATCTGACGTATCGCCATTGTTTAGTCCAAGCAGCCCCATTGTCTTATTGTAAAAATTTGACGAGGATGTCACTTGAATTGTCAGCTGGTTTTCAAATACATCAACAACACTGCTTACTCCAGATTCGTAAATGACCGTTAACTGCGTCTTGTTGCCAGATGTCCATGTTATGTCGGTACCATTGATAGTTTGAGTTGCGCTGAAGGAGCTTGTCGGATACGACTTTTTCTGCACATACAGCTCTACAATGCCAGCTTACATAGAAAAATAGATTGTGTTTAAACCGGAGCATAACACGGAGGATAAATTTCAATGATTTGCAGAAAATAATTACTAATTGCAGAATATGTTTGAAGTGAGAAATTATGTATGAACGGATGTTAAATATGGCAGAATTCATAGAAAATTTCTTAAACCTACTTGTGGTGTTAAGGTAGATCTCGACCAATGCTCCTTGATCTGTCTTCATAGCAAAAGCAGAGAATACAGTTGCCCTTGACCTGTCTGCTGACGAATTGGAACTAACTGTGGCTATGCTCATTCTGCTGTGAATTAAGAACTCGCTGCTGTTCCTTACTGCCAACAAAGTATAATCACCAATCCCGTTAAAGGTATAGGTAAAGCCGTCTAAAGTCTGAATGTGTGGGTCTCCTCCAGTCCATGCTAGAAAAATAATAACTAATGTAAATATCATTCTGGTGGATAAAACGACGAGAAATACGTAGGGCGAAAAAGATGTTGAGTATTTCAAGCTTCAGAAGTAGGTTTATTTATGCAGTTTTTCATGATGAGAAATTTTGGGCGAAATGTGACGAGTAAACGATTGAATTGGAATTTGACTCACCCATTATGGGAGGAACGTAACGGGAACAAGCTGGAACTGGACGCTTCTCTGTGTACAAGTAACATAGCGACGACCGTTCACAACAAGCACTGAATGCATTTTTGTCATCAATGATTGCCTGGCTTCTTGAGACTTGTCGATAATATCGAGAAGCCAGGATAAAAAACCAGCTAAATTGCTGTGAAATATGCATCTGTGTTGCAATTCCCAGTTCAGGTATCAAAGTGTTAATTAATGACAAATCAATCCAACTGTAACAGCATGCTGTATGGAATGACACCGATGTCCCAATGAAGGTAAATGTATTACGTTGTGAAAAGCAAACCACGCTAGTCGTAGACGACGAAAATCTAAACCTTCTGTCTAAGATGACTTGGGCAAAAAGACAAGGACAGTCACTTCTACTATTCGTCTTTATTGCATTGATGTATAAAGCACTTGGCTGTTTGCTGTACCAGGCATAGCAAACAGCATCATTGTTATCTAAATTATCGGCAAGTTTCCAGGACCATCTGCCCGGATGATTTGTATTTCCAGCAATAGCATCAAAACCATAGGTATTAGGAAAGCCTACAGAATTCAGTTTCATCTTGAATGCATCTCTGTTGCTTGCCACATTCCGAATGTAGCCGATCTGAGGATTAATCCAATCCTGTGACCATGTCACTCCTCCATCATCATAAACAACTGATACATGGGTTGTTTTTCCATCCGTTGCTATATTGATTTGGAAAGTGGCAAACTAACAACAAAGAAAAAAGATAAGTGTGATTAATGTTGATGTGAACATTCCTTTCGGCAACATAGCCTTTTCCAAGGGAAATTAGCTGCAGGGGCAAAACTGTTTATTTAAAGAGGAGGACAATAGCACCAATTGTACACGAATAAAATAAACAATGAACTTTTATAGCATTAAGAACTAATAGCATTAATAGCGTTAATTAAGATTAGCAATAGTTTTCGCAGCTCTTACTAATTGGTCTGAAATTTTAGATGAGACGTTGCCTCATGACATAATTTAATACTGTCCAATTTTTGAGAATCTGATGTCTGCGTGACACTTGATACTCAATTCAACACGGAGAGAGACAACAGCAGTTATGGTATGTGTGTAAATTTGTATAAATGAAGTTTAATAGCTAACAGTTTTGTACTTACTTGCCAAATGTTCATTGAAAACCTTTTTATAGTTTATTACTTGCTTGATTGCAGTTTATAATTTACTTACTTACAGTTTATAATTTACTTACTTATAGTTTATTACTTACTTGCTTGCAGTTCATAACCTACTCGCTTTTAGTTTATTCCTTTGCTATTTCACTTCAGAGCTACAAAAGCATTGCTGTTTGCCAATCCACCTCCCAGCAACGAATGACATTTAAATTGGCACTAAAATTCCCGACAATAACAAATCGTGAAAAGTCTTTAAACTTTGATGCATAAAAAGTAGACACTCACCGTATTTTTTCCTATGTAATTGTAGTAAGGATATGGAGTGGCATTTTTCCATGTTCCGAGCACTACTGAAGTTGGATTAAAATTTGTCACGTTGGAATACTTTTGCAAGTAGTTTCTTGTCTGATTAAAGAGTTTGACACTGATTTGATCTGTTTCAGTGTTGTCATGCCTTGTTGCTAGAAATCCACCTTCACCACCACGAAAGTCCAAGTCATGCCAATATGCTCCTACAATGTCATGGCCGACAGCGAAATCTGGGTTCCAGTTACAGAACTTTTTCGTGAAACTGAAATATCCATTTGAGCAACCCTGGAAAGTATTAAAGCAGTTTCTAGTTTCAATAGAAGCATTCATGAAGCTAGCAACAAGAGTTCAAAAGTAGTTAAAATTATCAACGAAATAATATTATAAACCAATTAGCAACATATTTGATCTAGTTTCATTAAAAGTATTCATGAAGCTAGCAACAAGAGTTCAAAAGTAGTTAAAATTATCAACGAAATAATATTATAAACCAATTAGCAACATATTTGATCTAGTTTCATTAAAAGTATTCATGAAGCTAGCAACAAGAGTTCAAAAGTAGTTAAAATTATCAACGAAATAATATTATAAACCAATTAGCAACATATTTGATCTAGTTTCATTAAAAGTATTCATGAAGCTAGCAACAAGAGTTCAAAAGTAGTTAAAATTATCAACGAAATAATATTATAAACCAATTAGCAACATATTTGATAGTTTCATTAAAAGTATTCATGAAGCTAGCAACAAGAGTTCAAAAGTAGTTAAAATTATCAACGAAATAATATTATAAACCAATTAGCAACATATTTGATCCAATGGTTAAAGCAGCTAGATCCAATGTAACTAGTGTCAGCATCAAGCAATCGGCATAGCAAGCAAGCAAATATGCATTTTATCTTTTAGATGCAACAAAAATCTTCTCAAGAAATAGCTCATTTGGCACGAAGAGGAAAAATACAAAGAAGCTTACATATAATGTTTTGTGTATCCTGTTGCCAAGAGGAATGCCAGATGAAACGAACAACCGGATTGTTTTATCGTCAACATTTGATTGGAGTAATTCTTGATTAAATATGAATAGTCGATCCTCTGTAAAAGAAAAAAATCTATAGAGTCGGAATCAAACATATAAAAAGCAGAAGCACACAGAGATACATAATGAATAGAAATCAAACAAGAATTTGAACAAGAACAATCTATACACGGCTTGTAGTCGTTTAGGAGCAGACTGTCATCAATACTTCAAATAAATCTTGTTTTCATTTCCAGTGACATCACAAATATTCTACCTTACTTCTCAGTCTCGCTATCGTTATCCCCAATAATCCCCAATAAGCCTCCTGACTGTTCTTAAAGCAATTTTTCATTGTTTGAAATTCGCTATATGACGAGAACAAAATATACCAAGCCTGGTTTTTTCTAATAGGCCATTTGTGCCTCAGGTCATATTTGCTGTAGATTCAAAAGCATTTTATGCAGTAATTGATAAGGTAATGATCAAAGAATATATAAGATAGACCAAAAACCATTTTGTCAGCTTCTGTCGATCGAATACACCATCATTTTTGATAATTAGACAACCAGTATCTTTCTAGCAAGGTCTCGAAACGTTACTGCCTTAGAAGAATCTGAACTAATATTGAGAAGAACTAAAAATTATGACATATTAGATAGTTCTAAATATGAATTAAAACAAAATTGTGAACCTCTACACCACTTTCCATTTCCAGTATAGCCAGCATTGCAGGAGCAAGCAAAGGAGCCAAGTTTATTTAGGCAAGTGGCAAACATATGACAGTTATGCAGTCCCTCTTGACATTCGTCAATATCAGCGCATTTTGTGTTGTTAATCAAGCGATAACCAGCAAGACAAGAACAGGAAAAAGAACCCGCTGTGTTGCTGCAGTTGTGCTCACATTTGTGTTTACTATAGTCAAGGCATTCATTGATGTCTGAAATATGAGTGATAAAAATATCATTCAAGTGGTTACCTCATAAAGATTTAGAAACAATCTGATACAGCAAAATGTTATTGCTGTCTGTTCATGTTACGTCTGTATAAGAAAACCGTTTCAATTTCAAAACAACTCTCCATCAGAATTAGCAAGTGATATAGAATATGTGAAAAACTTCGAAAGTGGGAGCCCAGCTCACGCCTATGCTGAAGACAACCCTACTGCCTGGAAAATAGCATCTCAGGAAATACCGGCTTGCATATACGATGCAATGAAACGTTTATGTTGGTTAGAAAAATCATAGTAATTTTTATGGACAAAATGACTATAAAGACCAGGGCCATGCCAAAATTCAGGTAGCAGAAAATACATCACTATTTTAATCAACTAAACGAAAGTGTGTTTATTCGCGAAAAGGACAAAAAATTGCCAACACACCTGTGCATACTTTTCCGTTTCCTTGGTAACCCGATTTGCAAGAGCAAGTGTAGGCGCCAACTGTGTTTGAACACACCCCATTGACATTGCAAGGAGCAGGCGTCGCATTGCAGTCGTTTATATCTGTTTGATAGAGCAGAATATTTGGAAATACAAATAAACACACGTGTCTAAAATACTTGAATTGTAATGCATTTGTATAAGATACTAAGCACATCTTCAATGCACATTTATCAAAATTTGGTTCGAAAATCGTGATTTCATCTAAAGCTTGAAATGAAAATATGCAGGCTGATATTGGTAATTTACAGTCATATAAGAAATGTGAGTAAGTTATGCAACGTACCACTGCAGCTTGTGCCATTTCCAGTAAATCCTTGGTTGCAAGAGCATGCATACGAGCCAACATTATTGGTGCAGGAGGCATTTACATGACAAGGTCCAGAGCCTAATTCACACTCTTTGATATCTAAATTGAGATAAACAGTTTCTTATTCCATAGCTAACAACACATAGCAAAGGTTTTCACCAAAAGATTGATTTGTATGTAGCTGTTTACAATTTTTTTATCTTTAAAATTTTGTTAGTTATAAGAAAAAGCTAGATGCCAATTCCTTTTCTAAAAAACCAAGAGAAAAGATTTGTACCAATAAAAGAACCATCAAAGTACAATTGTTAAAGAAATTTCGAGTAGACCGGTGAGTTTCTAGTAGAAAAAACTTTCTGAATATACCGCCACAAAATGTTCCATTCCCTTGATAGCCAGGTTTGCAAGAGCAGCTATACGAACCAACTGTGTTAGAACAGACCCCATTAACATTGCAAGGGGCAGGTGTTGCATTGCATTCATTTATATCTGTTTAAAAAAACAAGAAAACTTTACGACAGAAACACTTTGCTTTCGCATAAATATTTAAACGACATATATTTAGCGAAAGGAAATCGGCCAAACTGCAAAGATTATGCCCTAATATACAGTAAACCATATCGACGAAGTTTTATAATATATAAAAAACCTTGAAATATTTGCAAAAACTCCATTGTAAATAAATGGAAATTTGACATAATTCTGTGTATATTATATCAAATTTAAAACAAAGGTTCTAAATATCTGAACAAACGAAAATTGAATGAAATTTTGAGTGTTGTTAGTGAATATAAACAGTAAAATATCAAAGGTGAATATATTATGGAATGTACCACTGCAGCTTGTGCCATTGCCAGTGAATCCTTGGTTGCAAGAGCATGCATACGAGCCAACGTAATTGGTGCAGGAGGCATTTACATGACAAGGTCCAGAGCCTAATTCACACTCGTTGATATCTAAATCGAGGTAAAACATAGTTTCATCTTACATACCAAACAACACACGGCAAAGGCGCCCACAAAAAGACAAAGAACTGATGCAATGCTGACCTTCCAAACACTTTCTAAGAATACTTTCTATGACTCTCCAAATACTGACCCTCCAAGTATTTTCTGAGAAGTAAATTTAAATATTTGCAATTTGGTAGAGTTTTTCATGTTTATTTTGACACGATGATAAATCGCAAGCCTTTTAAAATAATTGGGATATACGAATTCAATTCTATTGATCATTTAATAGCTAAACCTTTCAGAGAAAACTGAGATTAGTACTGTTTTTGAAGACACAGTACTAGTAGCCTAATCAATGCAAAAGCAACCTCTTGCCAAGCATGATATTAATCAACAAGGGTTAAAAATGTTTCAACCAGTCCGCATCTTTGGTTACATCTTCACAAGCCAATAAAAAGGCTTGAAATACAAAAGAAAAACGATAACAAATTTAATTATTTTAGACGCAACAGAAACTTTCGCTACTGAAAGACCAGCCTCATACAAGTTTATACTGAGCGGAAAAATGTTCATTTTATAAAAGTTTTTACCAATTACGGAAAGTGCATATTCCGAAAGAGATGAGAAAACGCTCTTATGGCAATATTGAAATTACGGAGAGTGCATCGTATTCCGAAAGAGATGAGAAAACGCTCTTATGGCAATATTGAATTTCGATTAACAGATTCATACATCGTATAGTTATTAGTGTAGCAGACGAATATTCATCATTCGTAGAAAATTCCTTATTGCTGAATAATGTAAAGAGAAGTATGTTTATCAACTTTTCTCAATGCTTCATAATAGATCCAAAAAGAAAAAATTTTCAGATACTTTTGCAAATTGACGTAGAAGTTAAAAAACTAACAAGTTCCTTTTCTTTGATGTTGAAAGCAAAATTTAAAAACTCTGTAAGAGTTCAGGCCTTATTAAGCGGTGAAAATTTTACTGAAATAGACAATGGAAGGATTTAATTTTCAATTCAACACAAACTACAATTTCAAATCTCACTATAACAAAATAATTTGGAATTTGCAAGCCTGGTTTCACAACCAAAATCAATTACAAGAGTGAGTAAATATGAAATAAAAAAGTTCACGAATGATAACGTAAAAATTTATGATTGCTTAACAAGTAAAGCTGAAAAAGTAAAGATAGATAACTATAATAATAATAAATATAATAATAGAAATAAATATATATTTATTTATACTAGTTTATACTGTAAAATCTAACAGTGCAAAGAAGCCTTGTAATCACTCGAATCAACGTAAAATGAAATCTTTTAATACAGTAAAATCATCCAAATCAATAAAGAACCTTATGTTTTTGAAATCTTCAACAATGTTCCAAAAATGATTAATTGAATTTTTCAAACTATGTTGAACTTAGACATAATGCTCAATACATACCTAATAATTCATTTCTTTGTATGAAATAGAACTTTTAGCCAATCAGGAAAATATATCAGGGCAAAAAATTTGGAGACAAAATTCCGAACAATAATAATTATCATGATGATATTGAATACCCTTCAGATGATAAATAGAGACTTCGGGAGAAAAGAAAATTGCTACAGGAGAAAATCCTTCAATAACTAGAAACCATTACAATATAGTAAAAAGGCGGTTTACAAACCTATTGACGACGACAGAGCCATGTCAGTGCTCTTGGTCACCCCGCTTATGCTTATCGACAATGGAACTTGAGAAGAGCTTGAAGACAAAATCATTCCATAAAAGAAACTATTTGCTGTGGAAATCGATGTCGTGGGAGAAATAGCAGCTGTAGGAAAAATTGATGATTCAGCAGCAAAACCAAAACTGGTTAGAAAATATGATGAAGAGAAAGAACTGTTGGCCATGCCATCGTAAGAGGGGGACAAAGAAGAAACAGGTATGCTGAAAACATAAGACAGAGCATAAGCAATATTTGTTACGGAACTCGTTAATTCCGGTGTCGTTGCTGTAATTTCAAAAGCAATTGACAACAAATTTTGAGCACTTGTTGATGCCTCTATAGAGCTAGAAGCAACTGTGGATGTCTCAGCACTACTTGATGATATCAAATTAGCATCTAAAGAAGAACTTGTCGCAGCTGTTGTACTTGAAGTGGACGGCTTTACTGAAGAAGACAACGATGATGTAGCTCCAATACTTGTTTGGAAATAAGATGTAAGTATTCCTGTTGATGAAGTTCCATAGGGGGACACAATCGAAGTATCAGAAATGCTTGATGATATCGAAACAAGTAGACTAGTAGAAGCTACTGCACTTGGTATGCTTGATGTTATGGCTGTAATGTCAGTGCTAGAAGATAACAGTACTTGAGTACTTGTCGATGCCTCTACAGAACTCGTAACTGCAAGTGAATTAGATTCTATACTTGAAACCACTGTGGATGTCTCGGCACTGCTTGATGATATCGTATCAGCAACTGAAGATGAACTTGTCGCAGCTGTTGTATTTGAAGTGGACGGATTTACTGAAGAAGACAACGATGATGTAGCTCCAATACTGGTTTGCAAATCAGATATAAATATACCTGTTGATGAAGATCCATAGGGGGACACAATCAAAGTATCAGAAATGCTTGATGATATCGAAACAGGAAGACTACTAGAAGCCTCTGCACTTTGTATGCTCGATGTTGGTGTTGTAATTTCAGTGCTGGACGTTAACAGTAATTGAGTACTTGTTGACGCCTCTACAGAACTCGCAACTGCAAGTGAAACAGATTCTATACTTGAAACCACTGTGGATGTCTCAGAACTGCTTGATGATATCGAATCAGCAACTGAAGATGAATTTTTCGCAGCTTTTGTACTTGAAGTGGATGGAATCACTGAAGAAGACAACGATGATGTAGCTCCAATTCTGGTTTGCAAATCAGATGATATTAAACCTGTTGATGAAGTTCCATATGGGGACACAGCCGAAGTATCAGAAATGCTTGATGATATCGAAACAGGAAGACTAGTAGAAGCTATTGCACTTGATATGTTCGATGTTATGGCTGTAATGTCAGTGCTAGAAGATAACAGTAATTGAGTACTTGTCGATGCCTCTACAGAACTCGTAACTGCAAGTGAATTAGATTCTATACTTGAAACCACTGTGGATGTCTCGGCACTGCTTGATGATATCGTATCAGCAACTGAAGATGAACTTGTCGCAGCTGTTGTATTTGAAGTGGACGGATTTACTGAAGAAGACAACGATGATGTAGCTCCAATACTTGTTTGGAAATAAGATGTAAGTATTCCAGTTGATGAAGTTCCATAGGGGGACACAATCGAAGTATCAGAAATGCTTGATGATATCGAAACAGGAAGACTAGTAGAAGCCTCTGCACTTTGTATGCTCGATGTTGGTGTTGTAATTTCAGTGCTGGACGTTAACAGTAATTGAGTACTTGTTGACGCCTCTACAGAACTCGCAACTGCAAGTGAAACAGATTCTATACTTGAAACCACTGTGGATGTCTCAGCACTGCTTGATGATATCGTATCAGCAACTGAAGATGAACTTGTCGCAGCTTTTGTAGCTTGAAGTGGACGGAATCACTGAAGAAGACAACGATGATGTAGCTCCAATACTAGTTTGCAAATCAGATGAAATTATTCCTGTTGATGAAGTTCCATAGGGGGACAACAATCGAAGTATCAGAAATGCTTGATGATATCGAAACAGGAACACTAGTAGAAGCTACTGCACTTGGTATGCTTGATGTTGGTGTTGTAATTTCAGTGCTAGACGATAACAGTACTTGAGTACTTTCGATGCCTCTACAGAACTCGTAACTGCAAGTGAGACAGATCCTATACTTGAAAGCACTGTTGATGTCTCAGCACTGCTTGATGATATCGTATCAGCAACTGAAGATGAACTTGTCGCAGCTTTTGTATTAGAAGTGGATCGGAATCACTGAAGAAGGCAACGATGATGTAGCTCCAATACTAGTTTGCAAATCAGATGTAATATTCCTTTGATGAAGTTCCATAGGGGACACAATCGAAGTATCAGAAATGCTTGATGATATCGAAACAGGAACACTGTAGAAGCTACTGCACTTGGTATGCTCGATGTTAGTGTGTAATTTCAGTGCTAGAGGATAACAGTACCTTGAGTACTTGTCGATGCCTCTACAGAACTCGTAACTGCAAGTGAAACAGATCCTATACTTGAAAGCACTGTGGATGTCTCAGCACTGCTTGATGATATCGTATCAGCAACTGAAGATGAACTTGTCGCAGCTGTTGTATTTGAAGTGGACGGAATCACTGAAGAAGACAACGATGATGTAGCTCCAATACTAGTTTGCAAATCAGATGTAATTATTCCTGTTGATGAAGTTCCATAGGGGGACACAATCGAAGTATCAGAAATGCTTGATGATATCGAAACAGGAAACTAGGTAGAAGCTACTGCACTTGGTATGTTCGATGTTGGTGGCTGTAATGTCAGTGCTAGAAGATAACAGTACTTGAGTACTTGTCGATGCCTCTACAGAACTCGTAACTGCAAGTGAAACAGATCCTATACTTGAAACCACTGTTGATGTCTCAGCACTCTTGATGATATCGTATCAGCAACTGAAGATGAACTTGTCGCAGCTATTGTATTTGAAGTGGACGGAATCACTGAAGAAGGCAACGATGATATAGCTCCAATACTAGTTTGCAAATCAGATGTAATTATTCCTGTTGATGAAGTTCCATAGGGGGACACAATCGAAGTATCAGAAATGCTTGATGATATCGAAACAGGAAGACTAGTAGAAGCTACTGCACTTGTATACTTCGATGTTTGGCTGTAATTTCAGTGCTAGAAGATAACAGTACTTGAGTACTTGTCGATGCCTCTACAGAACTCGTAACTGCAAGTGAAACAGATCCTATACTTGAAACCACTGTTGATGTCTCAGCACTGCTTGATGATATCGTATCAGCAACTGAAGATGAACTTGTCGCGGCTATTGTATTTGAAGTGGACGGAATCACTGAAGAAGGCAACGATGATGTAGCTCCAATACTAGTTTGCAAATCAGATGTAATTATTCCTGTTGATGAAGTTCCATAGGGGGACACAATCAAAGTATCAGAAATGCTTGATGATATCGAAACAGGAACACTAGTAGAAGCTACTGCACTTGGTATACTCGATGTTGGTGTTGTAATTTCAGTGCTAGACGATAACAGTACTTGAGTACTTGTCGATGCCTCTACAGAACTCGTAACTGCAAGTGAAACAGATTCTATACTTGAAACCACTGTGGATGTCTCAGCACTGCTTGATGATATCGTATCAGCAACTGAAGATGAACTTGTCGCAGCTGTTGTGCTTGAAGTGGACGGAATCACTGAAGAAACAACGATGATGTAGCTCCAATACTGTTTGCAAATCAGATGTAATTATTCCTGTTGATGAAGTTCCATAGGGGGACACAATCGAAGTATCAGAAATGCTTGATGATATCGAAACAAGAAGACTAGTAGAAGCTCTGCACTTGGTATGCTCGATGTTGGTGTTGTAATTTCAGTGCTAGACGAAAACAGTACTTGAGTACTTGTCGATGCCTCTACAGAACTCGTAACTGCAAGTGAAACAGATCCTATACTTGAAACCACTGTTGATGTCTCAGCACTGCTTGATGATATCGTATCAGCAACTGAAGATGAACTTGTCGCAGCTATTGTTTGAAGTGGTCGGAATCACTGAAGAAGCAACGATGATGTAGCTCCAATACTAGTTTGCAAATCAGATGTAATTATTCCTGTTGATGAAGTTCCATAGGGGGACACAATCGAAGTATCAGAAATGCTTGATGATATCGAAACAGGAACACTAGTAGAAGCTACTGCACTTGGTATACTCGATGTTGGTGTTGTAATTTCAGTGCTAGACGATAACAGTACTTGAGTACTTGTCGATGCCTCTACAGAACTCGTAACTGCAAGTGAGACAGATCCTATACTTGAAACCACTGTTGATGTCTCAGCACTGCTTGATGATATCGTATCAGCAACTGAAGATGAACTTGTCGCAGCTATTGTATTTGAAGTGGATGGAATCACTGAAGAAGGCAACGATGATGTAGCTCCAATACTAGTTTGCAAATCAGATGTAATTATTCCTGTTGATGAAGTTCCATAGGGGGACACAATCGAAGTATCAGAAATGCTTGATGATATCGAAACAGGAACACTAGTAGAAGCTACTGCACTTGGTATACTCGATGTTGGTGTTGTAATTTCAATGCTAGACGATAACAGTACTTGAGTACTTGTCGATGCCTCTACAGAACTCGTAACTGCAAGTGAAACAGATCCTATACTTGAAACCACTGTTGATGTCTCAGCACTGCTTGATGATATCGTATCAGCAACTGAAGATGAACTTGTCGCAGCTATTGTATTTGAAGTGGTCGGAATCACTGAAGAAGGCAACGATGATGTAGCTCCAATACTAGTTTGCAAATCAGATGTAATTATTCCTGTTGATGAAGTTCCATAGGGGGACACAATCGAAGTATCAGAAATGCTTGATGATATCGAAACAGGAACACTAGTAGAAGCTACTGCATTTGGTATACTCGATGTTGGTGATGTAATTTCAGTGCTAGACGATAACAGTACTTGAGTACTTGTCGATGCCTCTACAGAACTCGTAACTGCAAGTGAGACAGATCCTATACTTGAAACCACTGTTGATGTCTCAGCACTGCTTGATGATATCGTATCAGCAACTGAAGATGAACTTGTCGCAGCTATTGTATTTGAAGTGGTCGGAATCACTGAAGAAGGCAACGATGATGTAGCTCTAATACTAGTTTGCAAATCAGATGTAATTATTCCTGTTGATGAAGTTGCATAGGGGGACACAATCGAAGTATCAGAAATGCTTGTTGATATCGAAACAGGAACACTAGTAGAAGCTACTGCACTTGGTATACTCGATGTTGTTGTTGTAATTTCAGTACTAGAAGATAACAGTGCTTGAGAACTTGTCGATGCCTCTACAGAACTCGTAACTGCAAATGAAACAGATTCTATAATTGAAACCACTGTGGATGTCTCAGAGCTGCTTGATGATATCGAATCAGCAACTGAAGATGAACTTGTAGCAGCTGTTGTACTTGAAGTTGACGGAATCACAGAGAAAGGCAAAGATGATGTAGCTCCAATACTGGTTTGCAAATCAGATATAATTATTCCTGTTGATGAAGTTCCATAGGGGGACACAATCGAAGTATCAGAAATGCTTGATGATATCGAAACAGGAACACTACTAGCAGCTACTGCACTTGGTATACTCGATGTTGGTGTTGTAATTTCAGTGCTAGACGATAACAGTATTTGAATACTTGTCGATGTCTCTACAGAACTCGTAACTGCAAGTGAAACAGATTCTATCCTAGAGGCTACTGTCGGTGTTTCAGCAATTCTTGATGATATCGTATCAGCAACTGAAGATGAACTTGTCGCAGCTGTTGTGCTTGAAGTGAACGGAATCACAGAAGAAGACAACGATGATGTAGCTCCAATACTAGTTTGCAAATCAGATCCAATTATTCCTGTTGATGAAGTTCCATAGGGGGACACAATCGAAGTATCAGAAATGCTTGATGATATCGAAACAGGAACACTAGTAGAAGCTACTGCACTTGGTATACTCGATGTTGGTGTTGTAATTTCGTTGCTAGACGATAACAGTACTTGAGTACTTGTCGATGCCTCTACAGAACTCGTAACTGCAAGTGAAACAGATTCTTTACTTGAAAGCACTGTTGATGTCTCAGCACTGCTTGATGATCTCGTATCAGCAACTGAAGATGAACTTGTCGCAGCTATTGTATTAGAAGTGATCGGAATCACTGAAGAAGGCAACGATGATGTAGCTCCAATACTAGTTTGCAAATCAGATGTAATTATTCCTGTTGATGAAGTTCCATCGGGGGACACAATCGAAGTATCAGAAATGCTTGATGATATCGAAACAGGAACACTAGTAGAAGCTACTGCATTTGGTATGCTTGATGTTGTTGTTGTAATTTCAGTACTAGAGGATAACAGTGCTTGAGAACTTGTCGATGCCTCTACAGAACTCGTAACTGCAAATGAAACAGATTCTATAATTGAAACCACTGTGGATGTCTCAGAACTGCTTGATGATATCGAATCAGCAACTGAAGATGAACTTGTAGCAGCTGTTGTACTTGAAGTTGACGGAATCACAGAGAAAGGCAAAGATGATGTAGCTCCAATACTGGTTTGCAAATCAGATATAATTATTCCTCTTGATGAAGTTCCATAGGGGGACACAATCGAAGTATCAGAAATGCTTGATGATATCGAAACAAGTAGACTAGTAGTAGCTTCTGCACTTGGTAAGCTTGATGTTGATGTTGTAATGTCAGTGCTAGACGATAACAGTACTTGAGTACTTGTCGCTGCCTCTACAGAACTCGTAACTGCAAGCGAATTAGATTCTATACTTGAAACCACTGTGGATGTCTCAGCACTGCCTGTTGATAAGGTATCAGCAACTAAAGATAAACTTGTCGCAGCTGTTGTGCTTGAAGTGGACGGAGTCACCGAAGAAGACAACGATGATGTAGCTCCAATACTTGTTTGCAAATCAGATGTAATTATTCCTGTTGATGAAGTTCCATAGGGGGACACAATCGAAGTATCAGAAATGCTTGATGATATCGAAACAGGAAGAATAGTAGAAGCTTCTGCACTTGGTATGCTTGATGTTGCTGTTGTAATTTCAATACTAGAGGATAACATTGATTGAGTACTGGTCGATGCCTCTACAGAACTCGTAACTGCAAGTGAATAAGATTCTATACTTGAAAGCACTGTGGATGTCTCTGCACTGATTGATGATATCAAATCAGTAACTGAAGATGAACTTGTAGCAGCTGTTGTGCTTGAAGTGGACGGAATCACTGAAGAAAACAACGATGATGTAGCTCCAATACTTGTTTGCAAATCAGATGTAATTATTCCTGTTGATGAAATTCCATAGGGGTACACAATCGAAGTATCAGAAACGCTTGATGATATCGAAACAGGAACACTACTAGAAGCTACTGCACTTGGTATACTCGATGTTGGTGTTGTAATTTCAGTGCTAGACGATAACAGTATTTGAATACTTGTCGATGTCTCTACAGAACTCGTAACTGCAAGTGAAACAGATTCTATCCTAGAGGCTACTGTCGGTGTTTCAGCACTTCTTGATGATATCGTATCAGCAACTGAAGATGAACTTGTCGCAGCTATTGTATTTGAAGTGGTCGGAATCACTGAAGAAGGCAACGAAGATGTAGCTCCAATACTAGCTTGCAAATCAGATGTAATTATTCCTGTTGATGAAGTTCCATAGGGGGACACAATCGAAGTATCAGAAATGCTTGATGATATCGAAACAGGAACAGCTAGTAGATAGCTAACTGCACTTGTATACTCGATGTTGGGTGTTGTAATTTCAGTGCTAGACGATAAAGTACCTTGAGTACTTGTCGATGCCTCTACAGAACTCGTAACTGCAATGAACAGATTCTATAATTGAAACCACTGTTGATGTCTCAGCACTGCTTGATGATATCTGATATCAGCAACTGACAGATGAACTTGTCGCAGCTATTGTATTTGAAGTGGACGGATCACTGAAGAAGGCAACGATGATTGTAGCTCCAATACTAGTTTGCAAATCAGATATAATTATCCTGTTGATGAAGTCTCAAGGGGTGACACAATCGAAGTACAGACAAATGCTTGATGATATCGATAACAGGAACACTGGTAGAGAGCTACTGCACTTGTGTATGATCGATGTTTGGTGTAATTAGTGATAGAGATAACTGTCCTTGAGAACTTTTCGATCCTCTTACAGAACTCGTATACTGCAAGTGAAACAGATCTATCTAAGAGCACTGATGTTGTTGCAGCACTGCTTGATGATATCGTATCAGAAACTGAAGATGAACTTGTCGCAGCTGTTGATTGAAGTGGCGGAATCACAGAAGAACAACGATGATGTAGTCCAATACTAGTTTGCAAATCAGATGTAATTATTCCTGTTGATGAAGTTCATAGGGACACAATCGAAGTATCAGAAAATGCTTGATGATATCGAAAGAGAAACACTAAGTAGAAGCTACTGCACTTGGTATACTCGATGTTGGTGTTGTAATTTCAGTGTAGACGATAACAGTACTTGAGTACTTGTCGATGCCTCTACAGAACTCGTAACTGCAAGTGAAACAGATTTTTACTTGAAACACTGTTGATGTCTCAGCACTGCTTGATGATCGTATCAGCAACTGAAGATGAACTTGTCGCAGCTATTGTATTGAAGTGGTCGGAATCATGAAGAAGGCAACGATGATGTAGCTCCAATACTAGTTTGGCAAATCAGATGTATTATTCCTTTGATGAAGTTCCATAGGGGACACAATCGAAGTACAGAAATGCTTGATGATATCGAAACAGGAACACTGGTAGAAGCTACTGCACTTTGAATCTTCGATGTTGGTGTAATTTCAGTGCTAGAGATAACAGCTTGAGTACTTGTCGATGCCTCTACAGAATCGTAATGCAAGTGAAACAGATCTATTTAACCACTGTTGATGTTCAGCACTTCTTGATGATATCGTATCAGCAACTGAAGATGAACTTGTCGCAGCTATTGTTTTGAAGTGGCGGAATCACTGAAGAAGAGCAACGATGATGTAGCTCCAATACTAGTTTGCAAATCGAGTGTAATTATTCCTGTTTGATAAGTTCCATAGGGGGACACAATCGAAGTATCAGAAATGCTTGATGATATAGAAACAGGAACATAGTATAAGCTACTGCACTTGGTATTCGATGTTGGTGTGTAATTCAGTGCTAGAGGATAACAGTACTTGAATACTTGTCGATGCCTCTACAGAATTCGTAATGTCAAGTGAAACAGATCCTATCTTGAAACCACTGTGATGTCTCAGCACTGCTTGATGATATCGTATCAGCAACTGAAATGAACTTGTCGCAGCTATTGTATTGAATGGATCGAATCACTGAAGAAGGCAACGATGATGTAGCTCCAATACTAGTTTGCAAATCAGATTAATTATTCCTGTTGATGAGTTCCATAGGGGGACACAATCGAAAGTACAGAAATGCTTGATGATATCGAAACAGGAACACTGTAGAAGACACTGCACTTGAGATATGTTCTGACTGTATTTTATGCTGTAATGTCAGTGCTAGGATAACGTCTTAGACTTGTCGATGCCTCTACAGAACTCGTAAATGCAAGTGAACAGATTCTATCCTAATGACTTCGTGTTCCAGCAGCTTCTTGATGATATCGTATCAGCAACTGAAGATGAACTTGTCGCAGCTATTGTTTGAAGTGGCGGAATCACTGAAGAAGCAACGATGATGTAGCTCCAATACTAGTTTGCAAATCAGATGTAATTATTCCTGTTGATGAAGTTCCATAGGGGAACACAATCGAAGTATCAGAAATGCTTGATGATATCGAAACAGGAACACTATAGAATACGCATTGTATCTCGATGTTGGATTGAAATTCAGTGCTAGACAAAACAGTACTTGAGTACTTTCGATGCCTCTACAAACTCGTAACTGCAAATGAAATGATCTATACTTGAAACCACTGTTGATGTCTCAGCACTGCTTTGATGATCTCGTATCAGCAACTGAAGATGAACTTGTCGCAGCTATTGTATTTGAAGTGTCGGAATCACTGAAGAGAGGCAACGATGATGTAGCTCCAATACTAGTTTGCAAATCAGATTTAATTATTCCTGTTGATGAAGTTCCATAGGGGGACACAATCGAAGTAACAGAAATGCTTGATGATATCGAAACAGGAACACTGTAGAAGCTACTGCACTGATATGTCGATGTTGGTGTAATTCAGTGCTAGAGATAACAGCTGTAGACTTGTCGATGCCTCTACAGAATCGTAACTGCAAGTGAAACAGATCTATCTTAGACACTGTCGGTGTCTCAGCACTGTTGATGATATCGTATCAGCAACTGAAGATGAACTTTGTCGCAGCTAGTTGTCTGAATGTGTCGGAATCACAAGAAGAGACAACGATGATGTAGCTCCAATACTAGTTTGCAAATCAGATGTAATTATTCCTGTTGATGAAGTTCCATAGGGGACACAATCGAAGTATCAGAAATGCTTGATTGATCGAAACAGGAACACTAGTAGAAAATACGCATTTGGTATGCTCGATGTTGGTGTTGTAATTTCAGTGCTAGACAAACAGTACTTGAGTACTTTCGATGCCTCTACATAACTCGTAACTGCAAGTGAAAAAGATCCTATACTTGAAACCACTGTTGATGTCTCAGCACTGCTTGATGATATCGTATCAGCAACTGAAGATGAACTTGTCGCAGCTATTGTATTAGAAGTGGTCGGAATCACTGAAGAAAGGCAACGATGATGTAGCTCCAATACTAGTTTGCAAATCAGATGTAATTATTCCTGTTGATGAAGGTTCCATAGGGGACACAATCGAAGTATCAGAAATGCTTGATGATATCGAACAAGAGACTAGTAGTAGCTCTGCACTTGTACGCTGATGTTGATGTTGTAATTGTCAGTGCTAGACGAATAACAGTACTTGAGTACTTGTCGTGCTCTACAGAACACGTAACTGCAAGTGAAACAGATTCTATCCTTAAGCACTGTGGTGTTTGCAGCATCTTCTGATGATATCGTATCAGCAACTGAAGATGAAGCTTGTCGCAGCTGTTGTGCTTGAAGTGAACGGAATCACAGAGAAGAAACACGATGATGTAGCTCCAATACTAGTTTGCAAATCAGATCAATTATTCCTGTTGATGAAGTTCCATAGGGGACACAATCGAAGTATCAGAAATGCTGATGATATCGAAACAGGAACACTAGTAGAAGCTAATCACTTGGTGATACTCGATGTTGTGTGTTGTATTTCGTTGCTAGACGATAACAGTACTTTGAGTACTTGTCGAGCTTCTACAGAACTCGTAACTGCAAGTGAAACAGATTCTTTACTTGAAGCACTGTGAGTGTTTCTGCAGCTGTTGATGAGTATCAAATCAGTAACGGAATATGAACTTCTGTCAGCACTTTGTGCTTTGAAGTGGTCGGAATCACTGAAGAAACAACGATGATGTAGCCTCAATACTTGTTTGCAAATCAGATGTAATTATTTCTGTTGATGAATTTCATAGGGGACACAATCGAAGTATCAGAAATGCTTGATGATATCGAAACAGGAAACTAGTAGAAGCTACTGCATTTGGTTATCTTGTGGTGTGTTTGTCGAATTTTCAGTCTAGATGAATACAGTCTGAGTACTTGTGATGCCTCTACAGAACTCGTAACTGAGTATAGAAACAATAACAGATCTATAATTGAAACCACTGGGATTGTCTCAGCACTGCTTGATGATATCGTATCAGCAACTGAGATGAACTTGTCGCAGCTATTGTATTTGAAGTGGACAGAATCACTGGAAGAAGCAACGATGATGTAGCTCCAATACTAGTTTGCAAATCAGATAATAATTAATCCTGTTGATGAAGTTCCAAGGGGGACACAATCGAGTATCAGAAATGCTTGATGATATCGAAACAGGAACACTGTAGAAGCTACTGCACTGTGATATGATCGATGTTTTGCTGTAATTTAAGTGTAGACGATAACAGTCCTTGAGTACTTGTCGATGCCTCTACAAAACTGTAATGCAAGTGAAACAGATTCTATATCTTGAAACCACTGTGTGTCTCAGCACTTCTTGATGATATCGTATCAGCAACTGAAGATGAACTTGTTCGCAGCTGTTGATTTGAAGTGGACGAATCACAGAAGAAGCAACGATGATGTAGCTCCAATACTAGTTTGCAAATCAGGATAATTATTCCTGTTGATGAAGTTCCATAGGGGACACAATCGGAAGTATCAGAAATGCTTGATGATATCGAAACAGGAACACTAGTAGAAGCTACTGCATTGTTATGCTGATGTTGTTGTTGTAATTTCAGTGCTAGACGATAACAGATCTTGAGTTACTTGTCGATGCCTCTACAGAACTCGTAACTGCAATGAGAAACAGATCTCTATATTGAAACCACTGTTGATGTCTCAGCACTGCTTGATGATATCGTATCAGCAACTGAAGATGAACTTGTCGCAGCTATTGTATTGAAGTGGGGAATCACTGAAGAAGGCAACGATGATGTAGCTCAATACTAGTTTGCAAATCAGATGTAATTATCCTGTTGATGAAGTTCCATAGGGACACAATCGAAGTATCAGAAATGCTTGATGATATCGAAACAGGAAACTGTAGAAGCTACTGCACTTGATATGTTCGATGTTGGTGTATGTAATTGTAGAGGATAACAGTACTTGAGTACTTTTCGATGCCTCTACAGAACTCGTAACTGCAAGTGAAACAGATTCTATCCTATGACACTGTTGATGTCTCAGCACTCTTGATGATATCGTATCAGCAACTGAAGATGAACTTGTCGCAGCTTTGTATTGAAGTGGTCGGAATCTACAGAAGAAGACAACGATGATGTGCTCCCAATACTAGTTTGCAAATTCAGA